TCATAAAAGCATGAAGAGACATTTCTCAGGAGGGAAACTGAACCCTCTCACTTTTGGTCAGCATTAAAAATGTGCAAACTCACTGGGGAGACAACAATCAAATTTGCCTATTCATTTCCGGAGGACTTGATCACCCCTACATGAGACACGGCAGCTGAATAGACAAAGAAAAAAGAAAAGTGCAAAAGAGTTGAAAGCAGAGCACACTTGAGAAATCTGATTTTGCGTCTCGCTCTAGAATGGCTTCTGTGTGCTTTTGAAAAGTGTGATAAAGGAAATTAGGAAAATTGTGAGGGTGATGGGAAGACTACCCTCCTTACAGGGATAATGGGAAAGAAACTGCAGTCCTGGGCGTAATTGCTCGGAATTTGGACCAACAGGCACAAGAGATTGCTTCAGAGTGAATGCCCCTGCTGCCTATAAGTTGGCCTGCACAGAGAGTGTGCTTGTACCATAAAAGAAAAATCATTAGCAATTACCGTAGTGGCCCAAATATAAGCCGCACCCGAATATAAGCTGCACCTTTAAAATTCAAAGAAGAAAAGACAATACCCGAATATAAGCCGCTCCCTTAAAATTTTGCAGGCACTCACACTCATTCCGTTTTACTGTATGTCTGTTTCAGCAGCAATATCGTAAAAGCCAATTTTTGTAAGGTCACAAATTTAAGCCACACTTTAACTTTTCACGGTCAAAAAACAGTGTTTCCATGTGCTACTCTGGTTTTGCCAGAAGCGGCTTAGTCATGCTGGCCACATGACCCGGAAAAACTGTCTGCGGACAAACGTTGGCTCCCTCAGCCAGTAAAGCAAGATGGGTGCCGCAACCCCAGAGTCGTTCGCAACTGGACTTAACTGTCAGGGGTCCCTTTACCCTTTACCTTTACCTATAATTCTGAACATCAGTTGTCCTTGCTGAGGTCCTAGATGCTGAATTTTAGGTCCTTAGTAAGTATGATCATGTCATAAGTAAGTGGTAAAATTCATCAGAGAAGGGATTATATGACAATGCGAAGACATCTGAACAGGTATGGGTAAAAGAAGAGGGGGACGTATTGAAAGGGTATATAGTGATACCTGCTTCACTTGTTGCAGCAGCCGAGTGCTAACCCTAACATTGAGGAATCCAAAACTGGGTCAATAAGATGTTGCTTTGTGGCAGCCTCTTGTAGCTACAGTCAGAACTTCTGACAGTAATGTCACTGTATGGTAGAGTTATCTAACCACAGCAAAGTTGTCTTGTCTAACCAGGTGTAATATCAAGGCAAATGAATATTGGCATGCAGTGATTTGTGATTTAAGGAACGTGTTTATTTTGGCTTGCTTAGCAGCTTTGCAGATGCTCAAAAATGGGACAGTGAAAGAAAAGCCTATGCTGCACATAATCCTATTACAGCTAAAAAGGATATAAAAGACCACCAGAGAAAGAGGAAGTTTGGCAGGATTAGACAGCTACAAAGGTGCCCACATTACTAGAAACCATGGCAAGCTTCTAGGCTCTGCCCCCATGTTGATCAGGCTGCAGCAGGGTCTGAGCGGCACGTGGTTACTGCACACTGTGTGCTAAGAGATTGTACCAGATGCAACTGAGCTCTAGCCTCCACTGTCATCTAAACAGAATCAATCTGTTCAACCAATAATATTCGGCCACTTCTGGATTTACAGTTGCCACTGTTTAAACAGACATCAGTTCTGCATAGCAGCTTCTGCAGCCAGCTCTGCTGCTTGCCTGCCTGCCAGGCTTCTGTTTCTATTACTAAAACAAGACAAGTTGGTGTCTGCTTCTTGCTCTTTTACTTAGTCAGATTGCCACGTGCGCTTCTGCTGATCTGCCAGAACCAATCCCCGCTCTTGGGACATCCTGTACCAACAGGTTTAAACCTGCTCCTTTGCACTTGTGCCCGATGCCTGTTATATCAGCTCCTTCACCTGGCATCTCTCCACTTGGGTTGCGTTCCTTATGCCAACCTCGTTTGTTAAGCAGAGAGACTTAAGGCCGCCCACCCCTCACCAATACATAAATCCATTCTTAAAATTAAACCTCAGTTGCCTTATTCATTAGTGGTGGTCAAATGCCACAACTTCAGTTGGAAAACCCACAGCAAGGGTCAATGTTTAGAAAGACGTGCCATGGGAGTGGGCTTGCCTGCATATTAGAAGCATGTACAGCCAGACTCTCCAATCTCCAGAGCAAATGGCTACAGCCATGGCACTGCAGCACTACTGCTCCTCTTTTATCAGGGACATCTTGCCACTAGGTGGTTCCTTCCAAGGCAATGCCCACTCAGCTGCAGGCGGAGGCACTGATCAGCAAGATATTTCAGTGCAAATACCCTTCATAGTAGACCCACTGTGCTCTTCTCGCACAATCGCCTTTGAGGACAAGGCACAATCTATTATAATCCTATTGCTATTCAACAACTGCTTGCTCATATTCTCCCCTTTACTCCCTTGTTTGTAATTTGCAGATTGTAAACCTACAGGCAGGGGGCTCGGGTTTCTAATTATTGTTGAACAATGCAGTATGGATGATTAGTACAGTGGCACCTCGGGTTAAGTACTGAATTCGTTCCGGAGGTCCATTCTTAACCTGAAACTGTTCTTAACCTGAAGCACCACTTTAGCTAATGGGGCCTCCTGCTGCCGCCGCACCACTGGAGCACAATTTCTGTTCTTATCCTGAAGCAAAGTTCTTAACCTGAAGCACTATTTCTGGGTTAGCGGAGTCTGTAACTTGAAGCATATGTAACCTGAAGCGTATGTAACACGAGGTACCACTGTAATGATTAATGAATGCTAAATAAATCCCTATCTTCTTTTTTACTCAATGCTGAAAGGACAGAGCAATTCCCTACAAGATTTGCCAGACTAACAGGCTTTCACACATGCGTTATTGGTGTCAGGATAAATGGAATGTGCGTCTGAGTAGCAGACTATTTTTTTACTTCTAACAAAATGTATGTTACAATGTGCAATTTAATATGACTCCCTGTCCATAGTTTTGAACAGCTGCCTGTACATTGACACTATGCTAATGCATGACTAGAGCTAATCTTTGATGATAAACCTGTGGACAGGGCCCGTGCCTTTGTGGTGGTGGTGTAGTTTTGCACAGAGACTAGTCACTGCAGATGTTTTAAAAGTAATAAATAAATAAATAAACAAACCACAAAAGCAAACATAAAACTAATGGTAGCATTTTGCAGTTCTTCCCCGCTCAGATTTTTTTATAAATCATCATCACATAACACACAAGAATGAACATGTCCAGATTCATATACGTAAGTAGCTGGGAATCAAGTTTCAAACAGAAAACAGAGGTACGTTTGAGCATCCCATTCTCTGCATGCCTCCTGTTTAGATGAATCTGCCAAAGACTTATTCTGTTGATATTTAAATATGGCTCACTGTAAGGAATGCGGACGTATGTCTCAGTTACATAAAAGCTGTTGCTATACTGCATGCATCGTGAGAACCTAGGCATACAGTGCCATGTAGTTTATTTCCTAAGACTCTTCAAGATTTCATAATTAGAAATCTTTTTTTTTTTTAAGAATAATTTTTTATTAACCGACCAATCACATCAAATCAAACCAAATTACATAAATTCCAAATTACACAGCCGAATTTTAAATTTTTGTTGGGGGTACCCATATTTCAAGTTCCGAAGGGATCCAATCAACTTCTTGCTTCTTACTGCTGTTTTAATGTCCACAAATCTAACCTTATGATGTTCACAGTACTATCCAGTCCTTTCTTATTATTTTTCCACATCTCTTGTTGTTATTTTCATATATTTTTCCTTTCTCTTTGTGACCTCTGATAGTCTCCGCAAGCTGGTTAGAACAGTTTGTAATCCTGCGTGGATATTATTTTTTTATCCAGTAGCCATATCCAGACGTTTTCCATATAACATCACTTCCATACATCAAAACAGTCTTAGCGTCATTAATCTTCACCAATCTGCCTCCTTTCTCAAAACCTCTGAGGAGATTCACTAGGAATGCAGTCTGAAAACAAATCCGTTCTTCCTCCCGGCTATAAATCCTTTGGCAAGATGGCGACTCCGAATTAATTGCTGCGCCATTCCCAAAAGCTCTTATTGCTTCTCGGTCTCCATAAAGCATACTTTTGGTTAAAGTTTATCTCCACACAGACCTTAATCATCCTGCTTGGGTCAGTTCAACCGACGGTTCTAATGAGGAGGGGTTCTTGTAAATCACATAGAAGGAAAGTAAAAAAGGTTCCCCCCCCATTCAGCCCCGTTGTCAACATACCCCACCTTTGGTGTATCTTCATCGTAAAATATTCCTGTTTCTCCAGCCCGTCGTCTTCTTTCGCAGAGGTCACTTAAATTAGCAGACTTCACTCCCCTTCTTCACTTGAAATATGTGCATTTGCTTCTTTTGTAATTAATTATTCCAAATTGCTGCAACTAGTGCGCGATCAGAGACAGCGTCCAGGAGAGCCGATGTCCACACGGGGGCATTCTGCCTAGGGCCCTCACCCCCTTCTTTCGAATTGGGGGTGATTTATGGGCACAGCAGGCAAGGGCAGTGTTCCCCATTTACTTGGGGCAACAAGGGAGGCTGCCTACTCCCATAACAGCCTCTTAATTACCCCGTGTGGGTCGGAGAGATGGTATTGTCGGCCATCTTCCAATGCGCCCCCTAGTGGCCCCCCTAGATTTCATAATTAGAAATCAGGTAAAGGAACCTAAAACCACATCTTTGGGATATTTTTTTTTTTAAAAAAAAAAACATTAACATGCATGCAAGTTATTGATGCTGTTTCCAGAAATCAAGTAAACAGAGAATTTTTTATTTAGAAGTCCAATTGCCACAGGAAAATAAGACAAAAAGCATTTACTATGGGAAAAACATTTTCACAGAATAACAAGCTTTTATGGCTCAGATCTGGATGATTTCTGAAATGATCTTAACTAAGTAAATCAATAACCAACGAAATAGACTTTACCAATGCAGTGAAGGTGGCAGCATATTACTCTTCAGTCACGTCTTCATCTTTCAGTTCATCTGTACAGAAATAAAACCATTCTTGGCTTATTGAAAGGCCTACAGTATTCAGAAGTATAAATGAAAAAAGCAGCTGGATGTTATTGCTGCCATCAGCCCACTCTGGGCATTGCTGGCCACAGACTAGGCCACGGGTAATCAATATGGTGCCCTCCCAATGTTGATGGAATACGACTCCCATCATCCCTGAACACTGAGAACACTGGCTATACTGATGGAAGTTTGAGTTCAACACCTTGAGGGCATTGCATTGACTATTCCTGGCCTAGAGTATTTGCCAACCAGATGCCAGTGGGAAACCAGGAAACAAGATCAGAGCACACTTTGGGATTCCAAGCAACAGGTGTCCAAAGGCATCCTGCCTCCAAAGGAGGTGGTAGAACATTGTGGCTAGTTGAAAGCCTTGTTGGCCTGATCTTCTTTTAAAGCTATCCAAGTGATCATCACTACTGCCTGGAGAAGCAAATAATTTAACTATGCACTGTGTGAAGAAGTGCTTTCCTCTGCCTATCCTGAATATTCCAACAGTCAGCTTCCTTGGATGGCCCCAAGTTCAAGTATTAAGAGAAAGGAAGAAAAACTTATCTCCACCCACTTATTCCATACCATATATTATGCAAAATTCATCTGCTTTCTAGCTTGTATGTCTGGGTCGCTGTCACATAATTCCTTACAGTCTACTAAAAATGGCAAATCCCAAACATTTAATCATGGCCACTAGATGGGTACAAAGATACTACATTATGAAAATTTGGCATGTCTAGCTAAGAAATATTGTTGTATCCCAAGTAAATGTTTCATTTGATAGAATACTGGAGTTTGACCTAGGAAATCCTTGCTCAGCCATATTCTAACTTGGGAAAGTCAACTGCTGCTATATGAATAACCATAGCACAGGAGATGTTTCAGTCATCCTCTCATCATCCCTGACCATTGGTCATGCTGGTCCAACACCATCCCTAGATGTACTAGAGACATTAGGGAAGCAAAAGGGGTGCTAGACACTGATATTATTATTTTTTTGGCAGTAACCACATATTTACTGTAGCATCTAATCTGCCTGTTGCTTTATAGGGGCTTTGCCAAAATCCTGAGAGAATTCTATGTCTTGCATTTATTCTACTTTTCTTTGCCTGGATAGTTCAAGGTGGTACATAAAGTTAAAAAGACTCAACAACAAAATACGTTTAAATGCATTCTTCATTCAAGTGTCATTCAGCAGCAGAGGCTTCTGTTAGAAAAGTCAAAATGACTGATGAGTACTCAGAACACTTTGCCACAACTAAAGAGAAGCCTGGCCAATTTATACACATTAATTGACTTCTAAGGACTCCTGTGCATTACAGTGGTATGCTCAGAATAGAGAGACAATGTATTCCCACCCTTTGTTAATATTATTGGGCAACACAGGAAAACTTCCAGACACTAAACCAATAAAATTTTAAAATGATCTCTAACTAGAAATATCCATCACCTCTGTATTATTATTGAGCAATGCTACCAGTTCCTTTTTTTAAAAATGCAGTCAGCTGACCTTTTCTGCAACCTTTTACACATTTTATCGACACAATGAACAAAAGAAACAGGTTTACATATTATTAAAGAGATAATTCATCTGTGTATATCCAACTTTATTGCCAGCTGACATAATCAATCATTATTTTTAGTGCTTTTCCTGAGAACTAATCTCACAGCTATTTATGTCAGTTCAAGAATGTCAGAAAACATTTTGAAATTTTGTGTTATTTCTGGCATCGTTTTGTGCCTTATGAAAGGGCTTTTTTGCCCTACCAGTGTAATCATAATACATTAGTGCATACCTTCGATGAGAACCTGCTTGGGTTTTTAAAATCACAATCAAAAGCCTATTCCAACGGTTTATTAAGAACCTCACCTCCTCTGGTTTTCAATGGTATGCTAGGAATGTTGACATCTGTGGATGGCTCATTGTTTGTGCTGACACAATAAAAAGGTTCATCAAGAAAAGAAGGTTTTTTCAGCCTCTCTGTGCTAAGGGCTATTGACATGAAGTAGTCCTCAGAGCTACTGGCATGCACAATCTCCTCCTCTTGGCTTTCTTGATTCTCATTTTCTTTTTTCTCTAACAGGTGAGATTCATCCAGTGCTCTGCTGAGATTACAGTCAGAGGTTTCCATCATTTCCTTTGAACATGTATCATTATCTTGAACATCCATCATTTCTGGGTTTGCCAGCTTTTCCACACTTTGGGCATCATCTGATGGAATGATGTCTTTAGCTGTGTTGCAACAGAGACTTGTTCGTTCAAGAAAGGATCCCTGAGATTTTGGCAAGGTAAGACTGTTTACTCTTCTTGGGGTTTGCATACATTCTTCCAGAAGGGCATTAAGCTGCTCTTCTGAGAGACAAGGTAGTACATCTGGCTGGAAAAACAAGGGAAAAATTCTCCCTGTCAAAATATAACTATAAATAATGCCTTCATAAAACAGCTTGACGACACACAGAAATAATGGAAGCATTGATCTCTGATGCCAAAGAGCATAAACCAGGCTCCAGAATGAAGGAAAAGTACCAGACAATGAACCAAGAATGTTTTAATATGATCTATAACTGGAAATACACCTCCCACCTGTGGATTAAAAAAATAATAATACCTGCAGCAACTTGCTACCAGCCTGAGCTGAAGAGCTTTTGGGAAGCTACCGGTCACAGAATTAGACACAAATGTCCTATTGATTGTGTGAGGACATGACTGGTCTAATTGTAACAGCATTAATACCTTAGCCACAATGGAGTCAATGTTTCCTAGCCCACCACACTGCAGCACTCACAATAGTCCTTAAGTGACATTTTAGAGGCCTAGTGAGAGCAGTGGCAGTGTAAGCTGCTATTCACCCAATCATACACTTGGGTACATGGCCACATGAAGTGAGGTCAATTTTTTATGCTGCTACTTACAAAGGGGCCACCGCAGCCATTTCCAGCAACTGCAACATTGAAAAAGGAAAGTCATGGTAGCAGAAATGGCTGACCCTGTGCACTTGTAGTATGTAGCTCCTTCCTAGTTTCCAAATGTGGTTTGTGAAGGATTGCATGTTTGTGCAAAGATCCTAATATGAATGCTAAACATTGTAAGAATGGCCAATGCAGAGATGCCTGCATATGTGAGTGGAAAATATAGGGTCAAAACAAATACAATACCTTGTTACGCAGATGCAATAGTCACAACATATAGAGCACAACAGGCTGAATGGTAATGTTTGTAACAATTTTTTTATGGGTTACTTCCTAACATACAAATCAAGTCCAGGATGAACACCATATACTATCCTTAAGCAAGGTACCGTATATAACCTATTTAATTAAATCCAATGCAGATACAGTTCTTCCTTTCTTAATACTGTCTTGTTTGAATTCATATATTACACAGTCCTTGAATGTGAAACAAGGAAACATCCGGAAACCTTGTTCTGCCCAACCCAGCTGCCTGAGCCAGCCTGCCTGTGTCTGCGACCAATGATAGCCAACCTCATCAGCTGTATCGTCCATGACATTCCGTGGACCTTTCCTTAATCACATTCGAGGACTGTGTAATATATGAAATCAAACAAGAATGTATAAAAAGGAAGAAATATATCTGCATTGGTTTTAATTAAATAGGTTATATACCTTGCTTAAGGATGGTGTACATCCTGCACTTGATTTGTATGTTAGGAAGTAACCAGTAAAAAATTTGTTACAAACGTTACCATTCAGCCTGTTGTGCTCTATATGTTGTGGAAAATATAGGGGACAATAATGTGACTTTGTGAGGCAGAAGGCATCCGGAAGCCCAAGCACAGCTTCAGTCACCCTTTCATATGGTCTACTGAAGAGATTATTAAAGCTATGGTAGATCTATTGGCTGTGCCTTTATCTGCCTAGATACTCACTTTATTCTTTATATTCAAAGTGGCTAACAATCTGGCTTAGAAAGGAATAAAGGCTTTAATTCATATCCACAAAGTCTTACAGCATCAATAAATCAACTAAACATTCCAACGTAGCAATGATCAAAACCCAATGGCTGGTCAATTTACAGATGGTTAATTTAATCATTGTTTTGGGATCAGCCTGCAACTTGAATTTGTTGTCAGATGTAAAGCTTTTTTAAAAATTAACTAATAAAAATAATACAGGCAAATAGGTGGGTTTGAAGTACCTGCTTAAACACCAGAAGATATGGAGTCTGACAGATGTACCCATTTAGGACATTCCACAAGTCAGGCATCACGCAGAAAAGGTCCTGTTTCTGACTAAGATACCAAAAGGAGGAAATACATATTTCATGCGCCAATCAGATATTCCCTCTTGCCAGCGCTAAGAAGCAGCAGTCTGAGTTTTACAGATTTGTAACTAATTCTTACGGCAAGCCAAAAGGGACACCATCCAGCCAAACGTTTTAATTCCCTTGGCTTCAATGGAAGACATTTATGCACATAGTGAACTATCACACTGAAATTGAGTTTTAACTTTAAGTTGGGCCATGCTCTCAGTAAGTGATGGACACATTTTAGTATACATTTGACCAATTAACTTATGGATCGACAGAAAACTCACACAAAAATAACGACTGCTCTTAAAGAGAGCAGAGGGCCTTCTCGGTAGTGGCACCCGCCCTGTGGAATGCCCTCCCATCAGATGTCAAGAAAATAAACAATTACCTGACTTTTAAAAGGCATCTGAAGGCAGCCCTGCTTAGGGAAGTTTTTAATGTTTGATGTTTTATTCTGTTTTTAATCTGTTGGGAGCCGCCCAGAGTGGCTGGGGAAACCGAGCCAGATGGGCGGGGTATGTATGTATAAATAATAATAATTATTATTATTTATTATTATTTGGTCAATAAATATGTTAAACAAACAAACAAATAAAAAAGCCAGTACTCCATAATATACAGAAGTATTTCACTTCTTGAAATAACAGTACAGTGGTACCTCGCAAGACGAATGCCTCGCAAGACGAAAAACTCGCAAGATGAAAGAGTTTTTCGTTTTTTGAGTTGCTTCGCAAGACGAATTTCCCTATGGGCTTGCTTCGCAAGACGAAAACTCAAACGTCTTGCAAGTTTGTTTCCTTTTTCTTAAAAACGTTAATACCCAGGGTGACTTCGAGGAGCAACTCATAGCACGCGGTGTGGTAGCCTTTTTTGAGGTTTTTGAAGACTTTGGTGATTTTGAAGACTTTGGGAAACCGTTCTTCGCAAGACGAAAAATTCGCAAGACGAAAAATTCGCAAGACGAAAAAACTCACAGAACGAATTAATTCCGTCTTGCAAGGCACCACTGTATAAACATTGACCTCGTGTTTTATTATGAAAATAATACAATAAATTACTGTACATCTAGGGTTGCCACTTTTGAGTGTGAAGGCCTTTCAAAACCTTTGGATGGGCAAAAATTTAACAATATATTTCCCTTTCATGAAAATATTGTACTGCCAAGTACCTGTGAATTCCTTCTAGTAGCGCCAAGTGGAATGGCTTTAAGTTACTAGTTCTTCCCATCATTTGTTCACTTTTCCAATAAAAAATAAAATTCCAGTTTTGCAAGAGTGTAGTGGCAATAGAGTCCATCACCAATTTAAGTTACCATATCCATCCTTACTCTAAGCAAATGTGCTTACGTTTCGTATGTAATTTTCCAAAGTATAGTGTGTGGATTTTTCTCTTCTGTGTCCAGCTACAATTGCTTATTCAGTAGATTTAGCCATAAAAGAACTCTTCAAACCTCCCTAAGGGCTTTCCTTTCTTCTCATATTTCTTGCTGGCGTCCTTATACAAATATTTCTTGTCAAGAAGTAAATCAGCTGAGGCAATCAGCACACTGGCTGACATTTGGACAAATAATTAAAAGATTGAGTTACGTTTGTGAGGGAATCTCTCTTTTTTTCATTTTCAACACTTGATAGTAGAAATGTATTGCAGCTATCCTAATGTTCAAGGGTTTAAGGGATGCTAAGGACCTGCTTAAATAATGTACCTGCTGTAGCATCAATATTGTTACTGAGGTGATGGATTCTTAGGTAAAGGTAAAGGGATCCCTGACCATTAGGTCCAGTCGTGGCCGACTCTGGGGTTGCGGCGCTCATCTCACTTTATTGGCCGAGGGAGCTGGCGTACAGCTTCCAGGTCATGTGGCCAGCATGACTAAGCCGCTTCTGGCGAACCAGAGCAGCACACAGAAACGCCGTTTACCTTCCCGTCAGAGCAGTACCTATTTATCTACTTGCACTTGGACGTGTTTTCGAACTGCTAGGTTGGCAGGAGCAGTGACCGAGCAACGGGAGCTTACCCCGTCGCGGGGATTCGAAACGCCGACCTTCTGATCGGCAAGCCCTAGGCTCTGTGGTTTAACCCACAGCGTCACCTGCGTTGTAAGATGGATTCTTAAAGCAGGCCAAATAAGGGGCATGATCCTGCCAAAGTCAAGCACTTTTGCTTTCAATGGGGGAGATATAAGCTTCATCCTGCCATTAAAACCGGTGGGACTTGATTTCACAGCTCCCCTTGCACCCCCTTCACCCAACCGGAGCCCTCCAAATGTTTTGGACCACAGCTTCCATCGCAGCTGTGCTGGCTGGAGCTGATGGGAGTTGAAGGATTTGAAATGGAAGAAGGCTGCCCTAATCCACCAGCCACGGCAAGCAGGACTTGGCGTTTCCCCACAGCAGGCAAAAAAGGAAAGGCAAGCAAGGAAATTTGTGGAATTTTGGGTCATAGAAGTGATTTGTGAGAAGTCACTTCTGTTACTCCAGAGAAAGAAGAATCCCTCACAGTCTACATTATATGCAGGCTACATTATTCAGCAGGTGACTCTCCTCACTGCTGCATTTCCATGCTGGGTAAATCTTTACCTGCTTATAATTTTACTTTTCACACAGCTGCTAAAAATACAGAGGCTTCATCAGGGGGGAAAAGGTCGCAAAAGGACCAATACTCATTGCCATTCCTTAATCCCACCACTACCATTCCTGTATTGTTCATTTACTGAAAACTGTATGATTTCTGGACAGCAGAAGGGCTGTGTTATTTCTATGGCCCGCCTCATGACTTGCACACTACTACAGAAGTGATAAACAGTAATAAAACTTGAGTAGTAAAACTAACAGTGATGCTTTCAGGATCTTCAGAAGAGAGAGATTAATATTTAGTGGTCCTGTTTATTGCCATTGGGGTGTATGCAATTGTATCTTGGCTCCAGAGAGGCTTCCATGAGCAGAAAGCGAGATATGATTTCCACTCATTTCTCCTGATGTCTGCCATATATACCTCCCGCGCTGTTTCAAATGGTTCCTCAAACCTCTTGAGCTGACTGGGAAATAAGAACAAGCTAAAATCACATCTCCTTTCCCTTCCACTCTCAGAAGCCTTGGTTGGGTCTAAGAGCTTTCCCTCTTACTTATTTTATTACATTTTTTCTTTTGCCTTTCCATGTAAGGAGCTCAAGGTGGCATACATGTTTCTCTGCCACCCATTTAATACTTGTAACAGCCCTTTGAGATAGGTTAGGCTGAGTCACACTGATGGGCCAATGATCACTCAGCAACATAGCTTAGAGAACATTTGACCCTGAGTTTCCCTAGTCCTAGTTTGACACTACACAAAACGTCTGTCATTTCAGTGCCAAGCACAGGCCTACCTTTTTGCCCATGCTTTTTTAAAGGGTTAGAGCTGAATGTGTTTGTACATGGCTTGGTTTAAAGCCGTGGCTTTGGCTTTAGTTGTTCCTATTGTTTCAATGAATTTATATTTTATTGTGTTGTTATATGATTAATTATATTTTATTGTGTGCCCAACTTTGGGAAGAAGCCTTAATAAATAAACTGAAATATTTAATAAGACATACACGTCTGCTGTAAACATTACTGTTGCGGTGGGGACTTGTTCTGTAGTCTGGGTCCTATTAGAATAATGTACTCCTTATTCTTCCTAATTTTTAACAGGACAATGTCCCTATGTGTGCTACACTTTTTAATGCTGAGGGTGAGAGAGAGAAAATATCATTCATTGTCAGCTGTGTTGGGTGCTTCCTAATGATCGTTCCGGCCAGGTTCTCTTTATGTAAGTTGCAGCCAACTAGCATGGTATTTCCCTGACCCCAGATGCCTTTTTCTACCTGAGGGTCTTTAAAGCTTAGCTGAATTCCTCAGCTGCATGGGTCTATAGGATAAATCCTGCTGCATGTGGTAGGAATGTGTACTTGTAATTACTTTCTGCACAAACCCTGTTGTGACTCCAAGCTTTCGAGCTCAAAGGTCTAGGGATTGTTTTCAGTGTCAGTACTGAAAAAGAGACAGGCAACCAGCAAAAATTAATATATGTTGCTTTCTCATGGCCCAGAACATTAGTATGATAGTCAGGCACGCTCCAAAAACAGATTCTGTCAAAAGTCCAGTCCTCAAAATGTGCCACCAAACTGGTGTCTAATTTTAAAAGTCATATTGATTTACAATATACAGTCAATGAGATATATGTGTATTCTTCACATAAGAAAAAAATGAACCAGAGAAATAGTTCAGGCATGTTGCATCCACATTTCACAACTTTGGCTCAGAGAAACATTAATCCACTCTAATTACTCATTCTTTATTCCAGTTCCTTCTCACCCTTAAACTGCTGAGATGTATTAAACATACGTTATGTTATAAACATGGCTTTTACTCTCTTTTGCGGCAACTTGCTCCTTCCTTGCTGAAATAAATCTACTGTGAGCATTCAATGATTTCTTGAAACTGTTTTTAATTTGTTTGATTGTTGTTGCTGCTGTTGTTGTTGTTGTTTTGGGGGAGGGGAGATGGGTCTGGGAAATGAGCTGGGGGACCAGGGGAGCCAATCACAGTGGTTGAGGGTACGGTGTTTAAGGTGGGGCAGGCCAGGTAAGGGGTACACAGCACAGGAAGTTGGGGACTGTGCCACATGCCAGCCCCCCAAAAAACCTGGGGAATTGTGAAACACTACAAAAAAATTCAGAACAATATTTTAAAATTTTACAAAGTGAAGAGAACTGACCCTAATCCATCCTGCAAAGCATAAAGTTATCAAAATCAGATGGCAACTAGGACGTTCTGCAGCTCAGACCAGAACTAGCTCACAAAAGGTACACTTTGAGCAGGTAGTGAGGAGAAGCTAGTCTCTTAGCCCCATCCCCTACTACTTGACATTCTCAGCCAGCTCATTTATATACAAATATATACATATCCTCCCTTTAATTATTTAGCACTGTAGGCGAACAGATTTTATAAGAGTAAAATATGAATATTGTTTCACCACAGCTATGGCTCCAAACTTCAGTGAAACCAACACAGAGAGCCAAGAATGCTTAGATGTGGTTTTGTCTGCTTTCAATTACAAAAAGCCAATACGCTTATCAAGTTTGCACATGTTTGCTTTCATGTTCCGCAGAGTATGATATGAAGTGGCGTCAGTGCCCACTATCTCAGTGTTTATATTCTGGCACAAACTACTGAAAGATGTTAGGAAAATCCAGGAATAAAACCCATTCCTCTTGTAGCTTTCTTAAAGTGTTTGTTAATCGATGCCGTGCTTAACAAGGAATTTTGAATAATGCTCACCCAGAGAGGTACTTAAAGTTTAACAAATGCACATTAAACCTCAGAGTTATTTCATTCATATGCTGGTGGTCACAGTTGGAGAAACTGGAAGAGCAACAGCAGTAGGAACTTCTCTTTGCAGCGGAAATATATCATAACATCTACAGTGCTTGTGCAGACACTAAAGTTATGGGGTTTACTCTTCCCCCTTTTGATTCTAATTGACAACATCCCAAAAGAAAGAGTAAAACTATTTTTCTATGCAGTGACGGTGGCTAGGGTACTAATAGCAAAGTACAGTGGTACCTCAGGTTAAGTACCGTATCTTTCGCCCCATAGGGCGCACCGGCCCATAAGGCGCACCTAGTTTTTTGGGGGGGAAATAAAGGAAAAAAAATATTTCCCCCCCCCCAGGCGCGAGGGGGGGGGAATTTCCCCTCCCCCGACCCCAGCCCCTGGAACAGGCTGCTCTCCGCAAGCCGTGGGAGCCCTCCCGCGGCTTGCGCAGAGCTACCCGAAGCCCCGGCGCGACTGCTCAGCGTGCCGGGGCTTCGGGATAAGAGGCAGCTCTGCGCAAGCCGGGGGAGCCCTCCCGCGGCTTGCGCAGAGCTACCCGAAGCCCCGGCGCAACTGCTCAGAGCGCCTGGGCTTCGGGGTGCAGGCAGCTCTGCGCAAGCCGTGGGAGCCCGGCGGGAACTCCCGCAGGCTCCCACGGCTTGTGGATAGCTTCCTGAAGTCTGGAGCGAGAGGGTCGGTGCGCACCGACCCCTCTCGCTCTCCAGGCTTCAGCGAAAGCCTGCATTCACCCCATAGGACGCACACACATTTCCCCTTCATTTTTGGAGGGGAAAAAGTGCATCCTATAGGGCGAAAAATACAGTACTTAATTCGTTCCGGAGCTCCGTTCTTAACCTGAAACTGTTCTTAACCTGAAGCACCACTTTAGCTAATGGGGCCTCCTGCTGCTGCTGCGCCGCTGGAGCACAATTTCTGTTCTCATCCTGAAACAAAGTTCTTAACCCGAGGTAGTATTTCTGGGTTAGCGGAGTCTGTAACCTGAAGCGTATGTAAACTGAGGTACCACTGTACTGGAAGGGTGACCATATATCAACTAGAGAAGAATGGCTACAAAAGCTGAGCAAGTATTTGGAACTTGCTAAGTTGACTGAAGCCTTAAGGAACAAGTAAATTAAAATATTCCAGAAGGAATGGGAATGCTTAAATACCTACCTATCGAGTCAAGGTTCAACAACCAAGATTTGCTTGTGTTTAGAATAAACCCATAAGTAGAAAAATGTCTCCTTATACCAAGATGAGGAATATCTTGAAATACAGAGAAATTGTTTTAGTTATAAGAAATTAACCACCGTGCGGTCGACGGAAATAAAAAACCAAAAGTATAATAAAAAGAGATTCACTCCAGAAGGGTCAGCATCTCGGTAGAGAAATGACATTCTGGGCTGTCTATTATTGCATCATACTTGTATTATACTTATGTTCTTACTTTTTGCGTTTGCTCTGTTTTGCTCTGTTTTCTTTTTTGTTTTCTTTTTTGTTTCTTTGTCTTTCTTTCTTTTCTTCTCTTTTTTTGTATTCAATTGAAATGTTTTTCTACTTTGTTTCATTTGCATTAGCATAACAATTCAATAAAAAAAATACTCTTCCCCCTTGTAATCCTATATAGTAATTATTATTTATACAGTGCCTTTTAGGAGTATTCTAAAGTAGAAAGAAGAGTTTCTGCCCACCAGTGTAGCAATACTGAATTAGACAGATTAATGCACTGGCTCACTATAAAGCAGATTTCTATGCTCAAAGCACATTGAAATGTACAAAATAATCCAGGGGTGGGGAATACGGCATAAAAGATGTAAGCTTACAGTACAATCCTCTTTACGTTTGCGTAGAAGTAAATCCCACTGGGTCTTACTCCAAGCTAGGCAACCCTGGCTAAAGATACACATAGGGTTGCAGCCTTAGAAACCACTACATAGAAAAGAGCAATTGCTCAAATATTCGAGTTTATGTTGGAGACAAAGAAAAATGAGACTGAACACTGGATCATTGTTTTCCCCTTTCTTAAATTTATGCCAGATGTACAAATAATCACTGTCAGCACCTCTATCATCAGCGGCATAATTAAATTCAAAGTGTCAGCTATCTCCCATCTCCTCAAGAGTACAGGCGCATAATGTATACATCCCACCAATGTGAACAATTTAGTGTCATCTTGCCAAATTGGAAGATGGGCTCACCATTTCTACACTGTTCACCTAAAGAGCAGGATTGATTGCAGGCCATTAGTGTGAGCTTTTGTATGGATTTACAGCCAAACCTGAATCCGAGAAAGGGTTAACCAAGGAACAGCACAGCACTTATTTTCGGGGCTAGGATTTAGCCCTGAGATTCTGTAAACTAAGAATGAAGAAGATAGTGCCTCAGAGCTTGTACCATAGGTAGAGCTTTATCAGGTTGCAACTAGAAATCAATGGTATTAAGATGAAACTGTTGGGATACTGCCAGGGAGACAAAGTCCATCATGGCCCCCAAGCCGCCTCCGGACGTCCATCGATCTCCCGTAGACATGCAGTATCATTCAATTAGCGACACGAGCTTCCAGAAATAGCTTGCCACATTCCAGAGCTCATGCACGCTCTATCAGCAGATAATGCACAGCGAAAGATGCACGCAGGAGAGCATTATTTACAAGTTTATTCAGCGTTGGTCAGAACAAAGAAAACATGACTGCCAGCTTTAGTGTCTCAGACACACAGAGAGAAACGAAAGCATAGACACAACAGAAACATCCTGTGAACAGGAAATACGCAGACTCTGTGACTCACAAAGCCTGCTCCCTTTTAAGGTGGAACGGAAATATCCTAACAGAAACAGGAGACAAGATGAAGCCCTGCTTGCTGTAGGAGAGTGATAGGTGACCTGTGGCTCTTCAGACCTCCCATCAGCCTCAGCTACCATGGGCAATGGTCAGGGATGGTGGGGACTGTAGCTCAGCAACTTCCGGAATGCTGTATGTTGCCCACCCACGCCCCACTACAGGAGGTGGGGGAAGAGCACAAACAAAATAGGTGGGGGGGAGGAGCCATGGCTAATGAGCCTCCCACACCATCTTGTGATTCATAGCACAATTCTAAACATATCAACTTAGATTTCAATGGAACTGCAGGATCGGCTAAAAATGTGACAACCCTGACTAAAGCATAGTATTTTTGAGGGCTACTGCCATGCAATGAGTACATAGCTTGGTGCTAGTGCAAAGTAAGAAACTAAACTCGATGACCTGGGCCAGAGGAACCCATGATATCTGAAGGAATGATTCAAGTACAACCCATAAACAATGAGGACAGTAAGGATATAATACTGGAGGCTGTAGGTTGTAACCTAAGCTCTTCACCACTCAAGAAGTAACCAAGACACTTTTGTTCATGTTAAGCTTCAGTCCAATTGATGAAGGGTAGCATTCATTCATTCATTCATTCATTCATTTTGCATACTGCCCTTCATCCAAAGATCTCAGGGTGGTTCACAGCATAAAAATACAAAATGACTCTACCCCAGCTTTTCAGGTAAGCAGCAGTGGAGAGGTGAGGAATGATGTGTCCTTTCTCTTAAAGTCCACTCAGTTCTTACCTGCCCTGATGCCTGCTATGAGGGGTCTGAGAAGACAAGTCCGCTCACGACTTTTGGTGCGGCAGCACTGAAGGCAGAGGCTTCACCAGGGCCCTGACGAGGGAACTTGAACAGCGGTGCCCTTCCTGATAGGCGGTGGGAGCTTAAGCCTGCACCAAGCCTGCACCGAGCTTTGGCTAATGGGGATGCAGGCTGGGGACATGGGCTGTGCTGGGGGCAGAGCCAATGGAGCAGGTAGGCTTCCCTCGGATCCGCCTCTTGCCCATCTAAGCGGCCCACACCTTTTGTTCCTTCATCGGGTTTTCCCCCCTACCTGCCCCTGGTTTAAGCTGATGACTTTGCTGTGGCTATGGTGGTCGCCATCCTTTATGGGGCCGGGTAGGAAATGGCCCACCCGGCTAATTGGCACTGACCCAGTGGTTTTGCCTACCTCATAGCAATCATCACAACTGGTTGGGCATGGGGGCAATCCTTTGTTTTGGATGGAGGGGAGGTTGTAATCTCCGCCTGCCCCTCCAAACGCTGGGGTATCCCGTTAAAGGGGTCCAGAGGGAATGGCTATGTCCGTGTGCCCAAGCGGGGGCAAGAGCCAAAGGCACTCCCCCAGACGGCAGTCCCTGTGGGGTCACCCTATTGGATGTAAGTCTTAGCAACCTCCTGTCTGGATTGACCACGCGTCACTTTCGGCGAGGGGGCAGTAAATATTTTGATTGCCCCAAGCCATACCTCTTTCATCTGTATTCAATAAAGTTGTGGCCTGTTTTGACCCAAAAAAGCAGCCTCATTGGTCTCTTATTTGCATGGGTTGGGGGATGGGAACCCGACGCTTGGTCCTGCAAGTGCACACCTCTGGAGCCCTATGTCCTTCTCGCTGACCCCATTTGCCTGTCTCTCACGCATTTCACCATGCAGCCGATTACAGCACCTTTCACTAAGCATAATCCCAAATGTACCGGCTACAGTTCCCACTGACTCAAAGCTCCAATCCGACAAACCATGAGCGCATTCTTGTCTTGACGAGCTCTGTTCCGCAAAGGCACAAAGAAACGCAGCCGCTGTAGCACGGCATTGAAACGCAGGCTTAGTTGCATGTATTAAAAGTGTCAAAGAAATATCCAAGCCAAAGCTACAGCAGAAGGAATATTATTGCTGAATGTTTCGGTCGGCTCGTAGCTTTTTCTGATGAAGGCATATTGTCTCCCTGCTTTTCAGAGTAGCTCAGAAATGTGAAGGAACAATAAAAGGAAAGCGCCACAGTAAGTCTCCTGGGATTGCTAAAGGTAAGATTCTCAGGGAGGACGAATCTCAGCATTTCAGAGCAATCCTATGGATGCCTATTTCAGAAGTAAACCCTGCTGAAGGCAGCAGCCATCCTATATATACTTGGGTACACATATGGGCAGACCTCTCCATTTAATTTTCCAGTTTTCCAGTCTTAAGTTCTTCTCCTGATGAAAATTTATCATTTTAGTGTGAATTTCTCCCAATAAACATATGGCAGTATGCAATTTTACCTAATGTACAATTTTCTGCGCAGTAGTTCCCCTGACATAATGCACTTTGGCATGTTATCTTCAGTAAGATACGCATTTATGCACACTCTCTCTCAGTATATGTTTTTTTGTGCAGATAAACATTACTTGGCCAGAGACCTACATGACAAAATCTGGAGAATTTTGAATTTCAAAGGACAGCTGTGTTTCAGCTTGGATATTGTTTTGGAAAAGTGAGAACTAGATTGGTTTCCCTTGAAAGGTGAACTGAATCAAATTTCTCCCCCATCCCTAGTCCCATTAAACTCAGTGAGATTTACTTCTGAGCACGCAGCCATATGACTGTGCCATTAGATATTTAGCATTAAGTGGGTCCTGGTGAAATGAAATATAGAACTCATGAAGGACTTAAAGATGACAAGAGAGAGAAAAAGCAGTAATTTTCCACATAGGTAATTCTTTGTTATATGATTGTGCAGGGCACATTTTTTTCATAGGTAAAAGGGTAAAGGACCCCCTGGGCATTTTTTCATGTCCCCATGTTAAATAGCGAATAATTTTACCGGAAAGGCTGCAAATATTTTTTTTTTAGACTTAAAATGAGCACAAGCATCTCAAAATCATGATACAATCGAGCATAAAATTCATTTCATATGGATTATACACATACTAAAAGTTTATTATTTCATACGCATCTTCAAAGCAATTCAGGTAACATGTTAGTAAAACTTTGAGTGCCCAGATTGCAATGGAACATTTTTGGGGGGTGGGGCTAAAACAGGATTTCAACAGGAGAAATACAACAAGTGCAGCATAACAATGCAATGATGGGGAAACTTTGACTTTAGTCTGTTGATTTTCTGCCAGTTATGTAACTAATAAAGGAACAAGAATTTTTTTCTTTGCCTTTTTAAAGGACAAAATGAACTCAATTAGCTTAGTACACTTGCTCTATGGAAGAATGCCAAGAGTCAACTTGTAAGAATCAACTGTCTGCATTTTCATTTAATTGTGTAAATTATTAATAGAACATATGGGCAGATAATAATCTACTTAACACAGATCATTATTACCATTATGTTATCATTATTTATTCAGAGCCAAAAATTACAGTCATTTCACATACCTCATGGGGAAAAAACCAGTTTGCTGCATTCACAATGTATTTTTTAAAAATAATAATAATTAAAAATCCCATTCTATTATGAAAAAGCCTTTCAGCTTACATATAACTTTAAAATATATGCATAGATTATGCAAAAAAACACAACTAGGAAAAAACAGAGCAGAAAATGAGTCACGTTTAAAACAACAATTAAAAAAACACAGCAACTAAATGGCAAAGGGGCAGGTTATTTGCTTGTTAGTGGTAAGACATCATACAGTGCCTGGCAAGCCTCCCTCAATAAAGAGGTCTGAAATTTGGGGCACAATAGCTGAAAAGACCCTTAATAGTTCCGACTAACCTAACCTCTGGTTGTGGAGAGATCTCAAAACTTAATAAGCTAGGCAGGTTTAGTATGAAGGAAGTGATCTTTAAGGCAGTGTGGTTCCAAAGAGTTTTGAAGGATAAAACCAGCTCTTTAAACAGGGCATAGAAATGGAATGGGAGCCACCAGAGTTCTTTAAATTGATATGATGTGTTCCTTATGCCTTGTCCCAATTAGTAATCTAGCTGCCATATTTTGTACGTTTTCTGGGCCCTCAGTAAGGGCAGCCCACAGGCAACAAAACTGCAGTAGACACAGTGTGAATAATTGTAGCCAAACTATCCTTGTCTATATGGCAGGCTGTACAAAAAGCACTGTTCAATGCAGAATTCAATGTGGCCTAGTGTTTAAAGAATACTCACCTTGCTATCAATTCAAACATCCTACTCAAACAATTTTAAAAATCCAAAGAGTTTTCCCAAAAGTAAGCACCATTTTCATTACACATCTCTTTCTCTCTTTCTGCCTGATTTTTTGTTGTTGTTGTTTTGTTTTGCAGTGACGAAAGAGATGGCTGTAAAACTCCAACGTTAAAGGTTAAATATGATTTTGGTAAGATAGATACTCGGGGATTTCTATCCTCGTTCTTTCAGTTGGAATTCTGAAAGATTTTATACACCTTGCTGAGCACAGCTGCAATCTGACATTCCCCACAGTAGCTTACCAATACCTTCGCTGGAGCCCTGGAGGAAACCTTCTCACGGAGCTTGCAAAAGAATTCGCATTCCTTGTTAACTCTGTCCTTGACCTCTCATAAACTGAGCTCTTCAGTTCTGCCAAACTACACTCACATCTACACACATCTACAAAGCCTTTTGGGAACTACAACCACATTACGGCTTTCTGCAAAGTAATTCCTGCAGCTGCAGGCTTTGAAACAGCACCTTCTTCTAGATTTAAGGACTAGATGAATTTAATGATCAGCAAATGAAACCCAATCCAGGTTTCCAAAATATATCAATTTTCTTTTTTAAAAAATGTAGAAACACAATTATGACACCAATGAATGCGAATCTTCTTTTTGACTAAATATCCATAAGTGGGAATGACAAGTGCAAGCTTATTCTGTGAACCGCCCTGAAACCTGAGGGTATACGGTGGTATATTATTATTATTATTTATTATTATTATTATTATTATTATTATTATTATTATTATATTTTACATATTATATTATATTATTGTTGAAATTAAAAACCAGAGGGTTATAGTCAATGTAGCACTAAGGAAACCATTCCATCAAGTATTTCTGCTTGCCAGCCAGAACAACCTCCCCTCCATGCACTGTTTTGGAGTTTTTCCTGACCCTCCGGAGCAGATTTGGGGAGAGTACAGGGGCACGTGGGGGGAGGGGAAGCCCCTTTGCAATCACAGGACTCATTGTGCAATGTGCTAGCATGACTATTTAGTTTAGGTCCCGCTAGCACCACTGTTTAGTGCAGTTCCATTCTATTTTCAATAGCTCTTATTTATTCCTTCATGGGGGGGGGGGTCTTCTGGTTACTCTTGCTTCCCTCCTTATTGCATTTGTTTTCACAAAATTTAACAGTATTGTCCAGGTAATTCTGCCAGTTCCTGAAGCTGGGTAAATCAATCGCTCAAGTTCTGCAGTATTTCAAAGGGACCGGGGGGCCCCTTTATGTCAACCAATGGGGGTTTAGAACAGATATCCCAGCTGAAGCGGAAAGAGGAGCAATTTCCAAGTGTAGCCTCTCCCTTGTTTTCTGCTGCTCCACGAGGCAGGACTAGAACCAATGGGTAGAAACGGTAGAGAAGCAGGTTTTGGCAAAACGTAAGAAAAAGCTTCCTAATGCTAAGAGGTGGATAATGAAATAGGCTGCCTCAGGAAGGAGTGCTCTCTTCTTTGCTAGAGGGATTTAAGAAGAGGCTGGATAGCAAACTGTCAATGCCCTCTTTTGGGGGTGGGGAAATGTTGGCACCATTCCACGTCCTGAAATCTGGCCATGGCCCTGTGCTCCACTGTCTCCCATCTCAGCCATGAGTGACCGGACATTCTCACAAAATTAGTTATTTTCCATATCCACACTGATCCTCCTGTCCAAGTTCTGATGAAAGAAAGAACTATCATAGTCCAATTCCATTAATGGACACAAAACCTTCATGAAAAGGGACAGCCCAATCAACAAAAAGCCAGCAGGAGCTAGCGGGGGGGGGGGGCGGAATTGCTTCTGGATCCTCAGAGGCCAATGCGTTCCTCAGCCCAGGAGGGGCCAGTGCGTAAACTGCACTGCTTCCAACTGGTTGCCCAGGTGGGAAACAGGTTTTTATGTGTCTCACCTCTTGCTCTTGCTCACAACCAGGCAAGACCCTGGGCAAACACAGCCCAAAGTGTCCCCTGCTGCCACTGCCCTCTTCAGCCCCAGCCATCTTCTCCCACCCTTTGCTGCAGCTGTGAGGGCCTCTTTTGACAGGTGCACAGTCTGTGCTTTGTTCCACCTGAAGATATTCACAGAATTTATTTTGCCATTCTATGGCATTCAAAACTTGCAGAGTTTTATATTACAAATGACACTTTGATACACTTTGCAGTGTTTTATTTATCCAGCCAGATTGAGGTTCCCTGTTCTTTCATGCCACCGATGTTGCTTTAGTTTTCTTAAAATTCTCTGGGCCTTGTTTTTATTAAAGATAGTCTGTTCTTCAAGTCCCAGAATAGCAGTCAACTGAAAAAAACAATGGAGAAACGAATTCCTTTAATTCTTACAGTGGCAGTTATCTGCAAACCATTTGGAATCGGTCACTTTGCCCTTAAACCTATGTTTTTATATTGACTGCAACAAAACTAAAGCAAGTGCAAGCATGCCGTTTTGCATCATTTGCATTTGAAAGCAATTTCTAACATAATTGTTTTTCAGCATGAAGGAAGATGCCTGGAAGCCTTGCATAGATAGTCATAGCGTATCACTAGTGCATCTTTTTTGGAAGCACGTAGACACAGGCCACAATCCAGCACAGAACTATACATTGTGAACAGAATGCGCAATGGGTTGTAAGAGTTCAATGGGACTTACTTTTGGGTAAGGCTATAAAGGATTGCGTCCTGCAATCTTACGTACATTCACTAAGCAGTGAGTTCCTTCAGTGTGACTTATTTCCAACTCTACAATTCTATGATTCTACATTGAGATTCTTGCATCACAGGGGTTTCAACTACATGACCCCTAGGGTCCCTTTCAACTCTATAATGCTATGATTCTAAACATCCCATAGTTCTAGAATATCTGCATCACCACATCCATTTGATTTGCCTTCAGTCCAGATTTATTGGATAGACACAGATTTGAACAATGGGAACACTGGGGAAGTGCATTTTTGTTGTTCCTGCCAGACTTCTTAGTGGCTTTCAGTACCATCAACCCTGATATTCTCCTGGGCTGCTTGGTGGAATTACGTAGTATAAGTGTTGTTGTTATTTGCAGTAGTTCCGGTCCCTCCTGGAGGTGGTCCCAGATGACACTGGGAGGCTCACTGGCCCACACATCTCCCATGCTGCATCTAATTCAGATGTAGCCAAAGTGAGTCCCTCCAGAGGTTGCTGGACCATAATTCCCATCAGCCAGCATGGTCAATGCTACCATAATGACACAAACACTGGTGGAGGTTGTCTGGGGTTTTGCACCGCTCTACTGACACCCATCTCTTCCACTACTTTTTCCGCAGCAGTTGGCTTTTTCTAGGCCACAGGTTTTCAAGCTGTGGAGACTGCTTTGGGGGAAGCTCTTTGAGGCTCTCTGGATCCTTTGAAGAGTCTGTGGATCTAGTTCTTGGAGTCCAGGGGCAGAAGTGTCTACTTGGAGCTCAGGGGATGAGACGGGTACTCCGACGCTGGTGGATTCACAAGATGGACCAATGACTAGATGCAACTCCTCCTTGGGCTGCTATTGTATTAGGGCTCTGAATCTAAGGAGTTCTGGTCCAGGGTCATGACAAGGGAATATGTGACTTCTAGATTACAACAGCTATCTTGGCTACTGATATCTTTAGGGGAATTCTTCAAAGTCCTGGTTATTATCATCATAGCTCTGAAGACATTGGGATCTTCTCTGTCCTGCCAAAATCTGATATGCATTTGGCAGAAATCTGAGGGCATGCTTAGTGGCTGTGTGTATATATATATATATATATATATATATATATATATATATATACACTATATAAAAATGAGGACATTGGCTAGTATGTTTATTGTATTTTATTATAAAATTTAGTGTTAACAACCTTGGGGGTTTTATGTGCAAATGCAGGGTAAACATACATACATACATACATACATACATACATTTGTATGTATGTATGTTTGTTTGTTTGTATGTATGTATGTTAAAGAGATCAGAGAAAATTTACTGTACTTAAGCCACTGGCTGGGAAATCAAACTGGAAGTTCATTAGTTTAAATGGAAAACAATATGTTTTTCCAAACTCTTGTCAAAATCATCAGTACTCAGTGGAATTTTCTTCTACACTTAGAAGTAATAAGAATCCTTTAACATACGCAGCTGGATTTCTGAACTGAATTAACTTTTACATAGCTTGGTCTAGCAAAGAGCTGCACTTCTCTCAAATTCAAGAGGAATTTTTATTATCATGGTTACTTAATCAGCAGGCAATGTAAGTGTCAAATATTTGGGATAGGTCTTCCAAGGATTTAACAGAAGGCTGCTTTGTTTCATAACAGAGGGCTCTTATGGAAAAATTATTGGTAATATTTCTCAAACATTATTATAGTAGCTTAAGGGTGGATGAAAGTCATTTAACTGTCGTAATTCATTCTGCCAAGAGCACTGATGAATTTAATGAAACTATTTATTGAAGCTGGTTGAGAAAAGATTTTCAAAATTCTCAGGCAAACTATTCAAGATGAATAGGCTGATATATGAGACATTTATTTATTTGGATTTGTAGCGTGCCAATATCCTTGGGGACCATATGTGTGTGTGTGTGGATGTGTATACAAATACACAATTACAAGAGAAATTATCAAAGAACTCAGTCCTCGAAAGCCTCAAAAACTATTTGATCACGTGCATGAAGGAACTTTAAGAGTGGAATTTTAAAATTATTCCAAGGACCCATCTGAATGGGCATTGTGTTCATGCTACCCTACTGCCAGTGCAATATAGTAGATGGAAAGGAGTCATGAAGGGTGATGAAATCCTTCTCAGCCATGAAGTTTTTGGGATTGCATTTGCTCAATCTTTATCCTGAGTAAAAAAGAAACAAAAGCCTGAATTCAATTAACCCAGTGTGCTAGCTAAAGCCAGTGCAAGGGCTTCCACTAGCACAATGCAGCCTTCTCCCCTTCTCCTGACTCTCCAAAATTTGCTCTGAAGGTTCAGGAGAAACCACAGAACCATGCAGGGGGAGGAGAGGGGCTTTGTTCCCTCTAGCAAGGAGAAATGCCCCCACTGATGAAACGATCAAGATAGTAAACACTGAATTCCACCTAAATTGTATACACTGAAAAGTGCCACAGCAGGCCTACACAATTTGTGATTCACTAAAGCAAATTCAGACCACATGCCAGGTATTGTGGCCTGTCAAGTGTTTGTAACTCCTCTTATTTCGCTGTTCCAGACACATGCAAAATTAGATTGTTCACAGAGTCTTTCGTGGGCTGCCACACATGCGTGGCGAGTGGCATTCAATTTAGTTGATCACAAGTTGTGCAAGCTTGCAGCAATGCAATGCACAGCAATAATAATAATATTGTGACAACTGTGAGTAGAGTCTGCTGAAAAATACTCTGGTATTTTATTAGAAGATTTGTGTGTTTCCAACACAAGAAGCTCTTGGAGAACCTTATGCATCTCACCCCAATTTATGTAATTCGTGAGCATTCTTTGTTAATTTATGTGCTTTTGTAGAGTTTAACAGCACAAATTTCTGTTTGTTTTCTTCTTCAAGCTTTTGCAGAATACAGTGGTACCTCGGGTCAAGTACTTAATTCGTTCCAGAGGTCCGTTCTTAACCTGAAACTGTTCTTAATCTGAAGCACCACTTTAGCTAATGGGGCCTCCCGCTGCTGCCGCGCCGCCGGAGCACGATTTCTGTTCTCATTCTGAAGCAAAGTTCTTAACCCGAGGTAATATTTCTGGGTTAGCGGAGTCTGTAACCTGAAGCGTATGTAACCTGAGGTACCACTGTAACCCTTAACAGTGTTAGTGTACCAATCCTCATATACAAATGAAAATGTATTTTGAATAGCTGTTTGGCCTTGTAAAATGGTGCCACACATCGACTAACAAATAGAACCTTTTATGTACAATTGAAAATAAAGCTAAGTCCAACAAATCCCCAAAACCTGATTCTCAGAGCTGGGCAGCACCGAAAACACATCTATTTGGAATTCACTGATTCAAACTGCCATTCTTGAAAATTATAAAATACTTTATTAATATTATTACTTTGCAACATTTCTGAAGTAAACAGAATGAATTAATAATTAAGAAACAGTAATTGGTGACACTGGAGGAGGAAGAGGGGGGCGGGGGAGTGTACCACCCCCAGCACCATGATCCCGGTGGGGTGCCATCACAGCTATCCCTCCCCCATGCACTGGGCACCACACCCCCACAGGCATTGCACCACGCCCCCCAGAATGTGCACCACGCCCCTAAGGGCGGCGCACCACGCCCCCGGGACATGCACCAGCCACGCCCATGCCTGCTCTCCACCCCCGTGCTGGAGCATGAAGCTCTGCCACTGATTAGTGATAAAGCATTATGTTATCACCAAATGACTGCAGACTGCGAACATGGAAGGTTCATTTTTCATTCTTTCAGCTTTCAGTCCTATACACACTTTGCTGGAAGTAAGCTCCACTGAACTCATTGGGGCTTGCTTCCGTAACTCATTGGGGCTTGCTTCTGTGCAAATTTGCACAGGTTATTGTCAATTTAATGTAAGAGACCATTAACTCCAAACTTTTCCATTTTTTCCTCTACACTAATATATACCTGACAAGTGAGAACCACACTTCCTATGCTGATGACATAATAAAAAACTGTTGATCTTTAAGATTCTTCATTGGTTTTGCTGCAACAGACTAACATGGCAACTGCTCTGGTAATTTTAAAAAGATTTCCAGAATATAACAGAATTTAATTCTATAATAAAAATAGTAAACATTTGAAGTTCCGTATGGGGTGGTCCCAATTTCAAGTAACGTTAGTTATATCAGTCCACAGGAAAGCACTAAGGCTTCAAATGATCATGACTAACTTGTTCTGCCACCTGTCCCCTTTATGTATAATTACACGTTTGTCCACATGTGGTTTTGTTTTTATATATTTGTCTATTGCAACTGCTCAAAAATAAATAAAAGTCCTTTTTTTTAATGACTAACTTGTTGCATTCATTTCAACAAGACATGGTAATGAGTAACTTTTGCTGAATAGTGCTCTAAAGTACAGCATTTCTATTTTCCAACACTGCCTAGCCAAATGCTCCTGGGATGCAGAGCATGAAAGCAACAGCTTCTCTACCAGTTGTTTTCCCTCCAGAATCTAGTATTTACCTCCAGTAGAAGAGGCAGACTGTCTCTAACACATCAGTCCAAATCTACGTTGATATCTGTGGCCACACAAAAAAGGTATCTCCTAAAGATGCTCAGGATTTGGCAAGACTGGGAGAAAGAAAATTCTACAGACAGAACACAGTAATGTTTAATCCCACACCTACAGTTTTAAAAGATAGGCTAGGAAAAGCTTGATTCTGCTAGTTGCATAAACTAGCCCTGACAACACCTAGAAATCCTGGTGTTAGTAGGTATCTGGCTTGGTCACTGCAAGCAACTCAGCAGTCCCACACCTGCATGGGGCTGAAATAGCAGCCCTCAAGCCTTCAGCCCTACTTTGCAATGGGCCTTCCAGCAAACAAGTCAACTGTTATAAATCTTTAAAAAACAACAACAGAGCACCTGTCAGGCTACAATATATAGCTGGCACAGATGTGTATAAAACATTGGGGCTTCTAAGCTGACTAGGCTGTTGAAGTTTGTATAGCTTCAGTTACAGCAATACATTGTAGTAATAACAGCAAAATCAACTTGCATTTACATCAACTAGTGAGAAGAGGCAAAACACTCTGCCAGATACTCGCTTGCAGTCACTGCTTAGCCAGCGGAAAATGTCGGGTTTTGACTCCAAGTCCCTATTGTTTCCGAATAATATACTATCCAGTGCCTTTAGACAGGATTACCAAGAACAGATATTACACATTTGTTTTAGATATCACACATTTGCTTTGAAAGGTAATGTGACTACAGGGATATTGCCCTTTGCTAGAAAGATACTTGATCTCTATTGCACTGCCTTATTTAACACGCAGCAGAAGGAAAATAGAAAGTCTGCTCTGCTTAGCTTTCGGGAAGGTGGGGTGGAAACCTTGGTAGAGACCCCCCCCCTTTTTTTAAGGCATCTGAAAATCACACATAAATCACACGCTTGAATAGAATTAGGTCACAGATAGAGATATTTATGTCTAGACTAGTTTCCACACGTTTAATTTTCTGATCTGCCCCTTAGCCTGACCTTACCTAAATGTGGCAAAGTCACAGATTGTATTTATCGGGAGTTTGCATGATGTCGTTTGTAAAAATACGATGTGATGAAGTACTCTGCCCATGTGCAAATACCTCTGAGAGTCATGCTCTTACTTCACATTTATCAAGACGTATGGAAATACTTTGAGTTAGCTGGCTTTGTCTGTTTTTAATCAGACTGATAAAGCATAGTGTGCCATTCTAAGTGTCGAGAGAGAGACAGAGAGAGGGAGAGACAGAGAGAGAGAATAAACCGCTTGGCACTTGAAGGGAAAGAAGATAATGGTTATTCTAGATACATTAAAGAAAGACCAAAATTTAAACTTAAAAATATAAATAAATATAGCTTAGCCTTTTCTCTGATTAGGATGGATAAACATAAGTTTTTAATAATACTGTGAAAATGTTAAATATACTGAAATCTATCCCTCAAAATTTGTTGAGATTTTGAAGTTTGTTGGAGAAAGGAACTCAATGGAACTTCCTTCTGAGTAGACTTGGATAGGACTGCACTGTTACTGTGTTACAGAAAGGAAATCTATTATGATACAAATTTTCTTTCAAAGCGTAATGAGAGTTTTTGATCTTACTGCTATATTTTTCTATTTATTTATTACATTGATGTCCCACTTTTCTTCTATGGAACTCCAGGCAGCATATTTGATGGGATGTTTCAGGTGGTACCATCCAGACACCAGATCCTGACCTGCTTAACTTCAGTTAAGGTTGCCATATACCATACTAGTATTCAAAGAACTCAGTGGGTTTTCTTTCCAATATACTGCCAATGTAAATAAAGCAAATTTAAACTGCTTGCCAAAGCTGACAAGCATAATCAGTTCAATATTTTGTCTAGTGTCTCACAAGTTAGAATTGAGAAAGCTGTACTGAGTTATAGATGCATAATCACAGATATGCTCCAGAAGTTTTTGTGTCTCACTCTCATAATATGCTTCAACATATACTAGAACCAATTATATATTTCTTAGCCTACTAGTAGGGATGGCTAAACCATGACACCACAATACCTTTTTGTGGGGGGGGGGGCGCAATACCATTCAACATATGTCAAGGTAGTTATATTTATTCTTATTATTTTTTAAAAAAATTGACTGCTCCTATCAATTGTCCACTATGGTGTCATGGCGTGCAAATGGGTGTGGGGTTTTTTTGTCCAATACACAAACAGGTACCTCACTGTAATACTGCAATGCCTAAATATTTTTATGACCCCCCCCCCACTTGACCACCATGTGGTTTTGTAATTATTATTTTTAAATGGCCACAACTACTTTTATGCTTCTGAATACATGAAGAACAAAGGTCGCTAACTCCATTAGAATATTCTATGAACTGAATTTTTACTGTAGCATTCATTCTAACATACTATTCTACAGCACTACAACTTAAGAAAGTTCATTCCTTGCCCAACTCTTCCATTGTGAATGTATCTGAAAATGTGATTTGTATTTTGGAGTCTTTTTTCTACTTGCTAACATTCAAAAGGGAACTGTAAGCAGTCCTGCCACTCTGATTAGTTTACCTGTATAATTAACATATTCCCAAATGCCAGTTCCTCTAATTCACATATCACAATTTAATGAGTACATATTAACATAAAGTTTGAATTGGCTCACACTGCCTTTTCTCTGTTGAAAACAAGGCTTCCTCAGATTCTTTTTGGATAAACAGTTTTGTTAATGAGTTTTCCTTTAAAAAGAATATACAGCTGTCTCCTGCTGTAATCTCAGTGGAGAACTGCAAAAAATGACTGCAAAATAAAAATGATTACAAAATAGAAACGGCCACGTGAAGTTGTTGAAGATGTTTTCTGCGCTCTCTTTAATGATTTCTTTTGCAAAATTGAAAACATTATATTTTGAAAGATTATCTCACAGCTGTCAGTCGCCAACAAACGGGGGGGGAGGGGAGGGACCTTGTTTCTTTTTTATGACTGATAACGAAAGCGGCCTTGCATTTAATAACCTGCTTGGTAGCGTTTGCGCTGTGGGTAAAACCTCAGCGCCTAGGACTTGCCGATCGCATGGTCGGCAGTTCGAATCCCCGCGGCGGGGTGAGCTCCCGTCTTTCAGTCCCAGCTCCTGCCCACCTAGCAGTTCGAAAGCACATCAAAGTGCAAGTAGATAAATAGGTACCGCTTTATAGCGGGAAGGTAAACGGCGTTTCCGTGTGCTGCGCTGGTGCAGGCTCGCCAGAGCAGCTTCATCACGCTGGCCACATGACCCGGAAGTGTCTCCAGACAGCGCTGGCCCCCGGCCTCTTAAGCGAGATGGGCGTGCAACCCTAGAGTCGGACACGACTGGCCCGTACGGGCAGGGGTACCTTTACCATTTTACCTGGTAGCGTTATGAGACCATGCAGTTGAATAAGTGACTAGGTGAAGAAGGGATGCTTGCAATCAGCAAGAAGGCAGGTGGACTCTTTTTGGCTCAAAACTCAGGCACAAACGCATCAAACCTTAGAAGGCATTGCACACTATCTTTAAATTGGCAAACTGGAGTGGAAGGAAGTTAGGCCATATAACAATTACCCCTTTCTCTTCCCTGCCCCCGAAGACCTCAGATAACCCATATGCCTATGTTAGAAAATTGGACTAGACTTGTAACGAAGCCAGTTATAAAGAGATGGGGAAAATAAACTTGGTTGGGCAGACAGCTGTCTTGAAAACCACCTTCCTACTGAAGCTATTGTTTCTCTTTCAGACACTTCCTAGTCATGTACCTCTTAGTTCAGGGTTGTGAAATGGGGTCCAGGATCTTTATGTCCCCAACCCCCCATGGGCCAACTCGGACAGGTACGCAGGGCCACCCAGCTGTCAGTTGAACAGGCAACTTCAAAGGGACTCACTCTCAGCACCAGTCAGTTGATCGGCACTGAAAGTGAGATCCCCTGAAGGGCAACTATCAGTCACCCTCTTCTTTTTAGCTGGATGCCTGAACCAATGGACATTATATATAAATAGCCTCAAACAGCCCATGGTGATTTTTCTGCAGAACTTGGATTGTGACTCCTGCCCTGAAAAAAAGCTGTCACTCTTCCAAACCCCTCTTATCATTCTACCATGCTTTGGTTCATTCTATTTCGCTCCCATACACATTCCTTCCCCCCACCCCCACTTTTCTGCTATAAAGCAATACTTTCAGTGCAGGTGTTGAAAACAATCTAGGTTTAATGATTTGCAAGCTGTATTCATTGAAATAAGCAAAACTACAGGTAAAGATTGCACAACTATTGAGGCAAAAATAATTCATCAACTGTCATCCCAGTTGCATAAGTTTTCACTGGAAATGCTTATATTACAGGTTGCAGCATTTGTAGCCTAGATTAACTCCTCGCAGGGGGTATCCATTTATTAAGTTTGTGTTAATGTTTAATCGCACTGTCTTTTAAAATGTGGTGGCTCCTGTAGGCAATTTCTAGCTAATTTACCCTGTTACAATAATTAACTTTTTGAATTCAACAATTTCAACTAGCTACCAAAAAAAAAAAAAAGGAGTGGGGGAGAAGAGAGAGTTTTGCAGTCTACACTCTTTGTTTCTTCTTCATTTTCACTGAAGGATTGTCTAAAGGCTGTTTCTGCTCTTGAATGAATAGTTGTGCATAACCCTTTCTCCAAGGCAGCATAGAAAGTGTAGTCAAAGTAATAGAGAAATTCTACTCATCATATAAAAACAAGCTGAACTAATAAAAGATCACAGAGATACATTTCCCCACCACAGAACACCCCAAAGACCTCTGAAACTGGGTCACATAGCTCAATGCCAACAGCTGACAAGGAAAGAGAGGGGCAATGTTCCCTAGAGAAATTGTCCGCAGAAAGGACATGGCCCAATGGGTCATTCAACAGGTTGATCCTATTGGTGCGCAGAATTTTCTTATACTCATTTTGTTTTCAAAGTTTTTCCTCAGCAATGTTTATTTAAAAGAACAATTTAGTATAGAATGGTAGGTATGTTCTATAATAGATAGTCAACTAGCAAATTATAGCTTGAGGGCGTCTTTACTAAAACCGCACCAGTTGGAAGGGACACAATGAAATGTGTGAGGATAGAGAATGTTTTGTGTACATTCTGTTCCAGAAGTTATACGATTAGTGAAAATAATAAGATTATGGTAAATTAAAAATCAAAAACAAAACTGCATATTTAGTTTTAACACTATAGGTTCTTCTTGTTAATACGGGTGCTCAAAAATTACAAAGCAAGAATAGCTCAGAAACCATTATCAGAAAACCTGGTCAAATTATTTCACTACCTTTTGGAACAGTTTACAAGGGCTTCCATATTGATTTCAGTTGGAGGAATAACTATGCAGAGGTAACAGGATATGTGCATCTACCCCCTCACTATGAGTGTGTACATGTGCATATGATATATATTACAGAGCGATAAGATTGGATCCAGATGTTACTTGAAGTTAAAAGTCATTACTAAATGTGAACTAAATGCAACTAATTTGAGTGCAATATATTTCTACTCATAGAAGTCCTCATGAGTTCAGTGAATTTACTCCCAAGTAAGTACACACAGGACTGTCTGGGTTTAACCTGAAATAGGCCAAGACCATTTTGTGGCAAACAACACTGAAATACTCAAGAACACAACTGAAAAGCACAACTCTCCCAGTAAACATGAGCATTGATGTTGAGTCTTAAAATATTATTTTAATTTATTATATTTATATACCACCTTTCTCTTCCAAGGATTTCAAAGTGTACATAGTTCTGCTCCTCCACATTTCATCCTCACAACCCTGTAGGGTAGGTTAGGTTAAGAGATGGTGATTGGCCCAAGGTCACCCAGTGAGCTTCGTGGCTGAGTGTGGATTCAAACCCTGCTCTCCCAGGTCCAAGTCCCACACTCTAACCATTACGCCACACCAGCATTCAAAACTGAAATGAAATAAATGCATTCAAAACTTCAATAAAAACACGGGGTATGCTCTTCCCATGAGCGAAGTCTGTCTTACTAAAAGCCTCCCATAGTAGTTAATAGTACAGCATGGCATATATGTTGTCTGGCAGGGAAGATGGGAAGGAGAGAAAAGACCTCAATTGAGCTGCACACACTGGAGGTTGGATTATAATATGTACACTAAACAAAAGCCATAGGCTATGATCATTCTTATGTAACATGGCATTTTTTAAAAGGCACAAAAGGGATTTCATATCATCAATAGCATGCATAAGTAGGGTACACTAGTGTTTTGTATATGGGAGGCAACTGTTTGATGAAACAGAAAAGCAGAAAAAGAAGGGGCAGCAACAAGGAAACAGGATGCCCTTCAAAAGAAGGCAAAATCTCATCTGAAAATAATACTGAAATCTCATCTGAAAACAATAACGAAAATAGGGGGGAATAGCAGTGGAGCGCTGCCCTTAAAATACCACCCACTCAAGTACCATCATGATAAAGAGTCTATTCATATGCCCATCTCAGTACATGGCAACTGTTTTCTGTAATGATGTGCTAAAACCCAAGCCTTGTTTGGTCTTACACCAAGTGGCAGCTTCTCATTACCATCCAACCACAAATCCCTGAAGGCTGGACTCCATCCACCTCTTTCTACAATTTCCAGAATCTTTGTCATTGGGGCAGATATGCCTCATTGTCACATCCAGTATGGCCCGAAGGATAATCATCTCTGTAGAAATACTTTCAATGCACTTTCAAGGGTGAAAGATGAAAAGATGGCAATGTGTGATTATCCCTGCTATGAAATACTTTTTCACTGTGACCATTGCTAACAATTGACATTCCCCACCCCCATAAGACTAATGTTCTGATGAGAGGTCAAGCATGAAAGTACAGCCCTGGTTTCAGAAAAACATTCTGTGCCTGGCTAAATGCCAAGTTTCAAGTTGTATGGTATAATGAGCACCGTAACTGTGAGATTAAGATTTTTTGTTTTGTTTACTTGTATATCAAACTTCAATAGAAATATTTAAATGCCTGACAACCGCTTCCTCATGCACTATTAATACTCATTAAAAGTTCACACTCATTCTCAACATTGGAAAGTCACGCTGCAGTTCAAGCCTTGAGTCTGCTGTTCCAAAATGATTCTAATGATTGCAACAGAGCCAACACTGTGCCCTTTGGAAATGGTTGAACTACGGCTCCCATCAACCCCAGCCAACATGCCCAATGGTCAGGCATGATGATGATGATGGTTAATTACACTTATTAGTTGCTTACTAAAACAAACATTAAAAACCAAACAAAATACACACCAATAATATGTATAAAAGAACAGATCCAACTGAACCCCCCTTCACTGAAAGATTGGGGGGGGAGAATAAGCTCCAAAGGCCAGGGCAAATACATATGTTTTGCAGGAAGCCTAAAAACAGATTGTGATGGTGCCAGACATGACTCCCAGGGGAGAGCATTCCACAAACAGATCGCCACAGCTGAGAAGACCCATTCTCACATTGCCACCCTCCATCCCTCTCTCAGAGGGGTCACACAGACTAGGGTATCAGATGAACACATTTGCTTCATTTTGGGAGAGGCAGTCCTTGATGTGACTTGCAATGGACCAGTACCTGGTGGGCACCATGCAGTCTATCCCTGCAATAGGGACTTAAGAATTCTACCCACAACATGGAAGAAAAAAAACCTCTCTTTCCTTCCCCCATGTTCAAATTTTGGCTGTACAAGTGATCAGATGTAATCAGACTTCAGATAAATGGGCTGAGATGCTAAAGAAATCCCCTAAGTTTAATTCTGGAAATATGAATGAAGGCACAGAAGTTACATATTGCGTATCAGAAATGAATAATAGACCAACTGGGAAACAATTTTTTTAGCATTAAACTTGGGGTTTGCCCAGAGTGCATAAACTGGCAGTTATGGCACTAGAACCTTCTTTTAGATGAACTTTACCCTCTTATCATTGAAAAGTAATTACCTTTGTAAAATAATTCAAGAGCTTTTTAGTGAAAGGTGTCGTGTTGATCCTAGGCACTAAAGTGGAACATACAACTTTTTTGCTGTAAATTTCTAACGTTTTATGGTTTGAAATACAATACAGTTCATTTATTTTCCTTTACACAAGATAGTATAGCCTGGAAACCTAAAATCCAAAATGTGTTTGATTTGACTCTGGTTTTGCTCAGAATGCTCTAATCAAACTCTGCTGGTGAAGACAAAAATAAGTATCAATTGTGTCTTGAACTACAACAAAAAGCTTAATCCCATCAAATATTACAAAGCCTGTTAAGAATAAAAAGAAGAAAGTCCCCCCTCCCCTACCCAGTTTAAGAACTAGTTACAATTCACTAAAGTAAAGACACACATAGTTTAAAGCATAAGAATGTATGCTGAAATATAATTAGCAGCTATGAATTAAACCTGGGCGGATTAGACCCATTCTTGGAATGCTATTATGGACAGTGTGTTGTGCAGAAATAATGATCCTTCTGTTTGCACTGCAGCTAAACAGCTTCAATTTACTTTTGACCAGTTTGAATGGAAAGAAAGGTCCAGCATTTCAAATTCTGGCCTTCTAAACATAATTAGCTTGAATTATGCCTGTTTCACAGCACCGTATTGGCAATCTGGTTAGTGGCAGAAGGGATAAGGCTTTACCAGCCTCATTTAACTGCTTAATTTATATGGTAATTACAACACTACACCCAGAATAGTGTGCATCTGCCAAAACTGAAGGCCCCACAATAATAAAACTGACATGTGCTGTGATATTGTTGAAGTGCTGACTAAGAAACTTCTTTTATCTCCTCTTGCAGCTATAAAATGGTGTGCATGTTATTACTAGCAGGGTATTTTAACAGCCTTGCACATACAGCAATTATGTAACACATGCACAAAACAACAAGAGTTTCACATCACTTAATAAATCCTTGAGCTCCCCTTAGTTCCAACTCTCTCGCTGGCTGGATTTTATGGTCTGGTAGCTCCATCTGACCATCAGAATACTGGAGTACACACACCACAAAAGCAGTAGAAAAATCGCTAGAAACAATTGATTTGTATTTGCATTCGATCTAGTTGATGAATGGGACATGGTGAATATTTATGGGTTAACAAAAAGAACCTGCTCAGTGACTTTATCCTCTGTGCACCTGTGGCAAGTCACTACTCAAATGCATTAATTTATGTATTTTTAGAGTAGCTTTTAAAGCACCCCCAATCTAATAATTCTTGCAGAAGCCCTGAGATGGAATTAACTGCTGACAGCGAGGCCTTTCTCATTCACTTAAATGAAGGTGAGCTTCTTTGTTGTGCATTGAGTTTTCACTCTGCTGAAGTGAACCAGGATGCTCATTTACACATGCATTTAAAAACTCCATCCAAACAGAGTTTCAAATGAGTACTGTGCGAAAACATCACAATAAATATTATCAGACTAGAGTAATAAAATGAAATGGGCTAGTGGAAAGTGAGAGGAACTGAGCATCCTCAAAGGGTTTCAGTGTTTGATTGGACCATGCACAAGGTCCAGTTAATTTTCAGGATAAGAAGCCGGCTGCTCGCCCATCCCTAAGGCTGAGAGCTTGCATAAGTAAACCTGAGTTATAAATATGTAGGTAGTTATCATTAACAGCCTAATATACTGCATTGCTATATGTGAATCAGTACGGAGAACTCCAGGAGTCTTGGCACAGCCAAAAAGATCTGAATAAGGGATTACTGATTGTGTCTGTAAGTTGCTTTGAGTTATTTCAGTGAGTAAGGTCCCCCTGACCATTAGGTCCAGTCGTGGACAACTCTGGGATTGTGGTGCTCATCTCGCTTTATTGGCCGAGGGATCCGGTGTACAGCTTCCGGGTCACGTGGCCAGCATGCCTAAGCCGCTTCTGGCAAACCAAAGCAGTGCACAGAAACACTGTTTACCTTCCCACTGGAGCGGTACCAATTTATCTACTTGCACTTTGATGTGCTTTCGAACTGCTAGGTTGGCAGGAGCAGGGACCAAGCAACAGGAGCTCACCCCGTCGCAGGGATTCGACCCGCTGACCTTCTGATCGTCAAGCCCTAGGCTCTGTGGTTTAACCCACAGTGCCATCCGCGTCCCTTCCATGAGTAAAGCAACTAATTAATAATAATAATAATAATAATAATAATAATAATAATAATAAGAGAAACCAGAGCTTATAAGTGCTGGAGATGATCTGAAGCCTTGGTCTACCATATTTACTGACCGCAGGGTCAAAATTTGTGAATTTTACAATGTTGAAAGAATAGCTCAAGTTAGACCTAATGTGGGAGATACATAAAACATGTGGGAGATAAATAAAACATATTTGAAATTAATGCCTGGAATCCCATGGAATATAATTGTCTCAGCTTTGCATGATAAATTGAGGCTGTTCTAAAATTCTTTTGGGAGCCTGCTTAGGACGCACCAGTTTCAGGCTCAGAACCCAATTAATAAAGGGGAAGTGTGTAAGAGTTCTAGAAATCAATCCAATTTAACTGACCTACCAGTTTGAAAGAACCTATTTTTATGCACTGCAGCCTAAAGGCTCTGTTCAGACATTTACAGAGTATGCATCCCTCCACTGAATAAAAATCTGATTTGCATTCTTCCCTGCCCCGTGCCTTGTGGAGGAGGAGGTAGAGGAAAAATAACAGCATCTTCCTTGTACAACATGACTTAAGGTGCATAGTAGAAAAGAGGGGCCAGTGCCTCAACTTCCTCTATGTGGAGATTGTTTCTGCCTGTTAAAAAGCCAAAGACAGACTAACATGGACACTGAATGATTTCCTTTCAAGACCAATTTCATTTTGGGGGGGGGGGGGATGTTACTTGCTGAACATCTATTGCATATCTTCATCAATGATACTGAAAGAAAAAAAGTCAACGGCCCAGTTAAACAACAACAAATTATAGCTCTCCCCTCCACTTTATTCGAGAGGAAAAGATTTAAAGCTTCAATTCCTGTTTAGGAACAAACCACAATTGGTTGCACCTGAAGTTGACAAACAGTGGTTTGCTCACTAAGTCAGGATATTTCCTGGGTTGATATATTGGGTGTTAAATAATGGATAACTAAATATATTACTTGCCAAGTTCACACAAATTGCTGTTTATTCCAAACCAAGAATGAAGCCTTTAAATATTGTATCTTCATATACAAAAGTTAGGGTGGAAGTGTGAACTTGTGCCTAGTCAATGTACTAAACAAATCATGTTTTAATTTTCATTTGTCTGAAGTGGGTCAACATGTAGAATATGATGACTGTAAGTAGCTTCAAAGCATCTGAATAAAATAATTGCTCAGAAGTTAACTTTTCTTTTCCCCTGATGAATGTTGTTTGTGGCAAAAAGGTATGTGTGGAATGTTTGGTTTTCATCCTAATAATTACTTCCAGGAGCAATGTGCCACCAATTTTATTCTCACATGGTTCTGGGTTCTACATAAAAAGAAAACACAGTACAGACTTACATAAGCAATTCTTGTTTATCACAGCTTTCTTACTAAAAACACATGGGATGACTCACACAACTCATCCTCCCAGCTCTGGCATATTCATGTCCATCATAAGAAACTCTACAGTGTCTTCACTAAGTCACCAAAAAAATGATTAGATTTGTATTTAAAGTTAAGAAAATAGTTGTGAGAAAGGGTTAGGTCCTGGAATGCAGAAATACCAAATATTAAATTTAGAAATTAAAGGTACAAAACATGTTGTGGTCTTATGGCCGATGCTACAGAACTGCTACTGCCAAGAATCAACCAAGAAGAAAAGGTCTGTGCATACCTGCTGATGTGGAACAGGTAAAAGGTAAAGGTAAAGGAGCCCTGGACAGTTATGTCCAGTCAAAGGCGACTATGGGGTGTAGCCCTAATTTCGCTTCAGACCGAGGGAGCCGGTATTTGTCCACAGACAGCTTTCCGGGTTATGTGGCCAGCATGACTAAACTGCTACTGGCGCATGCTACCGTGACGAGTGCCAGAGCACACAAAAACACTGTTTACCTTCCCGTCACAGCGGTACCTATTTATCTACTTGCTTTTGAACTGCTAGGTTGGCTGTGGAACAATGACCACAATTCAGGCATTATGCTATTAGCCTGCATAAGCCAATAACGTATGAGGCAAAAGAGATACATTGCATAGTCTATTAGGCTAGCTAGAAAGGAGCAAAATTACAGTTGAAGAATGGTATAATCGTTGTTATTATTCCCAATGACATAATGAAGAGCTTCACTAACGGACAGATAGCCTTCTAACTACCACAAAACAACAAATTTACAGGGAGGCTGTTAACTCTCCAAATAAAAGCACCATGTAAAACCCACAATGATGTCTGGAATGCTCAGTGACTGTCAACCGGGTGGTGGGAAACTGCCTCGGCTGTGAGGCACGGCATGTTTGGCAAGGAAGAATCAGCTTCACAAGAGTTATAATTTAAGTAGGCCCAGCTGTGCCTTCTCCCCCTCTCTTTTTCCTTCCCACCGTCCCCAAACTGAGTTGGTAGCAATGGCAGCACAGCTTTCAGACTACACTCAGGGCCTGAGGCAGTTGCAGATGGCTTAGCAGTGCAGTGAGAGCAGGGCTTTGGAGCTTGGCTCAGGCCTGAAACTGCTGCGAGTGGCAGACAGCAAGAGAGGCATCTCAGCCTGGCCTGGGTGTGAACTTGCTACCAGCCTCTTGGTTTTTCGCCTGCCTCGTAGCAATTCGTCACAACTTTCCCGGGATTGGCGGTTAGGCATTGGAATATGTGTCGTGTGTTGGTGGGCAGGGTTTGGCCATCACCTGCCTCGTCCCTTGTAGGGTATTCCGTTAAAGGAATCCGGCGGTCGTGGATCCTGTCCGATGCCCTGCCGGTGGCTAGGGCCAAGGCACAACCCCCGGTGACATCAGGGGAAGCTTCCAGTTGTATTTGCATCAACAAGCTCCTCCCACTGTTTGTTAACCTTCAAGGACCCCCCGCTGCGCTGGTGGGGTCATGTATAGGTTGTTTTATCCAATGCCTAAGCCAATACTTCTCACATGCTGTAACCAATAAAGTTGTGGCCTTTTCAGCCCATTAACCTAATATACTTGTGTCCTTGTCCCATGTGGGTTCGGGTCATCAACTCACAATTAGCAGACTAGCGAGCCACAATGGGGTTGCTTTCAAGCTCTGGGCAGCTGAGGAAGTTGACGCTGTGCAGAGCTGCTGCTGCTGCGGCTGCTTGGTGCTTAAAGTTGGCTGCAGCACAGCAGAGGTGTGGTTAGCATGGGTAAGTTACACCAGGACAGGGAAAGGGAGCGTTTGCTGCTTACTGTGTGTTTGCTGCCACACACCTATTGTCAGTTGTGGCTGTTACCTGCATGTGCACCAGTATGCACTGCATAGCATGTCCCACATATGTGTATGACCGTGGTTAGACTTCCTTTGAGTTGTCTGTTCTGAATTTACTTGAGTATTTCTTGCTTTCTGAATAGCCTGAGGCATGGTTTGGACTTAAGGAGTCTATGGAGGCTCTGACACCCTTAGGCAAGTCATCTCATGGGCTTGGTGTTCCTTCCTTACACTTACTCGGGAATAACCCCCACTGAATATTTATTTCGTTTTTTTCAATTTGTACACTGCCCTTCATCTGTAGATCTCAGGGCAGTTAACAGAATAAAAATACAAATAAACACACGAAAATATAGTTAATATAGTGTAACTTTCTTCTTGATATGATTTCACTGTTAGAATCTTAGTAGCTCCAGTTGTGTAGTAGAATGTGGTAGCATGATTACTGACAGGAGTGAGCTCCTGTCAGCATACTATATGTCCGATTAAATATCAGCACAGGCTGCCTATTTGTTACCGGGCCAAGTTCAGTGTGTTATTATAGTAATATATAAACCCTTAACAGCTTTGCACAAGTTTACTTGAAGGATCGCCTTGCATCATATGTGCCAATTTGCCGCCTTCAATCTGCCATATAATGTTTGCTTCACATCTGTGAAGAATCGATCTTTGGCAGCAGCTCTGCTTTGGAACTCCCTGTCTTTAACATTAAGCAGGCACCTTTATTATGCAATTTTAGGCACCTGCAAAAAAACTTTATTTTAGGAAGCCTACCCAGATACATAATTCAGTCATATATACTTGTTTTTAAAACTCTGTTGGTTTCTTCTGTTTTTTATTGATAATTATTTTATGTTTGGGTATACCACTTAGGTTTTTTGATGAAGCCATTAATAACATTTCTTAAAATAAATAGTGTAGGGCTGGTTTCAGTTGGTGAACTTAATCTTGCAGGCACAGCCCCATGGACCTAACCCTGCAAGGCAAGGTCAGTTCAGCCATTTCAGTTCAGCTGACCTGAGTGACCCAATTAAAATATTTGCAACAATTTCCAGAGTATTTTCGGTATTTAAATTTTTTAGACATTTTTTGTAAGGAAATTCCTTTTCAACCATGTTCACCAACAAGCCCTTAGAAGCCAATTATATTTTAAGCCCCTGACCCACCATCTATTGCCGCATGTGTCCCTCTGGACCAAATTGCTTGTCCACCCCAGATCTAACAAATGGATTCTGCCACCGTATCCTCCACTTCCATGTATTCTGTATCTGTTTATCAGAGAGAGCCATTATTTTCCAGTAACTTTCCTTGCTAAATCACTATTCCTATTTTGCTTTATTAAAATGCTGTTAGCGTGAATTGCTAGGGCTGCCAATCTTCAGGGTTAAACCCCTTCGCCATTATCTCTAGAAGTTACATATCGGAGTAGATAGTGGATGCATCTTGTTTCTATCTATGTAACTCTAGGTGCATGAACATTAAGGTATGTGAACATTTAAGTTTTGTAATGAACAGCCTTAATGTTTTGGCACACTAGGAAGACTAATTTTGGGGGCAAAGCAAGAAAAATAAAGCCAGATCCAATATAAAGGGGGGGGGGGGGAGTCAACCCCAAAGGTGCTCTGTTTGAGTACTATTAAATAGGTTGCATTATTATAGTAAGATGGGATGTACTTAATCGTATTAGCACACATTTTTGTGCATCCAGCAGGTCATTCTGAACTGTTGATAATAAGTTTTAGAACAATTATGTTTTTGTAGCACTTATTTAATATAAAGATCAAACACCATATTAGCTGTATAAAAGAGCATTAAAGCTAATAATAAATTAATACAGCATACGGGAAAATGAATCAAACCTTCAGTAACATGTACAGAGCTGATGAGAAGGTGAAAACCAGGCCAAATGAGAAATGGCTTTTACAAGCATTTTCATCTGTGCAATGTTGGTGGATATGCATTAGAGCCCTACAGGTTGCGACTGACTTTCCATCTGGTTGATCCTGCAATTTATCCCCTTTTCTCACAATACAAATAAATGCCAAGCTGACAATGGGTTATGCATTAGTACAGGTGGCTTATTCATTTACCATTTAATAAGTGAAGAATAGTTTCTGCCCCTGTAAGGTCTTGTGGGCATCCTCTTAAGAGAAAAAATGTCTGGTATGCACAAGAGGGGGTATATACCATAGCAGATTCCAAGGAACTGTTTTGTACTAATCAGACCTCGGAACTGACCTGTTAACATTCATTGTATTTTAATGAACCAGTAGCCCAGTGCATTCCAAAGTCATTGCTTATTGTAGACCCAGCCACCAAACTGCAGATCCCCGTCCAGACTTGTATTCCCATAAATAGCAAGGGTCAGTGACCAAAAGGCAAAGGTCAATGGCAGAAAGGGATGTTGTAGACTGAGTTTATTTTCTTTAGCAGCTTACCAACTAACTTATTAAACTGAAGCTATAAAACTGACGTACGTTATTTTAACACCATCATTCCATTGACAAAGGACAGTCATTTAAGTGAAGAGGCATCTTAGTCTTGGGGCCTGCAAGTGAAAAGTCTTGTAGCATGTTGCAAGTCTAATTTTTATTAAAACCTATGCTTTCATAGATTGAAGCCTATTTCATCAGATACATGGTGGAACTACTAACAAGAAAGCATTTGAAATATGTTTCCATCATATTTACAACATTTCCGGATTAGCTCTTCTTGAGAACTCTGTGTGTTGAATCATATATTTTTTGGCATAATATCCACATGGATTTTCAGCTCCAACATATTTTCTGCATCTGTTCCTTCACAGGAATTGTTCTAGGCAAAAGCATGGGTTGTGGGAGGGAAATACTGCATCAGAAGAGGAACCAGGTTCATATGGATCATAACATGTACTTACGAGGAATATGAAAAGGCAATTTGTCAGAAATTATTTGTACTAAATTAAAACTGACTATTGGAGTAGTAAAGAAACCAAATTTGCACATATGTGTAGGGGAAGGTTTGATTAGCCTCATCTCTTTTAGTGCTTCAAGAAATGTTTAAATGAAGCACACAATGCAGGTGCAATACTACACCACTGTTAAACTAGGGAGGCAATGTTTCAGTTCACTGCTTTCTGCTGAGAAGAAAAGGATATTAAAGCATTTAAAGCATACTAGTGATACCATGTTACATAATGTTTCTTTGGGGCAGGACGAGGTGTTTCTACCAACCGGCTTCTTACACACTGGAGGAGTGAGGGAGCCCTTGAAGGCTAAGTCTGCAATCATATTCATTCTTACCTGGGACTAAGTCCCTTTGAATTCAGTGGGGCTTACTTCTAAGTAGACATGTACAGAATTGCATTGTAAACCTCTTTTATTGCTGTGCAGGTTTACACTATGCGGGATTGGTTGGTTTAGTTGCAGTTATTTTTATACAGGGAGCGGAACCATTGGCAGAATGAACATCTTCAGTCTGCCTAATGTGCAAACGCACAAACCTAAGGCTACTACAGCTCTAAGCTCCATAAAACATCTTCCCTAAGGGAGTAGTAACAAAAACATTCCTGTTCCTCTCCTTTTAAAGGGTCAATAAGTGATGGGGGCATGGGGGCATTATAAGAGGCAAATTGGTGGTCCTCTGGCCTGCTTTCTCCCTCACAGCCCCTTCCTTGCACAATTGTTATGGCAGCTACTGCATTACTGAAAACTCACATGTTTGCAATTGGTGAAGCAGCCAAGAGGAAGCAGTTTGGTTAATTTTTTGACAGCAGGTGGGGACACAGATGAAGTCAAAGCAGCATTTAGAATAGATGCTGCACGTGCTGTTACTCCCCCCCCCCCCATGTGCCCTCCAAGAAAGGTGGAAAGTGATCAAGCACAAACATGCGCAGTCTGGTTTCCAGTTTTGAGGGGGCTTTTTTTTTTTTGCCTCTTTATTTTTCCTTTTATTTGCCCATATTTTGTTTTTATTTGTACCTCTGCAAACTTTGGGGCTCACCTGAGCCTGCCTCTTGTGGTTGGTGGTGCCATTTTGGCTACGTCAGCATCAGCACACCGTGAACAAGGGAAATAGAGGGAGTGATTTCTCTGCTTATTTGGAAAGCTGTCTTTTAGCATTAGACTTCATGGTTTAATATAATTCAACCTGCACTTGTTTTATATTAACATAACACAAGTTATGTAAAATCCCACCAGTTTATATAAGCAGTGAGAAAGCACTTGATCTTCATACAGATATTGCAATTGAGAAGCATCACTGTAATTTATCTATTTTGTAACACAGAATAATATTACCAAGAGCACAAAACGAAACCTTTTGTCATTCTCTTCTTATTCTTGGTATCTACTGACTTTAGCAAACTAGGAAACTTTAGAAGACTTACAGTCCCTTCCAGGTTTTTCAGCTGCTGGTCAATCTCCTTAAGCCGGTTACGCTGATCTCGTTCTTCTTTCGTGTCTCTTAAAACCTTTTCACCTGGAATTGTTTCCAGCTTTCTATTTGCATAAGCCAAAGAATCCTAACAGAAGCAAATAATAATGGAATCATTGACATGTAAAGCTGAAAAAGAAAGGGAGACCATCTAGACCAATCTACTAGGGCCCCCTCCATGCTAAATGTCGCTTACAGATTAAACTGTATCAGATTATAGGATGTCATCAACAGTAGATTGTAGTAGTGACTGCTGAGCTGAATAATATGCTTAATAAAACATAGGCAGCTGGGCTCAAACAAATGTTGTGCTATGTATTCCTGTAAAAGGGAAAATTTACAAAGGTAAATTTGGCCTATGGGGAAACTCCAAATATAGCTATCAATAAGACCTTTAGAAAGATAGGGAATGTGAACCATGTTTCCATCCTCAGATAATAATACCCTACCTGATAGTCCTTCTCTAGTTGTGATTCTTACGTAGAAAAATTTAACATATCTGAAGAAGGGGGTGGGGACTCTATCATACCCATCAATAGATAACCAATAGACACTTCTATCTACACCTAGGCTCTTCATGGGCTTTGCATACCGAAAAGCAGAATTAGACAGACAGAATATAAATTCAGGAACTGTTCCTTTTCACTGTTTTCCAGAGGAGAAACAGAAATGTTATGACATTTCTTAACTGAAAACACCTTAGTAGGGAAACTTTTCTGTAACAAAGGCTCCCTATAGCACGTGTACCCATAATGATATACATGAATGCAGGATTAATCATGCTACAATTGATACACTGTATGTTAAACAGCTAAAATCCCCACATGTAATATCTTTAATGTAGCAATTCTCTGACAATTAAAGCTGAATGTAGGCATGTTAGATTATCTGGAAGAGTAACAAAAATTCCTAATAAAAATAACATATTGATAAACTGCTGGTCATTTAACTATAGAATACTGTTTAATACGCTATACCAATGGTTTTCAACCAGTGTGCCGTGGCACCCCGGGGTGCCTTGAATGATGCTCAGGGGTGCTACAGACAATACTGGCCTCTGTCCCTCTTTCCTTCCCTCCCTCCTCTGATGCCCTATCACATCTCAGCCTCCCAAAGGCTTGCACAGCTGTTTGTGTGCGAATGGTGCCTCTGGGGCTGGCCAGGGGGCACTTCAGTGTGAGGAGGCATCCCTCTTTGGGGCAGGAGGGCAGGTCAGAGACCAGGGGCAGCAGCTGCTTGGAGGACTCCCAAGGAGAGAAGGAGGCTGAGGGTACAATCCACAAGGGAGGGTGTTTGAAAAGGGGTATGGGGCAGCCGGCTCTGCAGGCAAGGGGTGACCTAACTGGGCTCCTGAGCCCCACAGGGGTGCAGCAGAAAGAATGTAGTTGGTCAAGGGAGCCATGGACCCAAAATGATTGAAAACCTCTGCACTAGATAAAGGTTTACTTTTAACAATGGGCTTTCAACTTCTATGAGCATTCCTGCATTTAATATCATCTGTACTGCATGCTGCATACAAACCACCAATTTAATTTAAATCTTTTCAATATATTATATAGCATGAGAAAATCAACTTATTTTTATCTGTTAGATTATCAGGAATGGAAACAGGAAGAAGAGACAAAGGATAGCATTATTCACCACTGGAATGAAAGTTTCTACAAAGTCCAGCTTCTTATTTTCCACCCTGCTCACTTGCTGCTATGACATCACTTACTTAACTGAGCCTAAAGCAACTGAGTTAATATTTGGCAAATATGAATGATCAAAAAGTTACATTTGGCTACACATAATAAGAAACTAGATGTCTTTTTAAAAATTGCCAAAATAAAACCGTCCAGATTTTAATTAAAGCCACATACTTATGACATAAAGCAAACTTCTTCCCCAAAATATAGTGCATGTTAAGCCAAAATATCAACTGGAATTAAAAGTGGCTAGATTTAATGAACAACAGAATAGAAGCCGTTGGTAGACTTTTCTCTGTAGCACAAGTAAAGGCTCTGTCAACAGATATGCCAGTGAGGTCACTGCTTTCCACAAACCTCTGGGGAGCCACCATTCCTTTGACAAAACAAATACTTGCTTATCTAACTAATCAGTCAGCCCTGCAAATGCCTTCTGCTAAAAATAAATGCATATATAATAGCCTACATCCTAAGAACTGCAGATGGCCAAGCCTAAAGACAGGAGGACCCTCAGAAATGGAGTGGAATGTAGGATGTCATCTGTAGATGAAGGGAATTGCCAAAAATCACATGTCCTCTTCAGCAAGCAGAAGTGTCTTTCTGCTCAAACTAGACACCTTTGGATCCAAGCAGAATTCTGCCCTTAAAAGTACTTCGGCACGACCGGATCCTATGCAAGCCCAGTAAGAATTAAGTCTAACTTAATTAAGTCTAACCACCTGCCTCCTTGATCCGTGCCCGTCTTGGCTGATTAGGGAGTGTCCAGATGTTGCGCGGACCCCCCTGGTTGAAATTATCAATTTGTCCCTTGACACGGGGACATTCCCAGGGGAACTGAAGGAAGCAGTGGTGTGTCCACTCTTAAAGAAAACTTCATCAGATCGCTTAGACCTATCCAATTACCGCCCAGTTTCAAATCTTCCATACCTGGGTAAGGTAATTGAGAGAGTGGTTGCTGAACAGCTTGGTAGGTTTCTGGAGGAAACATCGGCATTAGATCCATTTCAGTCCAGTTTCCGTCCTGGTTTTGGGACAGAGACGGCTCTGGTTGCTCTAACAGATGATCTCCGGAGACAACTGGATCGAGGCGGGTCAGGACTGCTGATCCTTTTAGATTTGTCAGCAGCCTTTGACATGGTCGATCATGATCTTCTGGACCACCGCCTCGCAGACGTGGGGATACAGGGCATAGCCCGTAACTGGTTGTGCTCTTTTATCTCTGGTCGGGGACAGAGGTTGGCACTAGGGAGGGAAATGTCGTCGCGCCACTCCTTGGTGTGTGGAGTGCCGCAGGGCGCAATTCTCTCCCGATGCTTTTAACATCTTTATGCGCCCCTTGCCCAGATTATCCGGAGCTTTGGGCTGGGCTGTCACCAATATGCTGATGACACTCAGCTCTATCTGCTGATGGATGGCCACACCGACTCGGCCCCGAACACACTGACCAGATGCTTGGAAGCTGTGGCTGGATGGTTTCGTGGGAGCCGTTTGAAACTAAATCCTTCGAAGACAAGAGGTCCTATGGCTAGGTCGGGATGGCATGGGGATGAGGGACCAACTCCCTTCTCTTGCGGGGGCCCAATTAGTGCCACTGCCTTCCGTTAAGAGTTTGGGTGTAATCCTTGACGCCTCTCTTTCCATGGAGGCGCAAGTTACAGCAACAGCCAAAGCGACATTTTTCCACCTTCGCCGCATCAAGCATTTGGTCCCTTACCTTTCCCACCCCAACCTGGCCACAGTGATCCATGCGACGGTCATCTCCAGGCTTGACTACTGTAATTCGCTCTACGCAGGGCTGCCCTTGAAGCTGTCCCAGAAACTCCAGCGGGTACAGAATGCTGCAGCGAGGCTCCTCACGGGGTCTCTGCCATGGGAGCTGATTCACCCAGTGCTTTTCAAGCTGCACTGGCTCCCGGTGGAGTACAGGGTCAGATTTAAGGTGCTGGTTTTGACCTTTAAAGCCCTTCACGGCCTAGGACCCTCGTACCTACGGGACCGCCTCTCCCGGTATGCCCCACGGAGAGCCTCAAGGTCCATAAATAGCAACACCCTAGTGGTCCCGGGCCCTAAGGAAGTTAGATTGGCTTCAACCAGAGCCAGGGCCTTTTCAACTCTGGCTCCGGCCTGGTGGAACGCTCTGCCTCACGAGACCAGGGCCCCGCAGGATCTGATTTCTTTCCGCAGGGCCTGTAAGACAGAGTTGTTCCACCTGGCCTTTGGCTTGGAGCCAATTTGATTCCCTCCCTCCTTCTCTTTCTTTTTTCTTTTCCTTCTCCTCCTGCAATGAGGCTACATTTTAATATTTTAATGTTCCATTATTTTAATGTTGTATTTTATTTTTGTTTTTAAGTTGTAATCATTCATCTTGTTTTTATTATTGCTTGTAAGCCGCTCTGAGCCCGGCCTTGGCTGGGGAGGGCGGGGTATAAATAAAAAATTATTATTATTATTATTAACTGGATTCAGTTGAGCTTACTCCCATGGAAATGTGCATAAGATTGCATGGCTACTCTGTTTGCAGACATATGGGATTTCGTTTAAGGATACCATACTGTGATGGAAAATAAAACTGGACAGAGAACACAAGGAGGGGAAAAAAGCTAATCTGTCACCCAATATTTTTGAGCTTGCTCTTCTGTTTGATAGATGTCACATTTTCTAAGCTTTGGTTGCACTATTTTGTTTATCTGGGAAAATATAACCACTGTTATAGTAATTATGGTGCAAATTGTGATTACACAAGTGCCATAGGCACCTATGGGATGTAATTAAACACTCAGGGCTTACTCGCCATGCATCATTGTAGAGTATTAAAACACTTTTTAAGTTCCAAGAGCAGCAAGGCTTATTATCATGCATTGAACAGCCATTTCAGAAACATTTGCTTAAATATTTTATTTATTTTCAGGTTGTGGAGATCCACTATTCATCCAGACCCTATAAAATAAATTGTGGACAGCATTGTCACTATTCCCACCACCACCAGACTCTCTCCTACCCATTACTCACAGACATGATATCACTCTTCTGGCACAAGATACAAGCCTGTGAGAGTAGCACACTAATCATTAAATGCAGTCGGGGCACCCATTTTATCATGTGGAAAAGCTCAGACTTACAGATAGCTGTCTGGTTGCACAGAGCTGGCATTAGCTCTATGTAGTTCCTTTTAAATCCTTATTTTAATCTGCTTGTTAACATCTAACATCTACTACTGTAATGCAAACCATGTGGCAATGCCAGTAATGGCAGTTTTTCTAAGAGCCAAATGTCATGCCAAAAGGTTTAGCTCAACCGCCCTCAAGTCAAATGTAGCATGATGGCATCTGAAAGCACTGATTAATCACACATACAGGTTGTTTTAATGTTGTAAAAAAAATACATTTAGATAAAACCATAATACCAATCAAGAACGTTTCCTGGTGTACCCACTCTCTGTTAACAAAGGGATGGGTTTCACAATAGCATTTATCAGTACAGTGGTACCTCAGGTTAAGAACTTAATTTGTTCTGGAGGTCCATTCTTAACCTGAAACTGTTATTAACCTGAGACACCACTTTAGCTAATGGGGCCTCCCGCTGCCACCACACCATTTCTGTTCTCATCCTGAAGCAAAGTTCTTAACCTGAGGTACTATTTCTGGGTTAGCAGAGTCTGTAAGCTGAAGCGTCTGTAACCTGAAGCATCTGTAACCCGAGGTACCACTGTAGTAGTACATGCAGCTTGAAAAGCTGAGCACCAGATTTTTGAATCATATTTTAAGATAAACCCTAAACACTGGCATGCCTATTATTGTACTATAAAACACATGCATTGTAATACATTATTATATATCATCATATATATTAGTAGCAAATTCATTATCTGAGTGTCCTTATGTTGCCAGATCAACACCACCTAGATACAAGAGATAGTATCCGCAAGCTTGGAGAAATACCAATGTTTGCAGTGCAGAAATACCAAAACTAATAAAAATAGTAATAATAATAACAACAACAATGTGAGGGACATAAAATTGGGGACAGGGGTGGAGGACCAAAACAACCCAATGAAAACTGAGCATGTTAATTATTGGAAGAAGGAAATATAAATCAACTATTGGGGGGGTCAGGGGATATAAAAATCAATACCATACATGAGAGGGGAAACCTCCAACCCTCAGACCAAATCTTGGCCTGCCTGGAGGTAAAATTTGGCCTGCAAGGCATTAAAAAAATAAAATAAAATATGGCCACCTGCCAATCAACTGACAGCACTCTGATGGGAGGGTGACATCAGCTAATGGGCAGGGGGCAGGGTTTAATTTTGTGTTGGTAGTGCATGCCAGTTCCCCTGCTGGGAGCTGGTACATGCAGCCAAAGTAGTAGGATTTAACCCCTGTTCATCAGCTGATGAGGGCTTTTAATCCCTCCTCATCAGCTAGGGAGTGGGGGTTAGATCCCACTGCTTTGTCTATGCATGCCTGTTTCCCTGCTGGGAACAGGTGTGTTCAGCCAAAGCACAATGCAGGGCTATTTGAAAGTCTGGCTTCCACAGGCATCCACAGGAATAAAGAGGCTTAACCTAACCTTCAACTTCCTTCTGCTAAGGATGGAAACCATCTTCATGAAGGGATTCTGCATCACAGATCACTCGTCCTTCCACAGCAGTGCCAGTCATCCAAGACACTCTGCACTGCCAAGGGTTCAGTATAGGACACTCCTTAGCATTGAAACAGAACTCCTAAGTCTGCAATTCTATTGTGCATAACCTTTCTCCTTAAAAAAGAAAGGAACTCAACTGAACTAAACTTAAGAGCTCAAACTAAATAAATAATTAAACCAAATTAAGAGACAAGCATAACTATAATGATTTAATTAAATCTGGCATATGGGGGGGAAATGCTTGAGAGAGAAAGAAGGCTTTGATTACGCCAATTTCCTAAATGAAAAACAATACAATCATGGAAAAGAGTTGTGGATCCAACTTTCCTGTAACAGCCAAGATGAAATACTCCTATACAAACTTATTAAAACCATTTGTTAAGGATTAAGGACACACAAATATAGAATTCCTATATTCTTCAAATATAGTAACAAGTGGTAGGAACCAAATCTCTAAGCTGTTGATAATTACATTTTTGCACATAATGAAACATTAGCTTGGGAATTTGCTTTGAAATTATCATTAAACACAGTCCTTGGCAGACAAAAATCTGGAGCAAATAACATGAGAATAAATAACTGAAGTTCATTCCGGCTAAGTGGAAATACAAACAGATGGTTAAGTCTACAACTATTTCAGATTACTCGCCAAATCTTTAGGGGGGCCAAACACAACGAACTAGTTTTGAAGGAAGTCAATTGAAACAATTGGCCCAATTATGCACTTTATAAGTGTTGCAGCTCAGTCTGATACATGCTAGGTGTAAGCTACCATGCACTTGTTTTGCTTGGTAGGTAACTAGTCTCGGGTTTCATATGCAGCATAAATTATATAGAAAATTGCATTTTAGGTTTGGACCACAACTGAGCAGAAAATGAGCTTAGTAAACATCAGAAGTATTACTACTTCCTTGAGCCAACCGATATCATAGCAAAATAGGGCCACTGAAAAACAAGCATGCTTGAGAGATCCCTCAGTTTTGCAGAGTTACAACAAAAAGGTTGAGGGGCTCACCAAAAGGGGACCCCCCCCCCCAAAAAAATACCCATGAGGCTAAATTATGCTCAGTGAGATGCCCAGAGGTCACACGATGCTGAGCGTTAGCTGGAAGAGAAAGCTAGAAAACAGGGTAGAGCGTGAATTGGCCGGCTTTAGTTCCTATGATACTTATGATAGCACAGTGCTTCAGAATAGATTGGGGGTAGGGGGCTACATTGCACAGCTAAAAGTCATGCTAGCATAACTGTTTAGTTGAATACCTCCCAGAAGTAGGTGTGGCTGGCTAACTAGTACTCTGAATAGAATAGCTGCTACTGGGAATGGGGAGCCAGGGTATACTGCAACATTTTGTTTTGGGTCCGAAGTTGTTCCACACTACTACAGTGGTGCCTCGCAAGACGAAAAGAATCCGTTCTGGGAGTCTCTTCGTCTAGCGGTTTTTTCGTCTTGCGAAGCAAGCCCATTGACGGGATTAGCGGATTAGCGCTATTAGCGCTATTAGCGGCTTTTAGCGGCTTTTAGCAGCTTATCAGCTTATCGGATAAGCAGATAAGCAGCTTAGCGACTTAGAAAAAGAGGGGGGAAAGGGAAAAAAAACCCCAGGAACTCGCAAGACATTTTCGTCTTGCGAAGCAAGCCCATAGCAGATTCGTTTTGCGAGGCACCTCCAAAACGGAAAACTCTTTCGTCTAGCGAGTTTTCCGTCTTGCGAGGCATTCGTCTTGCGGGGCACCACTGTACTTCTAAAATCAATTAAAATTGACTGCTATTTTTAGTAACATCACTATATACAGTGGTACCTTGGGTTACATACGCTTCGAGTTACATACGCTTCAGGTTACAGACTCCGCTAACCCAGAAATAGTGCTTCAGGTTAAGAACTTTGCTTCAGGATGAGAACAGAAATCGGGCTCCAGTGGCGCAGTGGCAGCAGGAGGTCCCATTAGCTAAAGTGATGCTTCAGGTTAATAACAGTTTCAGGTTAAGAACGGACCTCCGGAACGAATTAAGTACTAAACCCGAGGTACCACTGTACAATTTACAGAGTAACATGGAGACAGGTTATCTGCCAAGAAGCTTAAAATGTTGACAGTAAGCAAGAAAACAGAAGGAAGTGTGGAAACAGAGGTTAAGAGTAATAATTGATTACTGTGAGCAACTGCAGCACATACACTTTATTTCAGTGAGGAATAGGCTTCACAGTAAAGGCTGGTTTTGAAGAAGCATTTCAAGAGACAGCAAGAAGTGGCATCATGTAGGCATTCTCCAAGTTTCAAACTATTAAGGGCAGCAATAATTGAGCAAGGTAGTTTAAGGGAACAGGAGACTTCTGGGAAATAAGGTCTGAAAGACAGAGTAGGGCAAGGCTATGGAGACCTTTGAAAGTAAATGCAACTAGTTTGTGTTAGATGCAAAGGAAGGCATTGCAAGGAAGGATCTGAGAAGGTGCATCACATAAGCCAGTTAACAAGAGAGGCAAATATGAGTGCAGAGTGCTGCACAGAAATGAGAAAATTCACTGTGAACAAAAATAATGAAGAAGATATGAAAAATAATATGAGAGAGCTAAGGAGGAAGTGTGAAAACAACCCTGTTTTGCTCAAGGATGATCCTTCTTTCTTTCTTTTTTTAACAAGCCTGTAGTAGGGTGCTTTATGTCGGACTTAACATTACAAAGAAGCAGGTAAAGGAGTACAAGTCACTTGCACCAATTCTTCAATAAACTTCAATTTATTTTAAATATTTCTTAGCCACTTTCCTGTTAAAACAATATCCAAAGTGAGTCTGCATTCCGATTCTTTGGAATGTATGCACTGGCCCTTAGTCATAAGATAGTATTTCTCTCTGCTTCTTGATAAATGCTTGCCAGGAAACAAAACACTGGGAGTATCGCACCATTTCACAAGTTGTCCAGTAACAACAGTTAAGTGGAGGCTGTGCTAGAAATTTCAAGACTGAGCTGCCGATTTTTTCACTCCCATCTTCTTCCTATTCCTCTCTCCATGGTTGAGGAGTTCCATACTTAAGATTCTCTGATTATCCTTGCCAATGCCATCCTGAGATATCAAGGAATTGTGCAAGGTGTTTGTTAAAGATTGTTTCCATGATACTTTTAGGCCAATATTCCCAATGCAGCAAAGAAAGGTTTAAAATATGAAGACCAATAAAAGAACACTCTACAACAGTAAAGTATTCTTATTGCAGCTAATTAAGATGGATTAAGGTTTCTACACAAAGTTGGCACAGCTATATAAAAGCTAGTTATCAGAATAAAGATACTATTTCTGACCGTTAAAAAAACCCAGATTGTCAGGTGCAAAAGAAAAGAGGGATTCTGCACCTTTCACATTTGTTTAGAAAGACTGGATTTCTAAAAGTTGTCCCATCCTTTTATAAAAAGCTGCACATGCTCTAATTCCCTTTTCTACACAACTCTTGAAAGACAAGGACCCCTCTCCTCCTTTGCATTTGGTGGCATATTCGCCGAGCATATGTTCCAGAGTGCCAGCTACATAAACTCTGTTGCAGTAAAAACAAGAGCCTTGTGGCACTTTAAAGGCTAACCAATTTATTATGGCATGAGCTTAAGCTTCTGCGTTCACTTCAGCACATGCATGAAATGTTATCTTCAGTTGACAGGGCTAACCACAAATACAAAAATAAGTAGAGAGAGAAAATAAGATGGTGAGACCATCATGACAAAGAAAAGTGAAGCTGCATCCAGCCAGTGTGGCTTTTCCTCTGATAATGGCCTTGTCTCTACTCCTACAGCAAATGTATTTTCCATCACTAGTTCTGAGCAGCAAAAGCATTCAACACACGCAATCTATGGACAGTAATTTATGCTAAAAAGATTGGCTAAAGTTTAAAGATTGCTGGCAAATATTTATTTCTTCTACAACCTACCTGTTGCACCAGAAAACATAGTTTGCACTGATGTATCTAATGACAGCATTGTATTTCACTGTGCAAAAATATAGTTTGATTGCACATAATGGTATGAACACACTCATAAACTATGATGGACTACAGCTCTGACAATCCTAAACACATTATTGCAAATACCTCCTATTCTGACATTTGAAGCCTACTCTGAACTGCGTTCCTTTAATTAGCCTTCTAAACTAATGTCTCCTGTTTCTCCAAAAATAAGGCATTTTCCCATAAAACTGATCTGGCTCAATGCCCAGGAAGGATAATAATCAGTCCTGGGCCAGTGACAGCTTTGAGGTCCACAGGCTCCCTGGGAGCACAGCAGAATTAGGCTCTTGCTTTCAGGCCTATTCCAAGACATTAGAATAATATGAGGAAACTTCCTTTGATTATTGTTCTGCTGTTTTTCTGCCAAATGATGATAGTGTGTGAAAGTCAAGCACCCTAGAAGTTTGCATTAACCTTTTGTTCATTTTATACTCCCTCAGAAGTCTTACTGACCTTGATGGTTTCACAAAACAGTTTTCTGTTATATTACAAGGAGAGCATAATTTTACATAAACATTGCATAGATGTTCCAGAGCTCAATAGCTTGCAGAGAGAAATATAGGCATGGGAGCTAAGTGCAGAGCATTGGTTTCCAAATATGGCCCAGTGCACTGCTATAGGGCTGGTTCACACAAAACGCTAAATCATTGTTTAACACTACATGCACAGCTTCAGGTGAACTAAAACTAACTTGCTGGAAGCCTGCAGTTGTGCTCGTACTAGGTTTGGTACAAGGAACTGAGAATAAATGTCACCACCATCACAATTTCTATGATAAGGACACAAACCTCAGCAACTGTGAGATAAGCATTTCAACCTCTTGAATTCTTCTGCTGCTCAGATTTTAATCTCCTCCCTTTCACTCAATGGTCTGCCTTTACCACTCTGCTGACCTGGATGTAGCAGCAGCAGCAGCAGCAGCTGACTAGAGGTATCTCCCCTCAGTTACAGCAATGACCAAGGTGCCAGAAAAACTGAGAAATGTAAAACAATATTTCTCAGTGCTCCTGCCATAGCAGCATCAGGCACTGGGGAACGAGCAGAAAGATCCGTCCTTCACTTCAGCCCAAACAGCAAGGTGAATATGCAGATAGAAGGGTGGTATGAAGAGGAGTTTCAGAACAGTGGGTGGGAAGGAATTGGTTTGGGAGTCTCACAAACATTCAGAAAACAGCTGGGTCTGACTGCATGTCTCAGTTGGGAATGTAATGGGTACAATATATCTTAGATTGGCTCAAGAAGGATAAGCTGACAGGGATTCAAGGAAAACAGGAAGCAATTCACTAGAATTAAAGCATCTCCAAATTCCCATGTTAAGCAATGGCTAGTGACCATTTAAAGGTATATTCAAAGTTGCACTGTACCTGATAAATCTGTTTAGAGACTATTGAACAGGAGTTCTGATCTGCAGATAAATTTCCATCAGAGATTACTAGTTTGAGTTTGGCATTGATTTCAGTGAGGTGATGGTATTCCAATGGCTCAGGTGTGTAACCTTCACCTGGTGCTAGCATTGTACTTGCTTCTTCCTAGAAAAAGGAATAACGAATTAGTCACACTATTTGGGCATATAAACTAGGACCGAAAAAACCCTGCCATGTTATTTTTAAGAGAAAAAGATTCTCCTCAGCACAAATAAATGCAGATCTGATACGAAACCATGTGTGTTAAAATTTTAGTTCATCAAGCAACATCTCATAACTTTTCATAAAAATACTGATTATACATAACTTGCATAAAGGATAGGGGCAGTGCTTTTTTTCTAGGGGGAAAAAAGGTACTGATACTGCTCAGCAGCGGGGGGGTGGGGTGGTACTCTGCACCTATTCAGAGGCACGCTGCATCGCCGCTAGGGTGGCGACAAACAGGCCGACCATAAGAGGTCCACCAGTTTTGAGAACGGTTTTGCAAGGTCACCAGAAGAATGCTGATTACTGGCAGGCTAGAGGCTCTTATTCCTAAGTGTGCTTGGGAAAATACTAATTATTTTAAATTTCATTATAAAGCAAAGAGGAGACAAATCCCAATATATTAGGTACTTATGTACAAGATAAAGAAAATTACTTTCTTCTTGTAGCCACTTTTGCAGCAAAACAAACAAACAAATCACTATTTAACTCTCACTACCCTGTACTCAGAAAATGTCAGCGTGCACTCGGGCAAAGAAGTACTGTAGTGCTTGCATGTTGCCAATAAGCATCCACACTGATGCAAGGTTCCACTCCACATAAAATTTTATGCCACCACTGAAAACCAAAGAAGAATCCAGAACTGCACTAATCCTCTGAAATGGAGAGTACAAACTACTGTTTTGGATCAATCTGGATGAATATCTGTGTACCTTAGTTACTTGAAGTTCAGTGCTCTCATCTTCAGTATCTTTCAGCAATTCTGACAGCCTCTTCTTATCTTCCTCTGGCATAACTACTTGGTTAACTGAATCCTTGGCCAGCTGAATAAAGAGAGTAATTTGGAAGCCTGAAGCCATTGAAGACTGATGATGGAATGATGAGCTTTTAACCTCCATTATGGTATCATAGTCTTTTATTATGTTTACATCTTTTATATTTCCATTTTTATTATTACACTTATGAATGAAAATAAAATAAAATAAAAATAATTTTAAAAATAAAAATAAAATAAAGTCCTGCTGCTGCTAGCAAGCCACCGACTGCAATACTGTATATAACAAATGTGGTGGCTTATGAAGAATACTTTGAAATCTTCACATTTTTGATACAGAAGGATATGTATCAACAAATCCACCTGAAAGGACAAATGGGTTTCAGATAATTTTATCAGAAGGTGAAAAACTTTGCAGAAATAATGGCTGACCTTTGTGCTCAAGCAACCTATGCCATTCACAGCACAAGCAGAAGAAGAGTTTGGATTTGATATCCTGCTTTATTACTACTCGAAGGAGTCTCAAAGTGGCTAACATTCTCCTTTCCCTTCCTTCCCCCACAACAAACACTCTGTGAGGTGAGTGGGGCTGAGAGACTTCAAGAAGTGTGACTAGTCCAAGGTCACCCAGCAGCTGCATGTGGAGGAGCGGAGACGCGAACCCGGTTCCCCAGATTACGAGTCTACCACTCTTAATCACTACACCACACTGGCAGTAGCCGAGGGCCAGAATACATATGACTGTAGCAAGCCAGTGACAGATCAAAGGGTTATGTGGGTGGAGACTTTTCAACCCAATCCTTATCTGCTGATCTCTTCCCCGCAAACATATGCACAGAGCTGCTTTTGATCCAGGATCATTCCTAGTCCTGCAGTGCAGTTATGGGGGAAAAGGTCTCCATGGACACAATAGGACAGGAAAGGGAGAGGTAGGGTAAGGGCTTCAAGGATAAGTCTACTACCATCTTGTGTAATTAAGCCCTTAATGACACCACAGATCCACGATGACATGGAATGAAGAAGGTGCAGAGAGAGAGAGGGTTTTTTCTCCTTCTCCCATCCAATGAAATGGAAGGGCGGGAGAATCAGAGAGACAAGAAGTACATTTTAACACAGCACATAATTAAACTACAAAATTCATGTGGAACCTCCAACTTAGACAGCTTGAAAATATGATTAGACAAATCAGTGAAAGATAAGGCTATCAATAGCTTCTGGTAACAGTAGCCATATGATACTACCAGAATCAAAGGCAAAATATCTGATTATCAGTTGCTGAGGAACAACAGCAAGAGGGCTACTGCCCTGCTTCTAGGCTTCCTCAAATGATCTGGCTGGCCCCTTTGGGAAACAGGAAGCTAGACTAGGCAGGTTTTTGGTTTGATCCACAAGGCTCTTTTTAAAACATAACTAGAGCATAGGCTCTGCACTGCCCACAATGTAATTTATGTGAAACTGATGTTCCAGGATCTGAACAAATTCCATACAAGTCTTGTGGCAGGGATATCTTCCACCATACCACTCACAACTTTTAGGTATAAGAATAATCGTAAGTCTCCTTTCCATTTCCTGACAGCGGAAAAAAAACCACAGGCATAGCATTAGAAGAGCCTGATAGTACAAAATAAACAACATGGGCTCCATAAATGCCAGTTCAGTAGATTCTAGTACGTTTTCCCAGCAATACATGATTTAGCTGAAGTGATCAGCAATCTAGTTATCATCCTTTTCCTAAAAACTTCAGGCAGGCTATATATAGGTTAATCTTTGTAGCAAAGTTAATCATCCATTATTAATTTCTAAATGAGTAGCATGATGAGACTTGACAAAGAGTTCTAATCCTGTACTTTGCCATGCAGACTGTTAACACATACCTCTATGTTCTTTTTAACAAAATCAGTTTTTTTACTGGTTGTTTCACTTTTCTTAGTCATATTTTCCATTTTCTTTATTGAGCTTCTTGTTCTATCGTCACCTAAACAACATGCAATTCAGAAAAAAAATTCTAAAAGTATAACTGGGCAAATACAGTACACAAATATAATTCATTTTGGACTATATTAATTTCAGTAACCTTTCAAAAATATGACTAATAAAATTAGATGGATTTCAGTGCAAAGTCATTTGTTACAGTCATGCACAAAATTTTCAAGCAACTAACTATAGCCTAATCCAGTAGTTCCCAAACCTTTGGGGGCCACCACCCCTTTATCCCCAGTGCCCCCTCCTATCCTACCCTATAAAAAGCATTTCTTAGAATAGCGGTTTGCACAACTTACTAAGGAAGATAACATAATAAAATTCAAAACAGTAACAATTTAATTGCACATTTAGGCAAAATCCCATTAAAACTACCGTATTTAGTTTAAAATTAATTCAACAAAACCAATGAACTTGATCCAGTGGTATTTAGCTGATAGTCATTTACACCTCCAGTGCCCCCTGCCACCCCCTTGCCTCTTAGTGCCCCCATTGGTAATCCCACCACTTTGGGAACCACTGGTCTCATCCTATCTATGCCTGAAGTTACTCCCATTATTTGAATAGTCCTTCCCTTTGCATAAACCATGCGCTGCTCTGGTTTCGCCAGAAGCGGTTTAGTCATGCTGGCCACATGACCCGGAAAAACTGTCTGCGGAAGTGGACAAACACCGGCTCCCTCGGCCTTTAAAGCGAGATGAGCGCCGCAAGCCCAGAGTCGTTCACAACTGGACTTAATTGTCAGGGGTCCCTTTACCTTTACCTTTAGCATAAATCTGCTCAGGACAATGACTGCCATTATACTTCAAATATACTTCCCACAACAAGAAAACACTTATGATTATGTAGTAATTCAAACCTGCAAAATTGTATTATGGTACATATTTCTGAATGTGCTATAAACTTATATTTACTTCTTTAAACATTGCCTTTTTGCCAAAGCACTCAATACTCTAATAGCACTGCCTTCTTCATCATTCAGAAGGAAATGTAGTTAAAGGCATTACAAATATGATGTAGTAATTGCCTCAAAACTTTAGGAGATACAAATACAAAACTGCAGTACATATCCAGGTAGACTGCTTTCTGCAGCCCAGAGTTCTAACTCGAGTGTTATATCTTCATTTGTTTATAATGGTTTGTTTGTCAACCACAGGTCCCCAAGTTCATCCTAACAGGAAACTGTCTTCTGTTCAAAAGCAAAAGTGACATGTTTAACCTCCTCACATCTACAAAAGAGTAGAGAAGAGATGGGAACACTTGAGTCTAAGGTGCATGCAGGATCATTCTTGTAACAGGACAATATGGTTACCCATTATGTCTAAACCAGTATCCCCGGGCAAAAGGCAGAATTGTCACTGGATCTATGGAACAAAGGTAAACTGATATAACCTGTACCTTGCTTCGTTTGTCTACTATTATTCCCATAATTTTCTGGATGAATCTGCGTGTGAAATACACTAACAAACATTTCATCTTCTTCAGCAGCAGGAGAGTCTGTTAATAAAATGTGGCATTAAATAACTGATAATTATTTACATTTCAAAACAAAAAGATTAACAGTCACATATTCACCAGTACCTGTGACAAATATATCAACTTAATATTTGTAAGAATGGAAGCCTGTAAAGTTTCATATTGATGATTGGCATTGTAGTTAGCTTCAATGACCAGACCACTGGTAGTGTGGTGTGGGATCAAGGAGACTGAGCATCATTTCTTTCTCTCAACAGAATACACAATTATCTAGTTTTCACAGAAAGGAATGCCATTGTGCCACCTCTCCCACTCCCTAAAATTACCATTTCAGAACAACCCGGAAATATAATTAAATGACTTCTTCTATCTACTCCTCATTCTCAAAGGCTGGCCATGTGCTTTGAGCTATGCATTACTTTCTGTAAATATGAAGATTTCTACGCCTTCAGCTATGATCTGATATAGTTATCTAGTACATATGGAAATGCCCTAACATCCCATCTGCTCACTGAAGGAAGGGAGCCACATAGATTAAAGATATTTACAGTAACGGCACAGTCAAGCAATGGTTATATTATCCAGATGCTCATAATGGCTGTATTTCCACTTCCAACAGTTCAGACACATAGGGTCATACTAGTGCTATATGCCTGCTTTAGTTAGGGAATGTTGCAGTGCTAATTCAGCAGTGTGAAAAGGTACCTTTTGGATGATTCCTGTGGCGCGTAAAATTACATTTTCACAAAACTGAGTAGCAATGAATAAGAGACAAGACAACTTTTAGTCTAATTCTTTTAAAAGGAGACAGAGAAATTCAGTGAAAAAAATATAACTAGATTGCAAGTACAAAGAGATACAAAGACCAATTCCTTTATCTAATTGGCATAGGATAAAGAGTCAAGTCACACAATGCAACGGATATGTCAAGAATGGACCCATAGGCATAGCCGGGGGGGGCAGGGAACGGCAGCTGCCCCTCCCAATCAATAAAAATACAGTAGAACCTCTACTCACGTACGGAATCTGTTCCGGAGGTCTGTTCGTGAGTCGATCCGGGTCACTGGAAGAAGCGCCATTCTGCGCATGCACATTCGGCGGCAGCGCTGTTCTGTGCATGTGCAGACATTGCAGCCACTTCTGCGCCCGTGTAGTTGGCAGAAACGGCTTCTGCACATGCGCGAATCACGGCAAACCCAGTATTTACTACCGGGTTTGCTGTGGTCGTGAGTTGGATTGTTCGCAAGTAGGGGCGGTCGGAAGTCGAGGTTGTACTGTACATTGCTAACTGAGGTTCTGCCCCTCCTAACAAAATACCTGCCCCCCACAACAAAGGCCTGCCCCCCTAACAAAAATCCTTGCTACGCCCATGAATGGACCCATGAACAAACTTGCATTTGGTGAAATGGGTATCCTCACCTACATTTACAGTAGGCTGAGCAGTAGCACAATACAGTGGTACCTTGGTTTACGAACTTAATCCGTTCCAGAAGTCCGTTCTTAAACCAAAGTGTTCTTAAACCAAGGCGTGCTTTCCCTTAGCTGCGGGGGACTCAATTTACAAATGTAACACACTCAACAAACCAAACCACCTACTTCTGGGTTTGCAGTGTTCTTAATCCAAGTTGTTCATAAACTAAGCTGTTCTTAAACCAAGGTACCACTGTATATGTGTATTAAGGGGACCAGCTGAATAAATGGAGCAGCAGCAACACAACCATTTCATTATCTCATGCACTTTGCACAGAGCCAGTTTGATTATTTACCCACAAATGCTGTCAGAACAGTTCGGTGAAGAAATTTATCTTTTCATTGTCTGAAACTAGCTAGTGCTCATAAAGCTCTCAAACGTCAGCCAAGAATCAGCCAGAAACTATAATGTAAACGTGTTGAAATAACAGCCCTTCTCTGGCAACTCTACAGAACATGCAGAGCAAGAACCACAAGACAGACAATGACATGAATAATACAAGCCAGCTTGAGTAGATAGAGTGCCTTTTAGTCAAGTAGACTACACAATACAGTCTCTTATTCAGGCACTGCAGATGCACAGGATATTTCAGAAAGACTGAAATATATTTGATTGCCGTGTTAGTCTGTTGCAGCAAAAACAACAAAGTCATGTGGCACCTTAAAGACTACTGTTTTGAATTACCACTGTTAATTGGGAAATTATCACTGCCTCTGTACTTTCTGCATTTCCCTATAGTCCCTTTGCCTAGTGGACAGTCAACTGCAAAATTAATTTCAGAAGCTCACCTTTCATAGTGCCAAGACTGATTAAACGCTAACCTCTTCGAGAGCTAATTAGTGTATTACATTCCAACCTTTATTTTCAAGTAAATTAAGCTATTTAGCAAAATTCAGACAGAATGGGCCTGACTGTAGATATGCAGTACAAATGCCTTGGGCAAGGAGGATCCTAAACTATTTAAACTATGCATAGTTCTGTTGGCCAGTATCAATGAGAAACATGATCTCTACAGCAAAAGGTACCAGCAAAAGGGACCAGCAAAAGGATCTCTACAGCAAAAGGGGGGGGGGGTGGAGTTCTTCGGTTTTAGCACCTGGGCAAACCATCTCTCCTTACTTTAAAAAAATAATAATAATGAAAGATTCAGCAAGCATGTTCCATTGTCAAATACTGCCACCTGATGGTAACTTAGTGGGTTTGCACCAATTTAATGCACCACACATGAAGTCTTTAAATGTAATTCAAAAAGTTTACGTACAAGTATGTCACATGTGGATTTGTTAAGCTAGAAGCCTGCAGGCAAGGCCTGCCTAATTTTTATCTACATACGTTGCCTAAACAATAGTGACACTATTAAAGCGGAGAACAACATGGTTAACATTAATGCTGTACTGTTTTTAACACTTGATTGGCAGCCGCCCAGAGTGGCTGGGGAAACTCAGCCAGATGGATGGGGTATAAATAATAAATTTTTTATTATTATTATTATTATTATTATTATTATTATTATTCTCTGATTTGACATTTACCAGGCATTTCCGGTGACGGTGTGGTCAAAGCTAAAAATCTGCTGGTGTTTTCTGCTTCTTCGGTAACCACGGAAGAACTTCGAGATGTCATAGACTGTATGTGAACAATAAGTAAATATATATTTATATAATACTGCATGCCAGAGAAAAGGTAGACCAGAAGATCCCACAGCTGTGGCAACTTTCATGCATATGACAGTGACAGTATAGTGAGGAATAGCCAGCCTCCCAACACTCTCATCTCTGCAGATGACCCTGGTGGGGCTGGGGCAGAGCAAATAAGGGACAGGTTGGGGTTGTGCAGATGCACTGGCTAAGTCAAACTGAATGCTCATGTCAGTGCATCCGCACAGCCCTGACCTCACCCCCGACCTGCCCCATCCAGCTGCAGTGACACCAGTGTTGAGAGGGTGACTCTGTAGCTCCACCTGGTAAACCCTGGCCACCACTGATCTCCAAAATGCATGTTAGTAACACTGTTTTAAAGGTATGACTAAGTACCAAGTAGCACAGGGGTCAGAAACCTTTTTCAGCTGTGGGCCAGACTATATTGGGGGGGGGGAATGAATGAATTCCTATGCCCCACAAATAACCCAGAGATGCATTTTAAATAAAAGGACACATTCTACTCATGTAAAAACATGCTGATTCCTGGACCACCTGCAGGCTGGATTGAGAAGGCGATTGGGCCGCATCCAGCCCCCGGGCCTTAGGTTGCCTACCCCTGGAGTAGCACATACTTTTGTGAATACTGCATCAGGGTAGCACTTGTCATAAGATCAATAAAGACTTGAACAGTTCTCCCATATAAGGTCAGCATCTGATTTTCTTAAGACAATGAGTAATTTAAATTTGAGTGAAATGCATCGTTTTAAATCATGCTAGTTTACGTAAATGTTTGCTCACAGAAGAATTTTGAACTTAAATTGTATGTTTCTAACCTGAAATATTTTTTTGTAACAGTTTTTATTCATTTTCATCTTTAAACTGTTTAACATGGTTGCTTTGTGATAGATATTTGTTTACATGATTAGATGTAATGTAATGCAACAATTACATTAAATTAAAAATTAAACTATAAACACTCAGATAAACAATTCTGAATATATTAACAAAGTTATTTCAAAGTGCATATATCAAAATTATTACAATTATTTCTAACCTGAAAATCTTCCCACAGTTTAGTTCTCATTTCCCTGCCTTGTTTTTTAATTGCTCTTTCTTGAGATTGTTTGTTGGCCAATATCTGGTCCAACCTTTCCATCTTCTTTATAGCTTTCAGGATTCGAGGATCTACATCTTTCTCCTTGGAGTCTTGCGGGTATGCAGAACTGACTGTCACTTAAAAATTAAACATATTAACAATAATTCTTATAAACTGCATTTCAAGTAGCATTTCAAACTGCATATTAAAAGCAGAGATCTCTGGTAAAAGGGCAGAAAAAAGATAACTGCCCCATAGTTAGATGGAGGGTGCTATCTTTTTCTCCATACAATTCACCTGTAATATACTGCCACTTCTAGGGGCTTTTAATTCAAAAGTTTTGAACAAGTGCTTTAAGTACCACATTTTCTTTTTCTACAATAATTTTTATTAATTTTAATACTAATCCAATGATAGCCACATTATCTCAAACCAAAGTACAATCCAATTAAAAAACCACAGAGAGCCAATCATTCATAAACCGAATTAAACAATTTAAGATGGCTTCCCATGCATGTGTATAAGCATACAAAGTTCTTATTTCTTCTTGCTTTTTGCAGCAGTTCAGGTGTTAATCCTTTGTTTAGCAGCCACTGGTTTCCTGACTTTCAATCGTAGTTACAAATTTATTAGCTTTTGTATCTGCTAAAAGGAGTTGGAGTTTGTATCCAATACGTTTCTCGTGTGAGATAGAATTTTCCTTCTATTTCTTCATTAAGGACCAGATTTTCTAAGCTGCTGTTAAACTTTTGTTTTGTTTTTAAAGAAAAAAGAACCATTAGACCATCTCATTTTTTAAAAAAGAAGGACTAGTAAATCACAATCAGAAAGGTTTGAAAACCTGAGATCGGTCTAATCTGTATGTATACATTCTGATTCAGGCATAGTCTGTTGCTACAAATTGGGGAGCAACCCAAAATTCTCCCTATCCTTATTTAGAACAGTGAAAACACAGCAACAGAGTTTTTAATATATGCTTGATGTAAACAGCTTTAAGGTCTTTACAATTAATTGATATATAAATTTTGTGCAGAAGCCTCCATGAATACAGATTTTGCCATAGAGTCACGCTTGAGGTCATAGAGGGAAATAGAAAAGTACCATATGGTGGAGCTAACACACTTGTGCCCACTATCTTTCCACACACTCCACCCCCAATGTTTCTTTAACTATGTATAGGGGTCAGCAAACTTTTCCAGCAGGGGGCCGGACTATATTTTTTTTTGGAGGGGGGGAATGAACAAATTCCTATGCCCCACAAATAACCCAGAGATGCATTTTTAATAAAAGCACACATTCTACTCATGTAAAAACACCAGGCCCCACAAACAACCCAGAGGTGCATTTTAAATAAAAAGGGCACATTCTACTTATGTAAAAACACGCTGATTCCCGGACTGTCCGCAGGCCGGATTTAGAAGGCGATTGGGCCGGATCCGGCCCCCGGGCCTTAGTTTGCCTACCCATGAACTATGACAACAAATGCCTGAACAGAACTAAAATCTAGGCTTTAGTTTCTAGCAGGGTTGCTAACACTTTTGCTAGCCTTGATCCTCTGCCTCTCACAGCAGTTTGACAAGAAGAAATTTTATACTTTCTCCCCAACACTGTATCTCCATTCACTTTCTAAATTCATGTGCATCCGGTTTCTGAAAGCATAGCAGTAGAGGCTGACAAAGTTGGCAACATTAGATGTTGTTCTACAAAAATAAATCATTACAATAGAGGGTGGGGAACCTGTGGCCTTCCAGATCTTGTTGGACTCCCAACTCCCATCAGCCCTGGCCAATGTGGCCAATGGACAGGGATGAAGGTAGTTGTGTTCCAACCACAAATTCCCCAGAATTACTATTTGCTTGATCTGGAAATAAAGTCACCCCAAGTTCTCTTTATCCACTATCTACTTATTTGTGACGCTGGATAAACAACGTCATGCACAACAGCATGTCTTCTCCAGGTTCAACTGCAGGCAAAACTTTGGGAATACCTTTTGCTAATCTAGCTAGTTCATTCTGAGGAGCATTGCTGCTACAAGACCATCTGTTTTCAGCCCAGTCATCTTCAGAATCTGCTGAGCTTGAGGAATATTCTGAAAAACAGAAGTCATGCGTGAAATTAGCAGCACCTTTAGATTTGAACCAAGAGTGAAATCATCATTACTACAAACTAAGAAACAACTTGGAACAGTAGACAAGTATATGGAGGAGAAAGTTCTGTCAAGTTCTGTCAAATATCTGTGTGGCTTTAAACAACTTTTAACAGTACTACTTACATACTGATTCTTAACTACCTCACCATATTATATTAATATATTTTGTAGCTCACAGGAGAGTGGTGTTACCACCCTTTTCTGGCACAACATGTTATCTAAATGGGCACTGGACAGGCAGAAATTTAACAGGCAACGCTTCTCCGGCATGAATATACTATGGTGATGACATAATCATTTATTTCATTTCTGTCTGTGATGCAGCAATTAAAGGCCTACTGCACAATCATGTTAGGAAACAAGCAATACATTTCCAGTGAAGAAGAAGCATTAGTTTGACCACCAAACCCTCTGGAGCTTGGTGCACAAATTATTATTAAATTATTCCATTACAGAAACTATTCCAGCTAGGGCTGTGTACCAGATCTGGCAGAGTCCGAAGCCAAACTGGACTCAGGTATTGGATGAGTCAGGTTCAGACAGCCACAGATAGTTACAGGTCAGGTTGACTGGCCCAGAGTGATCGATGGCTGTTAGGGGGCTGTGCATCAGGCAGAAGGGAGTGCTAGGCAGGACAGGAAAACCCTCTACACCCTCCGTCCCTTAGGATCACCCCCTCTACGCAGCAACTTTTGAGCAGAGGGTGCAATCTGGGGGAGTGTGCACAAAACCAGTGACTGTATGTCTCAATCAGTTCCAACATTCACTGCACTTTTGCCCAGTATTTTGCATTTCACTGATATTTGTGACAAAATTTAATATAAAATAGGGCTCTAATCCCAGGGGCTCATGCTGTAAGACAAATATTTTACACGGAAGGAGATTCCAACTAAACATCTGGAAGAATTTTCTGACAGTAAGAGCTGTTCAACAGTGGAATGGTCTTTCCCAGGGGGTTGTGGACTCTCCTTCCTTGGAGGTTTTCAAGCAGAGGTTGGATAGTTGATATTCCTGCATTACAGGAGGTTGGACTAAATAACCATTGGGGATCCCTTCAAAGTCTATGATTCTATGATATTTGGGGGGGGGGGGTCATCCAGCAGTCATTGTTCACCCAGCCTGCTATTTCTCCCTTCCTGTTTACCTTCCTTTTTATATCATCCCCCTTTCTATTATATTTGAAGCTGCAAGATTTCATCACACATCCTCCCTTATGTACTGCTCTAGTTCTGATTGGATCTAGGTTTCATAGACTCATTTAATAGCTGAGCACATTCTCAGCAAAACTTCCTGTTTCCCCCACCGCAGGGGACCAACTATTACATTAACTTAGATAAACTTTTGTGAAAATCTTTTATCATGTGCAGTATCCATTAAGCTCGAGTGACTTTTCAAGGACAGGACTTATCACTTAATTAATAACAGTTTATTCGATTGTGTGAATTGGCCCCAAGTCTAAAAGCATACTGAGGGTTTGAAATAGAAGAGCAAGAAAAGGGGAGGTTATTCTGGGTGTCTCTTCATTGTGCAAATAATATGTCTTCCTCTTGTGATTTGATTAATTTGTACAATACTTGAGTCATACTTGAAGCAGGTCAAAGTGCAAAATTCTGCTCTCAAATATATTTAACCCTTCTTTTTTATCCACATTCAGAGAATTTCTCAACTGAGCTTCTAAAAAGCTAAGAGAAGAATATTTACATAGTTCTGTAACTTTAATATTGAGTTTTCCCCTAGAAAACCAAGGTGGCAACCCTAACACACACTCTAAGGAATAGGTGTAAACTGCTTTGAGGGTGGCTTTTTCTTTTCTTTTTTACAATCATGCAGTGTATAAATTTTATGAAATAAATAAAATAACAAATGCCATTGAACTTACTTATATGTAAACAAGCACTGTACACATACTAAATTTCATACCTTTTACCTGATTTGTATTCTGTATTACCAGCTGGTAACTACTATTCATCTTTTCTTCAGATATGACTTCCGAGGTTCTCATTTTTTTGGTTCCATATTCCTCTCTATTTTCATCATAATTTTCTTTTGACTCATGTTCTTTGTGTTCATTATAAAAAGCAACCTAGAAATGTTTGCAGAAATAGAAATTTGTTACAAGCACATTGGTCACTATTTCTCCTTATTGCCATTTGGAACCATAGATAAAATTTCCTTTTTAATGTAATTTCAGATGAAATCTAAAGATCTGATAATACATTGCAAATATTTATAAACTACTGTATTATTTTTTTTTAAAAAAGTCTTGGGAATAGTCACTTACAGTCATACCTCAAGTTGAAGTTGCTTCAGGTTGAGCACCTTCGAGTTGCGCTCCGCGGCAACCTGGAAGTAAGGAGTGCGTTTCTTCCGGGTTTCACCGCTCGCGCATGCGCAGACGCTCAAAATGACGTCACGCGCATGCGCAGAAGTGTCGAAAAGCAACACGCGCATGCGCAGACGTGCTGTCGCTAGTTACGTTTGCTTCTGGATGCGAACGGGGCTCCGGAACGGATCCCGTTCGCATCCCGAGATACCACTGTATTTAGTTGCCTGTGCAAAGAATCACCTCCAAGTGACCAAACAAATAAGCTTTACAGTGGTTGGCTCTCTCTTTATTTTATGCCACATATCACAGTATGTATCAGTGCACAGGCAGCCTAGCAAAATGTTTATGGCCTTATTTCCTAGGTTGTTTTAAACAAAGCAAAAAGAAAGAGAAAGAAAGGAGGGGGGAGGACAGGTAGTGAATGAGAGCAAAAAACTAGAAGAGTATCAAGACACATGTCCCTCCTTCAAAGTATGATTTATATATACACACACAAAAAAAATTCATTTAATAAATGAATTGTTTCAAAACATGGGTGGAACCTAATCATTTGTGCAGATGCCTATTTTGAAACAAATATGGGATACACCCACAGGCAGAAGAGAGGGGGACTTTTGCCAATTCCTTCTTCCCCCTGAATAGTTACTCCAGGTGGTTGGGGGGCCATCCAGAACAGTGTGGGGTGTGGCACTGGAGACTGGGGTGGGGACAGGAATTGGCAAAAATCACCTGTCCCATTCCTCCAACAGGATCCTCCGATGGATCAGAGTCTCTACCATGAAAGAGGATTTGAGGGATGGATCCAACCGGAAATACACTTTAGTATGAAAACATAAAATATAAGTACAGTGGTACCTCAAGTTACATATGCTTCAGGTTACATATGCTTCAGGTTACAGACTCCGCTAACCCAGAAATAGTACTTTGGGTTAAGAACTTTGCTTCAGGATGAGAACAGAAATCGTGCTCCGGCGGCGCGGCAGCAGCAGGAGGCCCCATTAGCTAAAGTGGTGCTTCAGGTTAAGAACAGACCTCCGGAATGAATTAAGTACTTAACCCGAGGTACCACTATACTAAATACAGGTTTCTCAAGGACTGTACCTCACTAATGTTACTATAATTATAAACATTAACAGCATCTCTGACAAAAACTTGAAAACACTGTAGAAGAAAGAGCAAGAAAAAGAGTGGACATAATAGTTACCTTAGGCAGGCTTGGCGCTGGTGTTAAAATCTCTAAGGATGTGCTTAAAACTTTGCTCCCATGATTAATTCTTGAGCTAGATGCTGGCCTTGAAATGTCATCCAGGCTTCCCCTTGTAATATCCATTAAAAACTGAAATAAGCAGATAAAGGGAGCACATTATATGGCATGTATTAATTTGATATTCATCAACCTACCATTGTCTTCCACATTTTCCACACAGCGTATATTTGATGGAAACAGCACCCCTCTTTGGATATTCTTGATATGACGTAGGTAAAGACATGAGGAAGGCCAGCAAGGATACACAGGCTAGTTCTGCCTCCTGTCACTGTTCTTGCCATCCTTCATGAGCAGGAGGGCAAACTTATGAAGCGGGAAGCCTTTTGTTTTGTTTTTATGTAATTTTTATTAAATTTTCTGTTTTACAATTTAAAGTACTCATTTTTAGATCCATAAGATATCAATGACTTTCCTTCTCTTTCCATGGTTCATTTTACATATCATAAATCCCTGCATAGTTTACAGAAACTATACTATTCAGTATTCCATTATTACATCCATCATAACTTACCGTATTTTTCGCACCATAGGACGCACCGGACAATAGGATGCACTTTGTTTTAGAGGGGGGAGAACAAGAAAAAAAAATTCTCCCCCTCTCTGCCCAGGAGGCGCTGTGCAGAGAGGGGGAGAACTTTCCCCCTCTTGTTTTCCCGCTCTAAAACAAGGCGGCTACCTTGGAAGCCTGGAGAGCGAGAGGGGTCGGTGTGCACTGACCCCTCTCGCTCTCCAGGCTTCAGGTTCCTTTCGACCTGCTCTTTGGGGCTGGCGGGGGGAAGCCCACCACCAGCCCCAAAGAGCAGTTCAGGGAGCAGCCGAGGGCTCCTGCCATAGCCGTGCGTCACCTCTCCAGCCGGGAGAGGGTCGTGGGGCTATGGCTTCTTAGCCCGCGCGCGCTCCCGGCTGGAGAGGTGACGCACGGCTATGGCAGGAGCCTCAACTAGCCGCGTCACCTCTCCAGCCGGGAGAGGGTCGCGGGGCTGCTTTGGCCCCGCGCACGCTCTCCCAGCTGAAAGGTGATGCACGGCTATGGCAGGAGCCTCTATAGCCGCACGTCACCTCTCCAGCCGGGAGAGGGTTGCGGGGCGCGCGCGCTCTCCCGGCTGGAGAGGTGACGCGCGGCTATAGAGGCTCCTGCCATAGCCGCCCGTCACCTCTCCAGCCGGGAGAGGGTCGCGGGGGCTGCTTGGCCCCGCACGCGCTCCCGGCTGGAGAGGTGACGGGCGGCTATGGCAAGAGCCTCAATAGCCGCGTGTCACCTCTCCAGCCGGGAGAGGGTTGCGGGGGGGCTGCTTTAGCCCCGCGCGCGCTCTCCCGGCTGGAGAGGTGACGCGGGGCTGTAGAGGCTCCTGCCATAGCCGCGCGTCACCTCTCCAGCCGGGAGAGGGTCGCGGGGCTATGGCGTCTTCACTCCATAGGACGCACACACATTTTCCCTTCATTTTTGAAGGGAAAAAAGTGCGTCCTATGGAGCGAAAAATACGGTATTTACACTGCTGAATTTATCCTAATGCTGCCAGCATATTCAGCTGTACAGTTACTTCCCATATATTCAATAAACGTTTTCCAATCTTCTCTAAACGTATGTTCTTCTTGTTCTCTTATTCTATATGTTAAATCTGCAAGCTGCACATATTCTGTCAACTTACACTGCCACTCTTCTTTGGTTGGGACCTCGCTCATTTTCCAACAAAACATGGGCCGTATGTATGCAGTTGTTGCATACAACAGAAAGAACTCTGGGTTTTTTGGGAAAGTACTTTTAAACATTTTTCCCCAATTCATTATGTATCATTTCCCAAGGAAGCCTTTTGTATTCTTGGAGGTTGTTCATTTTAATATTCTGGAAAGTTATGGTTCCAAAATGCACAGTAAGTCTCTGCACATACAGGAGGATTCTGACTTTACATGTTCAACCTTCAACTCATCAGCACAGTGACAGGCAGAGCTTGTGCACTTCTCCCCATTGCCCTAAATCTCATTAAGAGAACCCAAAGAGCACTATAGTTCCACGACCATATGGAAACAGTGGGGTGTTAGTTAATGGCATGATCCCATACACAAATTGGTACAGTGATTATGGGCGTAGCCAAGGCGGGCCAGCCCCCCCCCTATCAAGTAAAACCATAGAAATACTTAACTGACTGACCAATCACACTAAAATGAGGCCGCATTTTAAGCTGTATTTTGGGCTGTGTTTTGGGCCGTATTTTGGTTAACTGTTTTTGTTTTTTTTAATTGCGTTTTGTTGTGGTTTGTGTTTGGTGTTGGTCGCCCTGGGCCCGGCCCTGGCCGGGGAGGGCAGGATATAAATAAAATTATTTATTTTTTATTATTATTATGTTGGTCGGGAAATGTTAATTTGCCCCCTCAAAGTAATAATAAACAACAACAACAAGGGCATAATCTGCAAACTTCGCCCTGCATTAACTCACCCCGCGCAGGTTCTCTGCAGAGCGCTCCAGCGGGCGGAGCGAGCAAAACGCCTCTATAAACAGACAGCCATGAAGACGATACGCTTCTCAATTGCTATGGCAACCCATTCGAAGTGCAGAACCCGGAAATAAGGTAGACACTAAGGGCGGAAATGAGCCCTGCGCCTTCTCGGAGTGCTGCTGAGCATGCGTACTGGGAAATGCCCGTTGAAGCCCTTTAGCGACGTTCTAAAACCGTTAAAAGAACGCGTGGCTGCGGAGCCTGGAGATGCGCCTGATCTTACATATTATGAACTAACCTGGATGTCCTCGATTCTGGCTCCTGCACTCAGGCGCGTCCGTATAGCTCACATGTGCTGCCGAAGCATGTTTTAGCAGCCCTTACCTTTAAGTTTGAGGATAATCTTCAGCCAGGATCAGGGTACCTAGCTATTTGCCGAAAACTGCTGCTTCCGTTTAAGACTGCAATCCAATGCACACCAAGCAGTTTCTTTTGTTTACTTTATTCTTGCAGGTGCAATAGGTAGTTCGTGTGGTGTATGCTTGAAATGCTGCAGTCCTGTGCGCACTTATTTGGCAGTAGATACCATTGAGCTCAGCGAGGGTTACTCTTCAGTAGAAAGATCCAGGGCTGCATTGTATCGGACAGTTTTAATTTCCTTACACGTGCGCGCCGTTATTGCTGAGAACAAGACGGGTTCTCTCTCTCCAATGAACCCCCACAACAACCCTGTGGTGTAAATTAAGCTGAGAGATAGTGATTGGCCCAAGCTCACCACCCAAGGAGCTTCTTTGCTGAAGTGGGCATTTGAACCCTGGTCTCCCAAGTCCTAGTCCAACATTCTAACCACTACACCACACTGCGGTTGAGGTGGGGAGAGAGAAAAGATTCAGAGGTTGAAATCCACTAGTCTCTCATTCCATGCTGCCGTTACCGTATATTTGTGAGACTAGATCTGGTTCAATAAAGAAATTAAAGAAGAAACAACCCCGTGTTAAAACATGCATTTATGACTATAATGCACGTCAGGGTGATACTGTAATTGCTCTTTGATAAAAATATATATAATATTTCATCCAGAAGATGGCGTCGTCTGACTTTCAGTATATTGCCCATTAAGCTAAAAGGGTCTGAGCAGGCATGCTTCCTGTTTAGGATGTACTAACATGTTTATAGGCTGGGAATTCTAGACTGCTATTCCTCTGGCAAGCATCCCCACCCCTACTAATAATTTAAACTGTGATTCCCCCTTGAATCTGCCACTTCATTGACAGAGCTGCTGGCAAGCGAAACTGTCTACATCATGGAGCCAAAATCAGCATTGAGTTATTGGGGTGGGGATGTCTGACTGCCTGCAGCCACTGTAGGTGAGGGATCTCTAAACATGAACCAGTGTCTTCAGCCTCGGGATGAAAGCTGGGGGGAGGTTTGATTATTCTCAGCCAAGCTGCTTATCAACAGAACACTGCCCCACCCTTGACATCGCTGCTCTCCCATGAGCATTGGCAAGCAAGGTATAGCCCCAAGGTGAAGACCCTTCCCAACACTAAATAAGAGGATTTATTATTACATTTATATCACACCTTTCCACCAAGCAGCTCAAGATGATGCACATGGTTTTCCTGCTCCTCATTTTATCATAACAACAACCCTGTCAGGTAGGTTAGAGGTGGTGATTTGCCCAAGGTCACCCAGTGCATTTCATGGTTAAGTGGAAATTTGAAGTCTGGTCTTCCGGGTCCTAGTCTGACTCTAACCACTACACCACGTTGTTCTGATATATCACTGAAGCCACTTGAGCTGTCACTCTGAGCTGCAAGTAGCACCAGCCAGCTGGGAGAGAACCCAAAGAGCGGCATTGATTTTGGCTAGATAGCACCACTCTCAGGCTTCCTTCCCAGCACTATCCTTCACATGGCATACTCTTAAATATTTCAGGAGGAACAGCCTGGAGGGTAAGAAGCTGTTCTTTGCAAGCCGCAGAGCACCATGTGAGGCTCCATTTCTAACCACCTGCTTGTGAGGTCAAAAACATTGTCTTGGCGCGCATTGTTGCATGCCTTGTGGGTCATCTTACTGACCTGTATGAAATGGGAGGATGGTCCAGAGACCTCTGTAGCTTCTTTCTTTCCACTGTAGCAGGCTGTGAGGTTGGACCACTTCCTGTTGCTCTGCAAGACAGTATTAGTTTAGCCTCAGGGCTGAAAAGGTAGCCCAAGAGCAGTACTTGCTGGGCTAAAGACAGTTCTGCTATCCATCTTTATCTCTCGGCTGGCCGACATCTCCTTGTGTGGGGGCTGCAGAAAAGTTAGATCAGATGGGACCAAAGGAAGCTTCTGGACTGCCAATGGACCATTCCATCATTTTCAGGACATTTGTCAATCTGGTTCCGTATTAAACACAATCCTTTTTTTTATGATCTGCTCCTGCTCCTCAAATTCTTCTTTCTCACAGCAGCTTAAACTTGCTTTTCCATAATATTTTCCTCCTTTCTGCTCTCCTCATTTGGGTAAGACTTCCACTTATTTAAAGGAAGCCTTCTAGTCTTTTATAGCTTCCTTGATTCTGCTGCTTAACCATCCTGGCATTCTCTTGGTATGTTTCCTAATTTTAGGTGAACTTCTATTATTGTGGTTTTAAGTAAACCCCCCCCCAATGTGTTTGATCCTTCTAGCCTTTCCTTTTACTTTAGGAAGGGGGAAGCTTTTTGTCCTCTTTGATCTTTCGCTCCCACCACCCTGCAAGCCAACCCTCTGTCATCATGATGATGTCAGGTGACTGATAGGTGGGTGGTCCCATCCAGCTCTCAGAAATGACCCATGGGGGGTGGGGTGGGGAGAGGTCTCTTTTGCCACCGTGTTTCCTGCAGGGAACATGCTGAGTAGCACCGAGCAGGATTGAACTCTCTGCTCACCAGCTGATAAATGGAGGGTCCAGTTCTGCTCTCTGCAGGGGTCTGCTTTGCCAGCACATTTCCCCCCAGTGATGTTAGCTAATTGATGGGTAGGCATGGTTTGTGAGAAGTGGCCTTGAAGGACAATTGGACCTCAAGACAGACCAAGACTCACCCATAGGCCGGAGGTTCCCCACCCTTGATTTAACTAATGCCCCCATTTTCTCTCTTTTGAAATGAAATGTAACCATGCTGGACTTTCTGGGCAACTTTACACTTACATGCATTTTTGTTCCCAGTCAGTTTTATTGAATTTGAGAACATCAGTTCCTATAGGCACACCATGCAAGCTCCTATTACTTGGCTCCCACACACTGTTGGGGATCACCATACTGCAATCTGTGTAAGTGGAGCTACTTGTAGTTTCCTAACAAGCTGACATGAAAACCTCTGAGAGCTCTCTGCAACTCATGAGCACATTTATTATTTTTTATTGCTGCTTGTTCCACACAGAGACAGGCAAGAATTGCCACCAGCCAGAGTGCTGTTCTAATAGTTGATGAAATGGGTTTAATAAAGCTCTCTTATATCAGAACAGATCTGCTGGGCTCATCAGTCTCGGGGGATTCTCGACAAGGAGCAAATGTCTGTCTGCAAAAGTAATCATGCAACCTAGAAGCAAAGATGATCTTGCATATCTGCCAGTGCTCATGCAGAATCCTATACAGCTGGATAGTGATGCAAACCAAAATATGATGTAAACTTTCTGGACTTGTTGCAGCTTATCTCTCTCCTGCTGGCTCTGTAGTCTGTTCTGGTAAAGCAAGCTAAATTAAAGAGCCCTGCTGGCGTCACAGAGCATGAACTTTTGATGTTGGCTGACAATACTGTTTTTATACAAAATCAAGCCTGTTTCTGCTTTAACTCAAGACATTTTTGAGCTAGAACACTTTGAAGCCATTTCAAAATATGAGGCCAATTAGAGTAAATTGGAAATAATTAATGCTAATCTTCTGCTGATATTAAAAACCAGTTGCAATCCACTCTGCTGTTCTTATGTTCTTTCCTTGGAAACAATTAGACACCAGTTATTCGCCTCTGTTCTATATAGTTGTGAGGGGCACTCAATTCTCACCTCAGGAGAGTGTGCTCATATCGCTTTTATTCCTATGAATATCTTGGCAAGACTTGTATTGTTGTTTCCGGCTCCACTATATATAGGTGCGGCTTATATTCGCAACCTTACGGTATGCAGCAAGGAGCGCTGGGCAAACAACGCCAAGAGCGTAGTGAAGCGGTGCCCGCCCCACGCGCAGTCCCGTCCTCTCACCCAAGGCTGGGAAGGGAGCGCGAGGAAGGGGAAAGGCCGCTGGCAACACAGCATGGCTCTCCCCCCCCCCCCCCCAGTATGCAGCCAGGAGTAGCAAGGAAAGCGAGTGGCTTATATTCGGGTATTTTTTCTTTTTTTCCTCCTCCCCCCCCCCCCGCAATTTTAAAGGTGCGGCTTATATTCGAGTGTGGCTTCTTTCAGGCCAATTTGGTAGTTTATTCCAAGTTAATTCACCTGGTTTAGCCTTATCAACATTTAGGATTCCATCAGCTTTAAAAGGAACAACCTGTTAAGGGCAGTTTTTCTGTCCTTAATTTTAAGCATGTTTTGGGTTGTATCCAATTGCACCCTTAGCTTATATGCTGCCCTTTGTAATGTAAAATACTACATTGAATCCAGCTCCTGAAGCTTTAAGTTGCTACTTGAGGGAAGATGTTTCCCTCATAATCCTGGGCTTCGAAAATGGATCTAGAAGAAGTGTTTGATAAACATGACTGGAAAGTAAATTAATAGGAAGCAGAAGGAAATTAATGTTCTTGACATTTTGCCACAACGTCTGCTATAAGGCAGATGTCGTTCTCATTGCATTGCTACTAGCTATAATTCCTCTCCATTAGTTGAATTTGGAGTTCAGTGGAAGAACCAAAGTGGGGTTAATGGGAGCAAGACTTCCAGAGGCACTTCCCTCTTTGTTGGGTTGCTGGTTGATTGATTTAAGCAAATCATTGTGAATTAGCCAGAAGATATGGTAAACTGACGCAGTAGCTACGAAAGAGGAATGGCAGATGAAATGGATGGGATATGTTGAATTGGCAAGCTTAACTAGTAAAATTAGAGAGCAAAATGAGACAGCTTTCAAGGAGGATTGGAAATTGTTTGTAGATGATTTTTTAAAAATGTAAATATGTTAAAATGCAATCAGCTTTGAAGTATAGCAGTAAAAGGTATACTAAGAATAATGTGGCGGAAAGAATGTATAGAATAACTATAATATGCAGCAGCAATAGATAATATGAGGAAACCATGGAAGGGTGGGGAGAAGTCAAATACCAAATGTAAAGTGGAAAATGTTTTATTATTGGTATTGTTTTATTATTGGTTTTATATATATATATATATATATATATATATATATATATATATATATATATATATACTGCCTCCAGAGTCTCTATTTGTGCAACTTAGTTTAAAGTATTCACTCACTGTTACATGGTGCACACATTCTTGTACCCAATAAACAAAGGGTAGAATCCAGCTATGTCCACCCACCAGAAAGATGGACGCCATTTGTGAAAGGGATTAGTCCTCCCCCCCACAGTCCCCCCCATGCCCCCAAATCTGCTCTTGAGGATTGGAAGGACACTGTGAAGCAGATTTGGAAGACGCATGGGGGCCACACGAGAAAGGAAGAGGAAGTCCTGTCACGTGATGGAACCCCACTCAAGTGACATTGGATATTACACAAATAACATAGCACGTTATGTTGGAAAGGTTGTGTTACGTTGGAATTGCTTTAATGCCCAGTGTGGTGTGCCCCATAATCTCCCCGAATGTCTAGAAATTTAACATCATTGTGGATTTATACTCTGCTGCCCAGTTTGAGAAAGATCCAATAAAGGCAGTGGTAAATTTAATTTATTCAGAGTCCCCTTTATCCTCTTATAAACAGCTCTTGGTTAATTTACAGTTGGTAGTAAACATTTCTTTTTTAAATAACTAGAAATTACCTCTTCCTTGAAGCAGTGGATTGAGAAACGGAGGGATATTACGATTATGCAAGAAGCTGGTTGTCATGCACAAGCCACAAAAGCCCTAAACAACTCTTAATTCCTTCCTTGTTTCTTGGGTTTTTCACATTTGCCAGCACTGAATGCTAATGTATTCACTCCTGCTAAATCTAAATATACCTTCCACGGGAATTTAGCTTTTCATTTTGTCAGCTATGATTAATATGTTAGTTCTATCTATCAACAGATTGCTTTATTAATATATATTATATACTTGGGTTTGTTTAATTGTCTGCTTGATCTTTATGTTTCATTTTTCTGAATTTTGTCAGTGGGCTGCCCACACCTCTCTACTATTATCACCGAAAGCTCTCCTCTGTGTCTCCTGACGACCCCTGACACAGGAGGGAGACAGCCTTTTCCATCCTACCATCCAGCTTATGGAATGCCCTCCTTAGAGATGCTCACCTTGCACCAACCTTGATGTCGTTTCAGTGCCAGGCAAATACATTATTTATTTGCCCAGACATTTCAGCAGGGAATAGAAATTAGCTTTATGTTAATATTCTGCTTTGCTGAATTGTATAGGTTTGTTTTCTTTGCTTCCTGTAGTGTTTTATCTATTTACTGGCTTCTATTATCTTCCAGTATGTCGCCCTGAGAGGCTTTGTTGAAGGGAGGCATGGAAACAAGTTCTAAACAAGTAATGACTTTACCTGGCATTTTCAATTTCAAAATAATAAAATTTTAAAGACTTTATTTTAAGCTCACCCTGACAGACAAAGGGGGAGTAAAGTCTTGCCTCTGAAAGTCTTGCTCCTGTTAATACTGTGTGGGTTCTTCTGCTGAACACAATTTTAACTAACACAAGAACAGCGTTTCAATATTAATGTGGTGTGTATGTCATTGCTTTGATATCTTGGGAATATTAATTTTCTTCTTCGTTTTTGTCTCTCTGTATTGCAGTGGCAAACAGTATAATAGGCTGGAAGCCTCATCTTTTGGCCCACATCGAGATGCTCGGTATAAAACTAATGACTGCATTAAGAATATTGTTATCTAGAGGCCCTGGATAAGAATATTAACTAGAGAACGGGGGGGGAACATTGCTGAAGAATTTATAGTGGAATGACTACAAGCCCTTAATGGAATAGTTGGAGGAGAGGTGGGGGCTGAGGAAGCCTAATAGAAGGAAAAACAAAGAGAACAAAAAAATTATATATTGGAAGTGAATTCAAGAGGACACGACTTGTTACGTGTGGAAAGTAATGGTTTGGTCCCACCCCCGCAGAAGATCAGATGGTAGCCCTAGGCAGGAGTTCTCCTCACAGATTAGTATTGTATGAGGGAGAGAGCAGACACACACCTTCCATTGCGTTTCTGCTAGGAATAAATGAAGCTGTCCATTTTGGTTTCTCTGCTTCTAATTTTTCTAATCTTCAGTTCAGTTCTCCACATTTCTACATCCATTTGTGAGATACGTAATATACACACCTTGGCACAGCAAATTTCTCTAAAATAATCCGATTCTGTAGACTATTTTCACAAATATGAGCATTTTTATGGACACTTCCCCTCAGTCTGTGAGTTTTGGAACACATGATTTAGAATTGCAAAATTCAAAGGAGCTTCAAACGATGGCTGTGTTTTGGTTCTTCCATTGTTCTGGAAAGTGCAGGTTAGGTAGGGTCCACCTTTAAATGTGAACTAAACTAAATGGGAGAGCCATTCCTAGTTCTCCCCACCACCACCACAAAAAATTGTGTTCCCATCGCTTGTGTCCTACCACTCACCACCCAGTGGAGGGTTAATTTATACAGGGCAAGCCTACTGTACACAATGGAAGCTCCCCATATGTGTCCGTTTCCTATAGCACAGAAAGCCTCTAGAAGTAGAGCAGTCACCTCACCTGCAGAGGTTGCTGACAATATGACAGTCCTGCCCACCTGTCAAATTTGGTGTGCCAGAGCTAGGGTGGTAAGAAAAGTCCCCCCACCTTTATAATAAGATTTCTGCAGGCCCCCTTTCCACCCAGCTGCCTAGCTTTGAAGCCATATAACTCCTCAAGGCAGAACCAGTAAGCTAATTGCAGCCACAGTGGGCGTGACATCTCTGGACGCCTAGACTTGCTGTGATTCTGAACAGCTCAAGCATTGGCATTGCTTTGACAAAGAAGTCGACTTGATTCTAAGAAGAGGATAAAGGGAGTTCAGTATCAGTGAGGTCTGGTGATGCTTGCAGCTTTGGGGCTATGAACATGGCAATCTGGTCAACTAGGGACCAAATATTGGCAATTATTTTCATTTGACTGTGCTAAGTATGCAATATTATTAGGATACGGGTGGTGCTGTGGTCTAAACCACTGAGCCTCTTGGGCTTGCCGATCGGAAGGTCAGCAGTTCGAATCTCCACAACGGGGTGAGCTTCCGTTGCTCCTGCCAACCTAGCAGTTCAAAAGCACACCAGTGCAAGTAGATAAATATGTACCACTGCGGTGGGAAGGTAAATGGCATTTCCATGCACTCTGGCTTCTGTCACGGTGTTCTATTGCACCAGAAGCAGTTTAGTCATGCTGGCCACATGACCCAGAAAGCTGTCTGTGGACAAACGCCAGCTCCCTCAGCCTGAAGCGAGATAAGCGCCACAACCCCATAGTTGCCTTTGACTGGACTTAACCATCCAGGAGTTTTACCTTTTACCTGGAGGTAGAAAGAGATTACTCCACCAAGTCTAGAAACTATCTCTAGTGAAGGATATGAATTCAGAAGTAAGTTTTCTCTAGAATGTTGTCTTCACTTAGCAAAACCATAAAGCAGGTTGGATTCTCAAACACTGAGACTGCAGAAGATCAACCACAACTGAATGAGGCAGTCCAGGTAGTTTGCAGCGTCAGATAATCTACACGATGAAAGGAAAGCATTTACAGGATTGAGTTCTTACACTTTATTCAGTCAGGGCGAATCTATTAAAACTCCTTAAAAAATGAAGATAAGGGAGGCAATGGTGAAATCAGTGATCATATTCTGAAGTTGTATGCCTTTTCTAGATAGAAAACTGCCTGGGGCAAAACAAAGAGGGAAAGAGCACTGTATTAATAAAGCATTTACATATTTTATTGCAAGTTTGTTATCAGTAACATATAGAAAAAATTCTTAAGATCCCTTAGAATCTGTAGATCCATTTGAAACTTGAGAAAGAATATCTGTGTGCCGTAAGTAATGCTTATGTAATATTCCCCCCGCTCTTGCTTTAAGATTGTGCCGCTCAGATATGGTTGTTTTTTGAAACGTGGCAAAGAGATGTTTGTTCTTGTGACAAACCCACCGTTCAAGGAAAACAAGCAGAATCTCGCCCAGTGGCTCAGCATGCACAAAATACTCCAGAGCAGAATGCAGGGGCTTGAAAAACGCTATCAGTGTTGTGCTTTTTGCAGAACCACAGTGGCCAAGTTTATGGAAAAGAAAGGGTCTATTTGCAAAGTAAACCATGGAACAGACACAGCGTGGAAGTGAAACAACCTCCAGTTGTTTCATCTGCATAAGCATTTCAACTCATATTAGTTTTCTGACTGAATTAGACGGCGCAGCATCTAATAACTAACGTTCATGATACTGTATACAGGAGACTGCCCTGGACACATAAGTTTCTTCTTGTTAGGAGAGGTTTTGATCTGTGAAGTGTTTAACATTATGAAGTTTGATCACTGCATTAGTCAGGAATGGTTTACATATCTAAACTTAGATGTATACTTATTTTACAGAATAGGAGTAGGGATTATCTTTTTCCCAGGTATGACGTGGGCGGGAGACACCTTGGCATTTGTAATCTTGTATAATTCACTAACTGCTAATGGAGAACTTTCTCTTTAAAATTTTCAGGAATTCAGCGTCACTTTTCTCACCTGAGGTGGAAATGCAGAATGGTAAAAAAAATGGTCTTCTAAAGCAAGGGAGGCTAATCTGTGCCAATCTAAATGTTGCTGAACTACAACACCCATCTTCCTGCTCATTGGCAGCTATAGCCATTGCAGATTTTATTTTGGATAGATTTAGCTTTGAATCCTTAAACATGTTTACCAAATTACATTAAAATTAAAATTGTATTCCTGTGGCTTTTTAGAAGTAGGTGTTATTATATACATACCCTAGCTAGAATTTTGTTTGCCACATTCTGGAAACTGAGCTAGTTAGATAGGCATGGGAAAAGTTAGATTTTGTTACATTTCATATGATGTTAAGATCCCAAGAGGAAAAATATGAAGAAACCCTAGGTAATTGGTACTCGGTGATATAGCACATTAAGGAAGAATTCGGATCTGAAGAATTTAGGATTGGTTGTATTATGCTGTAGAGTATTTATTAATAGAATTATGATTATATTACTTCATGTATAGCATGTATAGGGGAATATATATGTAGAAATAATATATTTTATAATCTAGTATTCTATATATCCGTATTTAGTATATATACTATATATAGCATGTTTTGTATTTTGAAAAATGAAATAAAAGAGGTCTTAATGTTTGAAGTTGGTTGTGTTTTGTTTTTAAAGAGGCAAATAAAAGAAAGTGGCCCAGTTTACTTCTGGTCACTTATAGCTTGCCACACATAACAAAAAGTGGCTATAGATACAGATGTGCATCCCCAGACACTTCCAAAGACAGCCAACAACTCCAACATGGCTGAACATCCAGATGTGTAGCCACATCAGCTACACACAGATAAGACTGCTTTGGTGTGCAGATCTATTTTGCTGGATCAGGAAAATTGCTCTTGGAATTCAAAGGAGATAGAATCATGGAATCGTGGAATTGTAGAGTTGAAAGGGACCGCAAGGGTCATCTGGCCCAACCCCGCAGGAATCTTACCTAAACCAGAACTTACCCTACGAGTTCAGCTGTTTATAACATGCTATGCTTTTATACTCATGGAATTCAACATTTTTTTGTCCTCACAATAGCCACAAAACTGTTGAAAAACGCACATTTGAGATGAAAATTCTTCTCGTTCTTTCTGCAGGTTCTGCTCCAATATGTAAATATGCTGGTCTTATAAACCTTTGGGTGTGTGCAGTTAATGAGCTGTATCCAATGTTTGTCATATTCAGAGTAAACCACTAAAATTAATGAGTGTGACTAACTGAGGTCAATTCATTGTAATGCATCAACTCTGAGGAAAAACTTCATTGGATACAACCCGATACCTTTCCCTACAGATACTACAATTTTGCAGATATGATTCCAGTGGTGCAAATAATTATCCTAGGTCTTCTGCTTTGTATTTGCATATTCTATTTGCATACCTGATTGGTTGAAAGCAAAACTCAGATTGTTAATGAAATCCACTTTGCATTTTCCTTTCCCTACCCAATGAAGGTGGGTGAAATTTCCGATAAATCAAACAAGGAGAATCACATGCAAAAGAATCAGTGTGTGCAAATAGTTAGAATTCAAAATGCATCCATTACTTAGCAGATAACTGAACAGCCTCATGGCGTGAGGTTCGTAAGCCCAACCAAAGAAGCATTTTCTAGATGGAATCCATGGAGGACCTGCAAGTGTGTTACAGTTGAGAAGTTAAACTTGCACCGTAGAGCCTGTTATAAATGCACTACATGCCAGACAAATAGCAACCATTACCTATGTGCCAGTTCACCAAGGAAGTGACCATGCTACATTGTGGAGGCACAGAAAATACTCTGTACAAAAAAATCACAGGAATCTTTATAACACAGTGATAAATTTAAATTAAGGGTCACATTGGCCAATACTTCATGAAGAAGAAGAAGAAAAACTCTCAACATTTGCTGTGCCATTTTCCATGTGGTTGAAAGTGCTTAGTATATTTTACCTGTTAAGGTGTTGCTTCTCCCCAATCTTTTTTTTTTTTTTTTGCTGAAAACCTGCAGTACTCAGCCCACTAAATGTCAGCCCCTGAATGGAAGTGTTTCATAGATAGTAACCAAGATGGTATTTAGCCCACAATTGTCTGAACAGCATGAAACAGCTTAAAATACTTTTAAGATAAATGTACAAAAAAACAAGGAGGAAGAAAAATCTCATTAAATTATAAAATATAATTGAAGTGTCAGGTCCTTGTTTATTCCTGGCCACTTGAAGCCATGCCAATTGTACAGGTCATGGAATGCTCCTAAAAGATGCTCAGTGCTTCTGTGAAAGAGCAGAAAGAGATATGGACCTCCAGGGAAGGGAGCTTCATATTTATTATGTTCCCTTCCCCTGAGTTCCATAATCACAGAACAGTGACCCCAATGTCTCTGTATGTACATTATACAGACTTGCTGCATTCGGCCAGTCCCAGAGATCACAACAAGGTATAATGTGGAAAACAGTCTTTGGGGCAGAAAGCGTCCAAAAACACCTATTTGGAAGTTAAACGAGTCTATATAAATTAATGTAAAGAAATAGGTAGGCCAAGATATTTGTATCAAAACCCATTCCTAAGGAACACTTGCTTTCGCTTTGCTTTTACATAAATTGGCACAAAAAATAAGCCTTTATTAAATTTCAACCTAACAAAGATCCATAGGATCACATGTATGCAAGAAGGCAGTCCCGCCTCTCATCACAGAGCACTCCTGCTTTGACTAGGAATCCACCTTGGGGAAGATGCTGACTTTATTGTTCCTGCTAATTTTTCTTTCTGCTTTACCCTTGGGCTGTTTGGTCTGGATTAGCTCCTCGGGCGTATTCCCCAGAGGAGGCAGGAGTCGTTTCTTACTATTCCGGTTTTCTGACAGCCACTGTGGAGGCAACTCAAAGGGTCCAAAGCCCAGCTGCATGGAATACTTCTCATTGGCCAATTCGGCTTCTGTTGGCATTGCTGGAGCCACTTGCGCGGCCGAGTCTGCAATGGCGTGAGGCATAGGCCTCTGAACCAAAGTCTGCTCCACGTCTAAGCTGGTTGTGGGGATCTCCTTCTGTTGGTAGCCACTGGAGCCAATGGATTTGGTTTCGTTCTCTTCTTCATCCTCTGTGGGCTTGAAAATCTGCTGCTGCCCAATGTGAAACATCTCCAGAAGCTGGCTACCAGAACGAACGTGAGGCTCCAGGCTGATGTCCCCAGCGCCTCCGGAGCTGACTGTGTTCCTCCGACTATACCTTCGGTGTAACTGCATCATTGTCCCTACTAAACATTTCCGTACGGACTTGTTAACAGTCAGGAAGAGCAGAGGGTTGGCTAGCAGTGATATCTTGGGCAGCCAGATGGCAGTGAGAAGCAAGTACACAGAAGCGTCAGAAGCATTGAGCACAGTGCGGTAAATCACCAAAGTCATATAGGGGATACTGCAGAAAATGAAAACCATAACCATGGAGAGCAGCATGGCATGAAGTTCAGATTCTCTCTGAGAGGCGTAAGGGATAGAGATAGTGTTTTGAGGGGTTCTTAAGGCAGCTATGATGACTTTTTTCTTCTGACTGGCACTCAGTGCCCTGCGGATGAGGATCATAAAGAGAAAGACCACAGCCACCGGCACAATCACAGTGGTAATGTTGTAAATAATGACGTATGCTAAACGGCCAATGGAGTAACTCCAAGGCTCAGTACAAGTGGACATAGCATAAATATCCAGTACGTTGGTCACAGCAAATACAGGAATGCTGGCTATCACTGCATGAGCCCAGATGTAGATCACCAGGTCTCGAGATTTGGCATCCGATATCTTCCTTTCTAGTGGATACAAAACTGAGTAGTACCTACAAAAAAAGAAGGAAAGGGGACTGTAAGAGATGAACAAATGCATGTAAAGAGTAAAGTTGCAACTCTTCCTACCTCCCCTCTATCCCTGGGTAGATTGACTTAAATTTGAGTGATCTAAATCACTGATTTGGTCTTGACTAGCCCTGTATTTTAAATTGTTTCTTCCCTTGATATAAAAGTACCGTAGATTCTGGCATATTAGGTGACTGGGCGTATAAGACGACCCCCCCCCCCCAAATTGGCAGCTGCCAATTTGGCGGGTCGACTTATATGCCCAGTCTTATATGCGGCAGCTTCGCTGGGCAGCGGAAGTGGGCGGCGGGCTCCATTCCGCGCCGGGAGGAAGCCGCCCAGTGAAACCAGCTTAGAATCGCTGGGCAGCTTCCTCCCGGCGTGGAGCCCGCCACCCACTGCCACTGCCCAGCAAACCCATACCCGGCATATAAGACGACCGACTTTTTAGAGAATTTTCCGGGGTTAAAAAGTCGTCTTATACGCCGGAGTCTACGGTATCATTTATCACCAGATCTTCAACAGCACAGTCTTACACATGTCTATACAGAAGTTAATTAGTCTCTCTCTCTCTCTCTCTCTCTCTCTCTCTTTCTTTCTTTCTTTCTTTCTTTCTTAACCTACAGAAATCAATTGCCCTAGCCATTATTTTGATAAAAATATGTCATCAATGGAAAAGGCCAAATTAGATGTGGTACAACTCCTGTCTTCCATGAAAGAATATCTAATCCAAGTAGTATCAAATCTTTTTCCTAAAGCATACTATGGTTTTTTAAGGTTCTGTATTCAATGACCGCACCATTTGCAAAAAAATATAAAGCCAATAGGTAGAATTAAGCCTTGCAGTATGATGAATGTTCCATCAGTACAAGCACTTTAGCTTGCCAGATGGAACGATCCCCCTCTCCCCTGACCCGTGTACTTTTTGTTGAATGGTTTCTTTAAATGTAAAGGTTCATCACTGTTCCACCCGATGTGTATGTCTTTAAGGGGCCAAAGCAAGGGCCAGAGCAAGATAACGAGACCCAGCTTTACAGCTGTGAAACATAGCAGGTGCTGCCGAGTTGTACTGATTAAGCTGTGTTGGTAATTGGGTGTAGTATATAAGGAGCAGCACCTAGCTCTCCCATTACCCTGGGGGATGGGTTGGTGGTTGGGTCATGTTTGTTTGTTAATGTATTTAGTGTAAAAGGAGTTTTTGTTTTTCTTATTAAAACCTTGTTTAAGTTATTTTTGAGTCCCTTTTTAATGCATGGTCTCCCCAGCAAGCTCTCTGCAGCGCTACCATACTGCAAAAAGCCAACACTTTTCTGGGAGGTTAAGTTGTCCAGACCTTAAAAATCCAGCCAACGTATGTCATTTCTTTCAGAATAACTCAGCTCACAGGTTGGTTGCAAAGTGAAAATGTTGGTCTCAGCAACTTGACCAAAGAGAAAAATAAACATGTTTAGCGCTGAAGGCAGAGGGCAGCTGAACCATTTCAGCAACCCACAATTAAGCAGCAAGCAATGTAGAACCTATATCTGTTGCAAGGGGCAAGTGGTAAATGTCAGTTTACGAGTAACTTCACAGTCTTACCTATCCAGAGCAATGGCAGGAAAGCTAAGGATGGTCACTGAGCAGAAGACTTTGTGCAAGAACTTTATGATCTTACAGAAGACCATGGTGTAGATCCACCAGCAGCAGTGTGGACTGGCACCGAGGACTATGTCAAAAGGCACACAGACTAGGCTGGCACAGATCCCAGAGCAGGCCATGTTCTTAATAAACCGGTTGGTTACCGACTTGAAAACTGACATCCTGCACGTTGACCACAAGACCATGAAGTTTCCTGGATGAAGGAAACAAAATTAAACCATGAAAGTTTCTCTCTTGCTCTCTCTCACGTAATAGGCACACACATATAAACACACACATTTATATATTAAAATATTTGAATAAGATTTGAGCATACAATTTATTCACTTATACAGGCTCTTTCTTAAACAGTCATTGTTTCTAGCTTCCTTACCATTTTTTAAAATTTTAATGTAGTTTTAATTATTCTTAACCACCTTGAATGGTGCAAAAGCACTAACTAGAAGGGCAGGCTTTAATTTTTTGACATAAGTAAATAGATAAATTCAGATGCTCTGTAATCATCTTCCCGCTGTTTCCATTTGCAATGCGGAATGGTAGTTTCAGTTGCATGGACTCCATGTGTCTATTCCAGTGAAGTTTGGGACATAGGTCCACTATTCTTGCCATTGACAGCCATCCAGCTACAAGGCAAGAGTGAAGCTGGAGCTAACTACGGGATAGTTTATCACACCATATCAATATTGACTAATTAATGCATCTGTTAAGGGCATGGCCCTCAACAGTTGTAATTTCCAAGCATTTTGGGGCCCGAAAGTTCCTAACATAGCTTGTTAAACTGAATTTATTTTGCTCATTGAATTCTAATGTACATGACTATGATAAATATCAGTATCAGTGCTATTTTTATACAAAATGAGGTGCTGGAACCCACCATGAACACCTCCCTTGTTCTCTTATAATGGCAATGGCGCCCACCTGAGAGGTGCTGGACCTGGGTTCTGGTTGAGTTGTGGCTGAAAAAAGCTCTGTTCGGTATTAAAGGTGGGGCACAATGAGTCAGGAAGGCTGTCCAATGTTCAAGGTGCCTCAGAATTACTTTGGCTATTCAAATCTTTACTAGGTTCTTCATCTGTGTAGGTGGTTATAGAAGTTGTTGGAATGGTAGCAGTAATTATTGTCTCTGCGATACTGACACTATCAGATTTCACAGCATCTTAAAAACAAACACTACTTATTTTTCATAGCGCAGAAGGCTTACTATCAATTAGTCAAAACATATTTCAACACAAATAAACTGTGAAAGAAGCTATGGCTGAAAAGCAGTTTTAAATAACTGAACAATACTGGTTTTTTCCCCCTAGAGCCAATTCACATAGCCATAAACTGGATCCCCCCCCCCCCCAGCAGATGCAGCAATATCTTTTGAGCTGAATGTAATGTGCACATGTTGAACTGATTGTGGATCACTTTCTGCATACAACAAGAGTAAGCAGGAATCCTATGTGCACAATGGGAATGATGAATTGTAGTAGTAAATTCACACATATTAACTGCACAGAAAAGGTGTGCATTGCAAGCATGTGAGAGGAGGTTGTGGGGTCATGAAAGCTAGCCCTGACCCCGATACACACAGTCCCATTGGCTGCATGTTCATATTGTGGCTCATACTGAAACAAGGCCAATTATGATAATCTGAACCACGTAGTTTTCTGCAGAGGACAGCCACTTTTGTGAGCTGTGGGCCCTCGGTTTTTTCATTATTAACATTTTGTTTCCATGAGATCCTAAGAGATGAAGTGTGGTTTAAAAGCATATTCAATCAATCGGTTGTGATGTTATAAGCTTAACATTTTACTAAAATATTTCCTCAAGTAACAATATCTTTATGACTATCTCTCCGATGCTATACAGTGGTACCTCGGGATGCAAACGGGATCCATTCCGGAGCCCCGTTCGCATCCCAAACGGAACGTAAGACGCGACAGCACATCTGCACGTGCACGGGTCACGTTTCGCCGCTTGCGCACATGACATCATTTTGACCGTCTGCGCATGCGCGAGCGGCACAACCCGGAAGTAACGCGTTCCGAAACAAATATATATATACACATATCTATATATTAAGATGAAAATAATACTGAAATACAGATAACATATGAAATGTGAAAGGAAGTGTTGTGAGAGTGATGGAAGTCTATTACTATTATTTTGTAAAATAGTGTTTATTGTATAGAAATATTATACTTTTCTTTACTCTTTTACTGTACTTTTCTTTGCATTTTTTCTTCTTTATTTTTTTCTTTTTCTTGATATTATTCTTTATGTATGGCTTGGTAGCGATGTATTTACTTTGTAATAAAAATTATAAAATAAATAAATAATCTGAAATAGAGGGATATGTGCTTCATCAAGGGAAGTTCTCGATTTTTTAATGTTCTTCTAATTTTTCTAAGGGTCACACTAGATGTTACTTCCACTGCATGGCTAGGAACCACGCCAGGGTTAGTATATACAGTCATACCTCTGGTCGCGAACGTGATCCGTGCGGGAGGCATGTTCACAACCCGCAGCGTTCGCAACCTGCAGCGCACGATTCGGCGCTTCTGCGCATGACGTCATTTTGCGCTTCTGTGCATGTGCGAGCGCCGAAACCCAGAAGCAACCAGTTCCAGTACTTCCAGGTTCAGTGTGGTTTGCAACCCGAAAACGCGCAACCCGCAGCGTTCGTAACCCAAGGTATGACTGTACTGTATATGGCTAGATTTTTACTGGGACTGCAGTGCTGGGTGGGGGTGACACAGTTAAGCCTTCTGTCACCAGGTCAATTTCTACAAAAAATCCCCACCCCAAGACAATTAGCTTAGTGAAGGGGGAGTAACAATTGCCACCAATGGCATTTTCCACATGATTCTGGCTGAGGGTTAAACCTCATGTGCCTGTATGCTGGGGTCCTGACGAACATCTTGCTCCCCCCGCCCCGTTAAAATGTGCCTAGTATTAACTTTTAAAATCCCAATAAGCTTGCTAATTACACAATAAAATGACGTTGAGTGTAATCTAGAGGCAAATTTGGCATTTCCCCTCCCTAACATCTCTGTTCTGGCCCAGATTCTGTTGCCAGTCAACTTAGAATAATGTCGACAATTAACAACTGGCACAGATTTCTTTTTGATCTACTACCCTGACTCAAAGTGCATTCAATAGGCTCCCCTCTGTGAACCTGGAAAGTTAATTTGTTTTGTACCAATCCTTACAAGAACACCCCAAAGAATGTTCCACATTCCAACTACTGAATTAGTAGAGGCTTATTAACATCCACTCCAACTTCTGCCAGGTTCCCCTTTTGCTGGCACACAGCATTGTGCTGTGACTCAACGGGGTTCTTGTTTACATTGATGTGGGTCGAGTTCAACTTGCCTTTTGTCCTATGAGTCACATTAATCCAATAGTCTTCCTCTATTTCTGACCCATAGTGGTACAATTTACTTGAGTATGTTTTTCATCTCTTATGTGTACTGCAACTATATTATCTGAGACTTGTAATATTGAATCGCTGTCTCCTGAAATAATTGGATATGTTTACCGGTCCCTTTACCTTTTTACCTTGTTCCACAGAGTTAAAATACAATGCGCTGTTAAGTTTATTCTATAACAGATATTATTCACTTAAAGCTGATTCATGTGTTTACATTTGAGTGATAATATCCTTGAATAGTGGTTTTGCCAGATCCTTTTCACGTGAGCAAGCAGTTTATACATTTCCCTGAAAACTTCCTCCTCTGACAATTGTTACCATGTCAGATGGGTTTATTTGATGTGATCACTAATGATTTTCATTCTGGAATGTTGTTTCAGAGACATGTCTCTAAATGTGAAAATGAGATGCTGTAATCTCACAACTTTACCATCTCAAATAAGCACACCAAATGCGAAAATGAAGTGATGAAGACACCATAACTTAGTTCGCATGTCACACTAAGCCAACACATGGCTTAGAGCAAACACATGGGCTTCGGGATCTTAGATCACAGCTGATTCGCTTCACCCTGGTCATTTTGCTGCTGCATCAGGCTGAACTAAGCCATGGTTTGGAATACACTTTTGATCTGAACTCAGTTTAAATAGAGATTATTCACATCCTTTTTATAACTGCATAGCACAAATATCTTATTAAGTTTATGCCTTGCTTGTGCTGTTCTGTTTACAAGCTACACTCTCCACAATACTAATAAAGATTTTAAATTACTTGGTACCAATTAACAGCCTACTGGGTGAAATGTTCTTTTAAACCAAGGCACCTGCATACAAATTTTCCGCTTCATCACACAGGAGATGATCTATAAAGCAAAGAGTTTTTCTTATGAAATGACCTCTTATCTGCAAAGACCACTATGCTAAAAAAAAAAGGGGGGGGAGAGCGTTTGGGCAACATCCAGCCAAAGTCAAGCGCATGCATTTCAATTGTAGATACATGCAGTCCAGTGTATATGTATCCATAGGAACATAGGAAGTTGCCTGATACCAAATCAGACCATTGGTTAGAGGCAGATTTAGGGCACCACGACTGGTTCCACCACACTGGGCGCCTAGGGGATAACATTGCCTAGGACAATGTTACTATGAAGTAGTGAATAAAGCAGATCGGAGGCGAGAGGCGTGCGCCAAATTTTGGGCTCACACAGGGTGCCACTGACATTTGAAATAATAATAATAATAAATTTTATTTATATCCCGCCCTCCCCAGCCGAAGCCGGGCTCAGGGCGGTTAACAACAATCAAATAATCAAATAATCAAATAATCCAACATTCTAAAAACATTTCATTATAAAAACTGAAAGATCAAAGTCCGCCCCTGCATTGGTTCATCTAGGTAAAAGGTAAAGGTAAAGGACCCTGGATGGTTAAGTCCAGTCAAAGACAACTATGGGGTTGTGATGCTCATCTCACTTTCAGGCCGAAGGAGATTTCCGGGTCAAAGCAGATGCTCTACCAGTAAACTACATCCCTCCCTGATAAGAGTAACTGCAGTGTTAAGTATGGGTTTGCCTCTCCTGTTGAAAGAAATGGAAATTAAAGTGATTAAGTTTGGCTGGATCAGGTCCATTCTGAATTGTCAAATCAAGCTCCTCCAATATTATTTCCTCTTTTTCTCCAAAACTGTCTAATTTTCACCCATTAGCATCAAGTTTTATTCTCTTTAGGAGCACAAACAACACAGGCTGCTACTCACAGTTTCCATAGCAACAACTACTGCGTGAAAGCAAAAATCATTTTCTTGGTCAGATCACAGACTTTCTGAGTCATTTATTTCTGTTTTACACCTAACTCAGCAGAGGGGGAAACTAGTGCCAATTCTGAAGACAACTGACTTGTTTCCGACTGCCCTCCCCGCCCCCGCCCCCAAAATGTCACACTAATTGAACAGCAAAACAAAAGCTGTAAACTTTTGAAGAATATGTGATATCTTGTTTAAAAATATCCTGGCTAGTGTCCTTAAAATTGTTTGATTCCAACCCTTCCCCCCACACTTATATGAAGGATTATTTAAACTTGAAATATCTAAGCATATTGCATTTGTGAGCTCAGCAGAAAGATATCAGACCTGTTTCAATTCTCTGATTTCATGCTGTTTTTGTAACAGGATTATTTTTGCAGTTCCTGAGAACAAAAATTGTTTCCAAAGGATGCTGTTGAATCAAAGAATACATACTGTGAGGTGAAAGACATGCTGAGCTACCATAAGTTGAACATGTGTCAGACATCAATGCACTTGAGGGGGAAAAGATAACTAAATGATATCTATCCTTAACATTAAAAACCACAAAATGAAGAGGAAACCCATCGATTGTAAAATAAATGGGGGGAAATACACTGTATATAAACCTTCCTGAGAGTAATAATACAAAACAATTCAGTAAAAGAACATAATTTATTTTATTTTATGGCATTTATATCCCACCTTTCCTTCAAGGAACTCAAGGCGGTATATGTTACGATATAGAAGCAATGCAGCCGCGAGCTGCTAGCTTGAAAACATCACATGATGGAACGTTAGGACTGTTCCGTGGGAAACAGAGGGACAGTCAATTCACAGGGCAATGCACCGGAATTAGCTCAGAGTGTAATATGAGCTCTTCCTTTTGCTCTTGTACAGGAAATACAGGAAGTGTTTGTCTCTCGACTGCTGGAGCTTGAAGAGAGCAGTCATGCTTTTGTAATGCTGCAAAGACAGAAATAAAGGAATGTAAATACGTTTCTATCTATCTCTTTCCCCTGCCCAGGGAGGCAGGAAAGAGGGTGTGTGTTCTTCTCACGGCGAGAAGAATCGCCTATCGCGGCCTAGCCTGTATCCTGCTGGGGAATGCAGACAGGGAGGTCAACAGGAGATCAAGCCGGGTGCCTGGAGAGTTGCCAGTTTCTCCTGATAAAGGCTTGATTTCCGACAGTATACACGCTACTGTTCCTCATTTTATCCTCACAACAACCCTGTGAGGTAGGTTAGGCTGAGAGGCAGAGACTGGTCCATGGCCCCCCCAGTAAGCCACATGTTTGATTGAGGATACAAACCCTGGTCTTGCATGTCCTAGTGAGGCACTTTGACCACTAAACCACCACTGGTTTACTGTGAAAATATATTTCAAAATAATCATTGGATGTTTTAAGAGCACTGTGCCAGTCACTCACATATTTCAGCCTGTGTCTTATCCATGGAGTATCACTTAATCTTAAATAATCCAAAATTTACAAATTAGAAAAAAACTATTATCCTTTCTATTGAAACTATATCCATGTAAGATGATAGCACTATACAGGAAGAATATTGTTTTTATAAGAGCAGCTTCAGGCTCCTTAAGAAATGTTGGCAGAACTGAATTCACAGTCACTTCTGCATTCTTCATAATATTTGAAGGGGAACTTAGACATCTCCTTCTGAGATGCAGGAGCTCCCCAGCGCAGTGAGGAAGATGTTCTGTTTCAGACATCAGACAGAAATGCTGCAAGACAAATGTAGTTGCGTGTCAAGGACACCCCCCCCCAAAAGACACAGCTCACTCACACAATTTTTGTTTTAGTTTTTTGGCATAATTTTGGCCACAACTTTATTGATTACAGCATGTGAGTGGTTGCTTAAGCATTGGTTAGTGACTATCTGTTCCCACTTAGAGGTAGGAAAAGAACTGACAACTGCAAGCCTGCGAAAGTCAGTAAGGGTAAACATTTTTGGGGAGAGAACAGAGCTGGGTGCCAGACCCTCACCTCTCCCCAAATGCTCCCAGGGGCTCTTGCGTGGCCCTAGCCCCTTGCCATGGGTTCGGACAAGAGCATGGCGAACCCCTGGATTCCTTTAACGGAATAACCTTGCAGCAGCAGCATTGGAGGGGCCGGCACAGCCAACCACATCCCCTCCACCAACCAAAAATTAACCAATGCCTAACCGCAACCTTACAAGTTGTGACGATTTGCTACGCAGTAGGCAGAAACCAAATGGCACCAGCCAATCAGCCAAATGGTAAAATTCCTACCAGGCCCCTGCTCCAAAGCAGATGACCCCATGACAGGCATAGCAAGGTCAGCACAAATAACCCTAAATATAGGGAGGGTGGGTGGGTGATCCGATGAGCGCAGCGAAAAGAGGAAGCTCAACACTGCGTGCAGGGAATAAATAGCACCCCAAACAGTCAATCAACTTTGCAACCTTAAATTCTCCCCAGCAACAATTGGAGGTGTCCTATCAGATTCGTGGCCATCCATACTAACCTGCCCAGCAACAGGGGATGTCATGGTTGCCCCCGCCGCAACACGTGCTCTCCATGAAGGAGAACCCGCTTTGTGATACAAGCTGTTGAATCTTCCTTTAATGTCCAAAGCGGCTTGCAGGTATTAATGAAAGCATGAGAGATGTCAAAAATGTTCATGGGGGAGGCAGGGGAGACTCAAAGCCGTAGCTCATGAGACAAAGATTTCTGAAGTACTGGGGAAAGTCATGATAAGAAAACACCGTTTTTTTGCAATGTAGAGGTGATTTTTCATCAAAATAACAATAGAGGAAGGCTTAATGAACCCCTTCCCATGTTGTGTGTCCCCATAAAAATTATCCCACCACCTGTAATTAAATAAAGAAAAACCAAGGAGCTGATTGCAAGTGATGAAATTGGTGTTATTGTGTAGGCATAGGTACCTAGGCAGAGAGATGCTGTCCAGATTCTGTAGAACAGCGGAAACAACTAACCATAGCACCGTTTGTGTGACAGCATGATTCATAATGTGACACCACTGGGGGGCTTCACCCAGGGGGCTTCAAGGGCATTAGCTACTATTTGCAACCTCTCCCCCAAAATTCAACAAAGCTTTTCTGTAGGCGCTGCTCCTTGTTCATTTTCACAGCATAATATACTCTTCTGAGAAACTGGTCATTGCAGTAGATTGCTCCAGAACTACATAATCACTAATTTACTGGTGTGGCATCATCTTGGCTGTGAGTCTTGGAAGACCTGCTCCCTGCCTTGAATGCTTTTTTTCCCACCTGGCCTGGGAGGGGAGGGCCCTGACTGACTCCAGCTACAAAATCTGAGGCTGCTGAAGAGGCCAGAGACCATCTTGGCTTTTCTTCATGCGGACACAGGACGTCAAGCCTGAGCTTCCACAGCCACCAGCCACCACAAACCACGATTAACAGGATTAGTAGCAGCAACAGCAGTTTATGTTCTATGCATATGATATTTTAATCTCCTGCTAATTGTGCTGTTTTAAATGTGCATTCTATATTTGACTTCCTTTAGTGTGTTTTTTTGAAGATAATTTTTTGGTTAACTTTGCTGCGCTGAATGTGCATTCTGCACTTGACCTCCTTTGTAATGTTTTATTTTGAAATCTTTAAGATAACATTTTAGTTTCCTGTTCATTGTCTTGCTTTGAATGCATACTTTTTTTTTTCCTTTCTTCTGTAATACCTTATTCTGCATTGTTTTATTGATGTTTTAATGTAGGCTGTAAACCGATACGAGATTCCACCCCCCCTCCAAAAAATATGAAGCAGTATAGAAATGAAATAAAAAGAAAAAAGAAAGAAATGAGACAAGTCAATTGTTTCTGTTTTTCCATTTGCACTTTTGTTCGAGAACTGTGGGCGTTGAATAAATAAATAAAGAAATAGATAAAGAAAGAAAGAATGAAAACACAGAGCACTGCTCGGAGGTGCTATTTCTTCCTCTGAGTGAATGCAGTTATTTTTCATTAGCAATGCAGCATATACTTTGGAAGTGCCCAGAAGCTGTATATTACATTACTGCTATCAAATGCTACAGGTTATTCTAAGCCAAGCAGTGCAGCTACCATCCCATACTTGCAGCCTACAGTACAGGAACAGTTTGATCATTTGATAATCTCATTGTACAGTTTGGCCTTCATGTAATGTGTACTAACAATATATTATCTAATAACTATGTAATTACATATCAGGAGAATTGATACTGACACAAGCAAAAATTTCACTGGTGCAAATAATCAAAGATAGGTAGCTGAAAGTAAATGTTTAATTAGGAAATGAGATAGTAAGAGCTTTGCAAATTAATCCAATTAGACAAATCATATACTAAGTCCATTTTCACATGAGACCTAAAATGCACATATGAGCGTCTCTTGTGTGCTGGAGAAACCAAAAGCTAACTTGCAATCATTTTGTTCTGGAAGGAGAGTGTTGCATGGGATTAACTTTAATTAAACTTGCTTGTGTTTCAATTGCTTTCTGCTCTAGTTGTCTGATCTGCTGGATTTGAGAGGGCTGCTTCCTCTGAATTGCTGTGCAGCAAAAAACAATATGATCACTGTAATAGTCATACAGCATATTGAATGATGTTACTGCAATAGTTACTTAAAAGTCCAAGAAATGATTACGGAAAGTATACTATGTTGATTATTACTGCATATCTTTGATTGACTAAGTGTCTGAGAGTAAAAGCGTGAATTTTGTTATTGAGCCTCCAGCAGATAATTTTCTGCCTACAAATATCTGAAGATCTACTGCCTTATAGCTGACATTTATTAGTCTTTATGGTAGCTTCCACCAACCTGGTACCCTCCAGATGCTATGGACTACATATTGTTATTAAATTTGTGCACTTCCCTTCATCCGAAGATCAAAGGGCGATTCACAACATAAAACTACATGAGAACACAAAATAGATAATAAAAGAAACAAACAAAAAATAATCCCCCTCGCACAAACTCATTTAAGAGGCCATAGAATGGTCAATCAGTCAAATGCCTGGTTGTAAAGAAACATTTTTGCCTGGCACCTAAATATAGGTAATGAAAGTGCCAGGCGAGCCTGTGGCCTTCCTATAGCTAATGGGAACTGTAGTCTGAAATATCCAGAAGGCATCAGGTTGCTGAAGTCTGCTTTAAGGCAGCAGACTAATCATGGCTATTCCACTGGAAATACTTGGAAAGAGCTTCAGTTAAAAAGAAATGACGTTTTCATTTTTAGCCTTTTTGTAAATATAGAGATGTCAGACTCATACACTGTACGCATCAGATTCCAAGTTCAGTCCTCAGCACCCTCAATTAAGAGGATCTCAGGCAGTAAGACTGGGAAATGACCTCAGGGCGCCCCTCAGAACTTTGGGACTACAACTCCCATTACCTCCAACCAGCAACTTGTGCCTTAGGACTATGCACTTGTTTAGGAAAGGTTGTAAAGTCAATGCCCAACATATGCAAGCACCAATGAACACCAACACAAGGTGAGAGAGGGCTGACAAGTGTGACTCTGTTACTGCACCATGCACTCACTTGACAAGATTTATCTAAATCTGAATATAGGCATGGCACATTAATATCTTTAGCACCCCCACTGAGTTGAATTCTGTTCGAATTTTTCATACTGAGCTTGAGCACCTCCCCCGATCCTTATACAGTGGTGCCTCGCAAGACGAAATTAATTCGTTCTGTGAGTTTTTTCGTCTTGTGAATTTTTCGTCTTGCGAAGCGCGGTTTCCCAAAGTCTTCAAAATCACCAAAGTCTTCAAAAACCTCAAAAAAGGCTACCACACCGCGTGCTATGAGTTGCTCCTCGAAGTCACCCTGGGTATTAACGGTTTTAAGAAAAAGGAAACAAACTTGCAAGACGTTTTCGTTTTTCGTCTTGCGAAGCAACTCAAAAAACGAAAAACTCGTTCGTCTTGCAAGGCATTCGTCTTGCGAGGTACCACTGTACAACCAAAATGCCCTCTTTAAAAAACAACAACAGAACAAAGGGGATTTTTGTGTCAGATTATTTCTTCCCATTCTGTATAATCAAATACCCAAGTCTTATCAACTTCTTTTTACTGTATACAGGACTTGACTTTTCCAGATTTCCCTCCTATAAGGAGACATGCTTTAATTGACTGATGCCAATTAAAATAATTCCAGTTTCTTCTGGCACACAAGATTTCAGTGCCTGTGTTCCACTTTGCTTATTAAAAACTGGTGTGAAAAGCGACACACAGGCTTCACCTACAAAACTGGCAGCACTGCTGATTACTTCACATAAAAGCATTGCCATTAAAAACAGCCTGCAGATAACAGAACCTGTTAGCGAAATATGTATGCATGTATATCAAGATGAAATCTATTTCAGGGTAAGTTTTGTTTATTTTTCTCCTTTTCACTCTTTACTTTGTTATCTTATTCAAGATGACGAGATACCTTTCATTTAGTTCATGTTGCTAGGAAACAGAACATCATGTTGGAGAACAAATGCCAACAACAGAATCAAATAATTCCCCCCCCCCGCCCCTATGCACACCTACACACCTGCCCAGAGTTTGCATTACTTCCCAATATTTCTTCTTATCATAAACAAGAGCACATAGATTAAAGCAGGAAAAGACAATGGCCCCAATTCAGTGAACAGTGATCTGTGCATGGTTTTGGCATATGGCTTACTTATGCTGCACTGCACATAAAGGACTACTGCTGTGTGGCCCAGAGTCAGACATCCATGAACACAGCAGCATGAACACACCTAATATAGTACTTGGGGTGCCATTCATGTCAGGAGCAACTGCCCTTAGATGCAAACTGGGGCCCAGTAGGCTTGGAGTGTCTCCTTGCCAATTAGGTTTTGCTGCAGCAGTGTAGCGATGAGCAGCTACAGGGTGTTGCATGGAATATGCTAACATCCAAAGAGATTTTAGCATATTCATTTGGACCACAGAATTCTAGCATGGATATCAGGGTGAGGTGTGTTGAAGCTGTAGAATTCTGCAAAAGAAAATAGAGGTAGAAGACTGGATTTCTCAGTGAAATGCTAAGCATTTACACTCAGAAGTAAATTTGTCTAAATTCAGTGGAACTTACTATTGAGCCTCTTATTATTGTGTTAATGACTGCAGCCTTAAGAACCAAAATCAGATCTACCCCCTTACCCCAATACCCAAGTACAGAAATTTGGTACACATCATAAAGAATATGTGCACATTTTCTAATTCATTCAAGATGTTATCTCCAGGAAATATTAGCTCTGTCCGTCTCCCCTACGCGTCCTGTCCACAGACATAATTGATTTGATTTGCACTTTAAATGTCTGAATTACATGAACTAGGAAGCTGGATTTCCATGGCTAAGATACATAATTTCTTAGCAATGTTTCATATTTCATCAGACACCATTAAGCAATAACAATACAGCAAAAGTCAACAGCAGCCCCACTCAATGTCAAAACTATTGTGTGGCAGTGGTAGGAAGGAGGAAACAAAGGGACATCCACTATGTGTTTTAGAACTGGAAACCACAGAGGGAAATTGGTTTCAGAAGCGTAGAACTCCATGCAAAGTCAAATCAGCCTGAACAGATTGCTTCATTGCCCATTGGTAGAGATAATGGAGAAAAGGCAGTGAAGCACAAAACAGGTAACATAGTTGAACTCATTGTCTCTAATACTGCTATGGGCCAAGTATAACTGAGGGCATCAGGTGGGATCTGCATGGGGATGTGGCAAAAAAAAAGGTCTTTCCATGGCACGTGGTCCATGAACCTACTGTAATGTCTGCGAATATGCAGCTGCCCACTTATTAAGCCACGAGTCTTGACATACCTCAATCTCCCAGCTGTTCCTGGGAATGCGGATTGGGGACAGAGAAATTCTCAAAGTGACAGAGCAAGTTGTTTTGCAAGTATTTGTGAACGTCATTGCCGAAACAGAGAAAGGCTTGCCACAGGGAAGCCACTTTAGCAGCGCCCCTGCAGCAAATGAAATATGCTCCATGCTGAGACACAAATCACCCCCAAAGCAAGCGTATATTTAGCAATCGTCCTGATTTGTTTTCACAAAATGTGCACGGAGGATAGATGACATCACCATCAAGTGGTGGTTATCCTGCACTTTCCACTGTAGTTTTCTGTTACTTTTCCTACCACAGAAGGATGGGGAGGGTGATACAAGATCACTCTTTAGTTATTTGCTATATACTGCACTATCTCAGCAGCATAGCATCTGCTTTACAACCGGAAGGTCTCAGATTCAATCCATAGCATCACTAGGTAGGAAAAGACTCTCTGTCTAAACATCTGGAAAGCTACTGCTAGTCAGCATGGACAATACTGAGCTAAATGGACTCAGTATAAGGCAGCTTCCTATGTCCCTAAATGCTCACCAATATATGAGACAGTTTGCAAATATCTCATAGCAAATTTCCACCCATAAACCAGTTTTGGCAAGCTTCAGAGCGGATTATTCACATCAATAATTCATGCCAGCATTTAATATCCTTCTAAACAGTGCAGTTTATTATGGCAAAAATGATTCATATGGGCAGCTAATACAAATCCAATTTGCTTTTATCTATATAGTCCTGTTCCCAAATGGGACAAACAATGCCCTATGTGGCAGATTTCTTTTGAGGATAAATGAGGAAGTCGAATATTGTTCTATACCATCAGTCTGATTTCCATGAAGTTAAGAGAAATTAAATTAAATGTATTTGGAAAATCATAATAGGCAATGCTTTCAGACACAGTGAGATCAATCCATAATCTTTACAATTCTCAGTGATGCTTTTTTGATGCTCTGTTTTGAGAAAGCACTCTGCTATCATTTAGAGCTCCCTATTGACTACTAAAATGTGGTATTCGTGACTGCTGCCTGCCATACATTGTCTCTGCAACGATCCTGTATTACACTGTGGTTAAGACTCATTACACATAATTTGCTGCATGCAAAAGGCACAGAAAAAACAAACAAAATGTCCTAAAGGTTAAAGCAGTAGTTTTCAACCAGTGTGCCATGGCACCCTGGGGTGCCTTGAATGATGGTCAGGGGTGCCGCGGGCAACACTGGCCTCCATTTCTCTTTCCTTCCCTCCCTCCTCTGATACCGTTTCATGTCTCTGCCTCCCAAAGCGTTGCATGGCTGTTTGTTGCAGCAGCCCTGGCTACAAGCTCCTTAGGCAAATGGTGCCACTGGGGCCTGCCAGGGCTGCTGGTTGCCAGGAGCTGAGGCAGCCTCAGAGTAAGCAAGCTAGTGTGTGAGGAAGCCCAGCCAGCCAGTTAGCCAGCCTTTGCTGTTAGGAATGGACAGATAAGTGGGAGGCCAGGCAGACAGACGCTGCCTTGGCCTTTCTTGTGCTTTCTGTGTGTAAGGCCTGCCTATGAGCTGAGTGCCCGGTGCTGAAGGAGAGCCTTTCTGCCATGCAGGCCCAGTAGCACCCAGAGCTGCCACCCAGCGTAAGGTTCTAGCCTCACATTCACCTTTGCCCAGTCTCCATTGGGTAACTAAGGCGGGGAGCTTCCTCTTCCCAGGCCCCAGGCGTGAGGAGGCATCTCTCTTTGGGGCAGGGAAGACAGCTCAGTCACCAGGGGCGACAGTAGCGGCTATCAGAGGACTCCCAAGGAGAGGGGAGAGGAGAGGAGGCTGAGGGAAAACTCCACAAGGGAGGGTGTTCAAAAAAGGGTGGGAGGCTGCCAGCTCTGCAGGCAAGGGGGTAAGATAACTGGGCTCCTGAGCCCCACAGGGGTGCCACAGAAAGACTGTAGTTGGTCAAGGGAGCTGTGGACTCAAAAAGGTTGAAAACCTCTGGGTTAAAGGACAACAACGTTAGAGGGTCAGCACGCCATGCCATTTGAAGGAGATTAGTATTTTGCAATATTTTCTACATTTTGCATAGCCTAGTAAGGCTGGACAGTTGCCCAGAGCAGTCCTTGGAAGTTTGATGGGTTGACTGATCTGAGTCCCTGACCTGGCACAATCTGCAATCCCCACTGCTCAGCAAACTAATGGTGAATGAAGGATTGCAGAGCTGAGCAGCAGATTCCCACTAGCAGGCACGGTGTGCTATCTGAATGCAATGTTTCACTTCATCCAAGCAGGAGGACCCTGCTCAGGGCTCATCCACATTCAATTTGTCCTGTGATTTCAAGGAGTCCAAGAGGTTTTTCTTTTGTCCCACCACTTTGCCCAGGAAAACCCGCTATCAGGTTTTCTGCGAATTAATGTTTGTTCTGATTCAGCAGTAAGCAGTGAATTTTCTCAGGGAAAGGCTTGGGACAAAAGAGAAACCGATAAATCACAGGACAAATGGACACAACTCCAGTCCCTTGAGCATTTGGGTGGAATTTCTGCTAGCCAAACTAAATACAGTGGTACCTTGGTTTGCATACGTTTTGGTTTACAAACATGTCAAACCCGGAAGTGTGTGTCCCGGTTTGCAACCTTTTTTTGGGATTACAACCCATTTTATTTTTTTTGGATTACGAACAAATTTATTTTGGAGGCCCCATTGGTGAAAGCGCCCCTTGGGTTACAACCTGTTTGGGTTTACAAACAAACCTCCGGAACAGATTATGGTTGTAAACCAAGGTACCACTGTACAACATAGGAGATCCATAATTAGGATCTCACCTTTTAAAAATAGTTCAGAACTCCCGAGAGACATTAACGGGTTGAGGCAAAAGGTGCTGAGAAAAGGAGTGCTAACCCCACTTCCCAATACCATTTTCCTGATCTAAATCCCCACCCCCCACTCCCGTTGCTGGTTGACCTGAATACTGGTACCATGCAAATACAAACCCAAAGAGTGCTCACCAATGCTTCCTCCTCATCCTGGAAAAAAGTGACAGGGTTTAACCCTGGGCCATTGTTGTTCAATGTCTTTATAAACGGCTTGAACTGAGGAAATGAGGGGACGCTCATCAAATTTGCAGACGACACCAAACTGAGAGGGGTAGCTAATACCTCCAAAGATAGATTCAGGATTCAGACTGGTGAACAGGGTCCAAACTAACAAAATGAATTTCAGCAGAGGCAAATGCAAGGTTCTGCACTTACACAGGTATAATCAGATGCACAAGTATAGGATGGGGGACACCAGGCTTGACAGCAGTATATGTAAAAATTATCTAGGAGACTTTGTAAGCTGCATCAACAGAAGTATAATGTAGAAGAGAAGTAATAGTACTTCTCTATTATGCCTTGGTCAGGCCTCACCTGGAGTACTGTGTCCAGTTCTGGACACTGCAGTTTGAGAAAGGATATTGACAATCTGGAACATGAACAGAGGAGAGTAACTAAGATGATAAAGGGTCTGGAAACCAAGCCTTATGAGGAACAGTTGAGGGAGCTGAGTATGTTTACCCTGGAGAAAAGAAGACAGAGCAGTCTTCAAATATCTGAAGGGTTGTCACACAATTGACATCCCAATTTTAGTATTTTTTAATTGGAAGCAATTCCCATTGCTTCTGAAATAACTTCCACATAAGTGCTTTGGAAGACAGTTTTTAATTCTCACAAGGAACGCCCAAGCTCTATTTCTATTATCAGAGAAACTAGTTTTTACACAAAAATAGCCTCTGGCAAGAAAAACTATATGGCCTCAGGTATCGCAGCTGTTGGCAGGAAAGTGAAAACCAAAATATGTCAACTGCGGCTTAAGTAAGGTATCTGTCACCAGTTCTTCTTAGCTGAGACAAAATTATGCTGACCTGTATAGATTCTTTTATTCTGGGCCTCTATCTGTATCATGCTCAGTAGAAATCAGTTACACTGGAAACAAGGCTAGGAATACGACTGGAAGAAAAGCTTAAGTTGCCAGATATTAAAAATCACATGGGAGATTCAAAGCCTGTCTTCTTCTTTGGTGATCACTCGTAGCTGAGTAAGATTGTCTTACATAAACACGGTTTTAAAAGTGAGTCCGTAAGTGACTGTGGAGGCCAATTCTGGATCCACACATCCTTCCACAGTGGGGACATTGGTTTCCGGGCGGGAGTTGATCACGGTGTGGGTTTGCCAAGCGTGCCTTCCTCTTAGCACGTTTCTCCCTTGCGTCCTGAGTTCAAATGTCTTCAAAGCCTTTGGTAAAGGCTGTTCTCCAACTGGAGCACTCGCAGGCCAGTGTTTCCCAGTTGTCAGTGCTTATACTACATTTTTTTTAGATTTGCCTTGAGACAGTCTTTAAACCTCTTTTGTTGACCACCAGCATTGCGCTTTTCATTTTTAAGTTCAGAATAGAGTAGTTGCTTTGGAAGACGATCATCAGGCATCCGCACAACATGACCAGTCCAATGAAGAGGATGTTGAAGAATCATTGCTTCAACACTGGCGATCTTTGCTTCTTCTAGTACACTGATATTAGTTCGCCTGTCTTCCCAAGTGATGCGTAAAAATTTTCAGAGACACCGTTGATGGAATCTTTCGAGGAGCTGGAGATGGCGTTTATAAGTGGTCCATGTTTCAGAGGCATATAGTAAGGTTGGCAGTACAATAGCTTTGTAAACAAGCATTTTGGTTTCCCTGCGAATGTTCCAGTCCTGTAGCTGGGTATTCGGATGATTTGATGGATTATTTTTACACTTTTTCTGACTATGGACAGAAAGTCAAATCAGTATTGTGAAATTCTAGGGGTGAGAAAGAAAACATTGTTTCTTGGTCTTCACTGCCTCTTCAGGGTTGCTAGATCACAACGCTGAAGCCTGAATTGACAGAATTCCCACCAGGGTCTGGACTCTAAAGCAGCTGTCCCCAATCTGATGCCCTCCAGCTGATTTGGACTACTGGGACCAATAGGTGTTAGAATACAGAACTGCTGAAGAGCACCAGGTTGGAAAAGACCTAGCAACCCTATACCCTTCCCTGCCCTCTTCCTTCCTACCAATTGTGTACAGGCCACCCTGTCTATGGGCCCAACATGTAGTTTTGCCCCAGTCACACTTTCTCCTTCCTGTCTCCTTCCTTCAACTTTATGTCCCCACTCCCACCCCAATAAGTCTCTGCTTTTCAGGCCACTGCAAACTTTATCCAGTAACCTAACTTCTCTAGTACTCTGGTGTCACCCATTCCAAAGCATACAACCCCACCTTCATCTTACCCAGGGCTGGCCCTACCATTGGACAGAGTGAGGTTGTCTCAGGCAACCAGTTTTTAGTGTCATGATTTATTTATTTTTTAAAGGTTGTGGGAGTTTCTTCCTTGGGTTCCAAAATAGCTTGGCCAACATAGGTATTTTGCATGTCCCTTGACTGGGGGTGAACATGAGTCAGGTAGCAAAGCATTTTGGACCAGCCCTGAGCACTGTGATGAGAGCCTCTCCTCTCCTTGGCCTCAGCTGCCTCCTGTCTCCTCTGCCCTTTTCTGCAACCCTCTTCCACCTACCCATCCTTCCTCAGGCATCTAGACAAAGTTAGTTTGCTCAGTTAATATGGGGGATATAGATATAGCAGTTGCATTTTGGTGTTTCCCGTTTATTTGTTTTTGTATTTTTCAATATCCTTTGGCGGGGGGAGAAGTCTCACTTTGAAAATACAGTTATAGCACCACTGTTTATATAGACTGACAAAAGGCTTATGAGTTACCTGGTAGGAGGAGGCGGTACCTCTCTGCACTGCTTGCCTTAATTTCAAAGCAGCTCCTGCTTCCCTTGCCTGTTTCCATTAGCTGTTTCCTGGGCAAAGTCTTCAAACATCAATGTTGATTCAAAAGGAAATAGCTGGTGTGGGAGCAACCTAGGTTATTTCTCCCACATATGATTTTTACAGAGTTGGGGCAATATGCAATACACTCGTTCCATTAAGACAAGGATTCCAGGTTCTGCAATAATATCTCGCCCGTCTCCTCCCCATGTGTGCATCCTGCTCCCCTACCCAAATTTGCTCCAGAGGGTTGAGGGGAAACCCAGAACAGATTTAGGGAACATGTGGGGGGAGAAGAGAAGATATCCTGTTGCACAGGTGGAGATCCAGGTTACCTAGTACTACTCTGGATATAACCCATAGTATCTAAACAAAAGACATCTCGGCTCCAGGGGCAATAAGAGGGCAAGACAGGAGAGTTATGTAACCTGGGCCTCATCCTCAAGGAGGACTCAAATTGAGACACTTGTTACTTTTTAGGCATTTGATAAGTTTTGCAATTTGTTTTTATGTGCATTTGACCAAAATGTAACTTCAGCTAGAGAAGCAATTCTTAAGTAAATAAGAATTTCAAAATATGTGTTTTTCTGGGTACCTTAGTTGATTTTTGTTTTGTTTTATTGTCATTTTTATATTAACTGTGGCTGGAGAACTCAAAAGCTGGAAATGGCCCAGACCTTCTCAGCTCATAGCTTAGGTTTCCAACTACTACACTACTAGAGGTCAACAAACAATATATCTGTGTGGCTGTTTCCTGATATATCAGGGAGAATAATTACATTCCTAGCCATCTTGCCTCCGTTCTTCTTTCTTGATAATTCTGTATTTTGGCCAGCTCCATTCCTGGACTTCCAGCAATGTACATAGCGCAGACTAAATGCCTACTTCCTTCTCTTTTCCTCTATAAGACAGCAAATTTAATCATATTCCTGCATCCTCATATCCCATGACTGCCCCACAGTGGTGTTAATGATTACCATGCGTAATCCAGAAGCACATAGTTATTACTGCATTAGACACTGACACATAATTCTTATATACATGGCATTAAATTCTGCACATTTTTATTGTCAAAAGGAGGTTCTTTCTTGGCCATCTTTTCATTAATGAGTGGATACAATTCAGAAGTGCCTTTCAATAGAATATTGGACAAGACATCTCTGGTGAAGCACATGAGGAAAGTGTTCCCATAGCAACAGAAAGCCAGGAAAGATCGCAGAATTCCTTTCTTTAACCCCCACTTCCTTTAGATTGTCTTTCACAATAGATGCTTCTAATCTAGAGAATCAAAAGAAGTTTTTTGTTATTCAGGATTTTCTTCAGCAAGACGCTTTGAGAGTGATGGAAATGGATCTTTATCTCAGCCAGTCCCTGATCTTATTTAGGCAATTCCTATGTTCTTAACTAGTTAGTGAGGAAGCTAGCGACAAAGCTCGTTAAAAATCATGTTATAATCTGAATTATGTGGCTATGAAGGGGGTTTGACTAGAAGACCCTTGGGGTACATTCCAACTCCACAATTCTATGATTCTATTAATGTAGTATTCAGTATAGATTAAGCCTGAGAGTTCAGAGTGGAATTCTGTATCAATGTGACTCTCTTGAACAAAGCAAGGGAGAAAATTAGGGTAAAATACATAGCTGGTCTTAAGCATGCTCGGGTCTTGTTCTCGGTACAGGAACCAGAAGTTCAAGAAAAAGGAACCAGAACCAGAACACTTGCTCACATATTGCACTCAGGGCCACATTAATTAGTTAATCATTTGAATAAAAAAAAAATTAGCAAAATGAATGGAGATTATATGAAACAGCAACATAATAAGTCAACTAAAATGAGAAATTCTAGATCAGTGTTTATAACAGTCTCTTGCAGCAAAACCAGCACTACCTTTTGGCACATGAATGTCTTACAAATTTATTGTGGCGCGACCTTTCGTTGGCAAGAGCTAGCGTCATCAGATGAAGGAAGCTTGCGGGACAACAAATTTGTTTGTCTTTTTAAGATGCCACACGACCTTCTTGTGTGACGTTATGCTCGAAAACCAATATGACCCTTGACCAATGTGAGCCTTGCAATGGTCTCAGAGCAACCAGAATATTTAGCATAGCCTGCAATCATTCACCACCTCAATGTGCCCTTTTACAGATAATGGTACAAAACTCTGATGATGTCTCTTTCTTGCCTGGATCAAGAATAGAGAGGGTTCTGCGAGTATGTGTAAAAACTATCCAGACTACAAAGGTAAACTTTACATTAACTGCACCACTCACTGCCTCTAGCCCTGGCTAGCACTGGCATGTGGCCCCAAAAATAGTCGGGGGGGGGGACATAGGAAAAGCCTGCTAGATATAGGCCAATGGCCCATCTAGTCCAGCATCCTATCCTCATAGTGGTTAACCAAATGCCTGTGGGAAATCCACAAACACAGTCTCCTCTCCTATAGCTTCCAGCAATGATTGTTCAGAAGTATTACTGCCTCCCAACATGGAGGCAGAGCATAGCCATCATGACTAGTAGCCATTTATATCCTTATCCCCCAAGAATCTGTCCAATTCTCTTTTTAAGCCATCCAAATTGGTAGCCATCAATGCCTCCTGTGGCAGCAAGTTCCCCAGTTTAACTATGTGCTACGTGAAAAAGTACTTTTATTTTATCTGTCTTGAATCTTCTAGAATTCAGCTTCATTGGAAGTCCACGAGTTCTAGTGTTATGAAAGAGAGAGAGAAAACTTTTCTTAATCTACTTTCTCCATGCCATGCTAAATTTCTATCATGTCACCTTTTCTCTAAACTAAAAAAATCGCAAATGCCATAAGCTTTCCTCACAACGGAGTTGCTCTGACCCCTAGATCATTTTGGTTACTCTTTTCTAAAGCTTTTCCATCTCTACAATTGTCCAAAAGGAAACACAAACCCTGGTAAGCACGCCTGGTACCCCTGGAATCATGGTCAGAGATTGGGGTGGCATGTAACAATATTAAGGAATCCAACTTATACAGTACAGTGGACGTTACGTTACCTTCGGGTAACATAACTTTCGGGTTGCAAACACGGCAAACCGGAAGTGTATAATTCCGGGTTGCGAACGTACGCACAAAACGCTCTGCGAACCGCGCACATGTGCAGAAACGCTCTATCGCGCCACACGCATGCGCAGACATGGTGCCTCTAGGTGTGGACTTTTCGGAGTACTTACGGACCCCCAGAATGAATTACGTTCATACCCAGAGGGTCCACTGTACCAGTCAGTAAAACAGTTTTTAATAAATTCACAATCCACAATATTTATTTTGGTTTGAAAATCTGTGAAAACTCCAAATAACTGCATTAGAGAATAAAAAAAAAAGTTTTGGATGTTTGCATAAACTTACACCTTAAATAAAAAAGTAAATACAATGGTTTACTCCAAATATTACCTAAAAACGAAGAAACTGTGGCATTCTTCAGGAGCCAGTTCAATTAATCTACAATATCCACAGGATTTTAAAATGTTCATGGGGAGGAGGGAGGTCATTATTCAGCAAGAGATCTCCATATACCAAAATAGGTGTTCCCAAGTGGCTCACACATATTTAATATTTAATATGCATAAGGGTGGCGCTGAAAGGAGAGAGAAATGGCACTCAATACCTAAGGGTGTGTCTAGGATGCTCCCGCAGAGCGTACACGTTGCTAAACATATTATCAGTACAGTCAATTATAAACACTCATGGGGGCTAGGGGCGGGAGGAAATTCCAGCCACCCACTTTCCCCTGACCTCATAAGAGATAATCAGAGCCACATATATGTTCATTGGGGAAGATCATCTTAACGCAAGAGTCAGTCTGCTGCTGCCCATAAATTTCTCTCTAGTGGAGCTATAGTACATGAGACTGGTGTAGCAGGTTGACTTTGAACAGGGATTCTCCTGTTGAAACCACAGGGGTAGTCTTGAGAAGCCATTATCCCTCAACGTACATCCTTCCAAAAGTACCAAAAAGTACTTGCAAAGATTTAGGCTGTAATTCTACACAACGTTAGCCTGCTTAAATCCCACTGCCTTTGAGTGAACTTAAAAAGTTGAATTCTGCAACTGTAGGCCTTACCCATTGTTTTACCCAATTATGTTTCTTATTTCAGTGAAAACATTCAAACCCATTTTTGCACAACCTTACAGGGGCAGGGACAGGGTTGAGGTTCAACAAGCTATTTTGTACAACGCAAAGTAGAGCATTTTGTTTAACGTAAAGGTGCACTTATATAATTGTCCCAAACATTATCACAATAAAGTATTCCTTTGTACTGAAGAACCAAGAGCACACAAACATATTTCTTCTTCGGTTTGCGTTCTTAAAAAAATTATTCTCAAAAAAACCCACACACATGTGCTTACGTCAAGGAAAACTGACACATATTCAATCAATACCAACTTGTCACACGCCTAAAGTTTATTACTATTGTTATATATTTATTATACCTCGGCCTTTTTCCCTGAGGGGACTCAAGGCGGCTGGAAGTGCAGCACCCAATGTTTTTATCTTAAGAGATACAAAGCGGAATTGCCCTTCCTGCTGGTTTGCTAAAGGAAAAGCCCCAGTAATTCAGTTTTGGTTAGCTTTGGTTCTGGCGTCACCCCCTGCGCACCAAGGTAGAAAAGAAGCCCACAGCCAGGAAAAACCAACAACCTGCCTCTGTGGTTTTTGCTTACCTAGCAGAGAGCCTATAAAGATGATAACTTGCACCGCGGTGGTAAAATGTCGGTAGGTCTGCTCGTCCCGATGTGCCTCCCCTGGCGAAGTCCCGTTGCCGTGGGCGCTTCTGTCGATCCCCGCGATTTGCGCGCTGGACGCGTTCAAAGCGCCGGCGACGGCGTGGTAGGGCCCGCGCTCGCTCGCGTTGACGGAAGCCCAGCTGGCGTTGGACCCCATGGCGAGGGGTCTCTTTCCTGGGCCGCCTTACCTAGCAAGCCCCCCGCGCGGGTCCCGCGCTCCTCACCGAAGGAAGCAGGCGGCCGGCAGGAGCCGCCTCTGTCCACACGGCAGGCTGCTCCATAGGATCGCTGGACCCGGGGAAGAAGCGCGTCTCGCTTTTCATGCCCGGTGTCTTAGCAAGGGGCTGCCTTCACGGCGCAATGGGGAAGAGGAGAAGCGAAGCTGCTTGTAGCTCCGTGGTTGCCCCATCTGCCTTTACCCCTGTCCATCCTCAGCGTGTCACAAACATAAGCCCGAGCGACATGCGCGCCATGCTCCTGCTTCGGGGGTCGCACCGCGCTTGCATCCAAAAGGGAAACACCAGCTCTAACCCAGTTGGTGCTGCGCCTTCCAGTGCCAAGGTTTTGCTTCGCGTTCACATCTTTGCACAGGGAAGCGGCATCTCTCTGCCTTAGGCATCCTCACAGGCAGGTGCCGTTTGGGTGCTCAGCAAGCCCCAAACTCCCATGTGGGGATGTTGTTTCTCATTTGAATTATGCCACAGTTCTCTTCGGAACACAGCGGCCGAACAGCGCTTGGGGGAACGCGGCCTCCTTTTGCATTGGCATAGCTCTGCGCCGCTCGACAGGCTGCAGAATGAGCAGCGAGCAACTCTCGTCTGCCTCCTTTGCTCCTCGCTGCCGTTTTTCATAGAGAGAGCCAGAGAGAGCGGGTCATGTGACGCTCAGCTGTGGTAGGGGAGGGGCAGGTTTGTTTTTGTGTGTGTGTGGCAGCCATCTTGCTTTTTGGGAGCTGTCAGTTCAATGTCTGAGGAAAACCCAAGGGCGGGGGGATCGTCTTCAGAATTCAGAAAGTTTATGCAAGTTCCTTAAATAGCAGTGCACGTGAAAAGGGAGGGATATGTAATTCATAACGTTACATTTAGTTGGTTTTTTCAAAAGGAGGGGTTTGTGTGTTTAAATACAATATGGATGTCTTAGAATACTTCACACTTTCTGGACTAACCCCACCTTGCAAAACACGTACACCAAAAGCCTTTTAAATATTGCACTTGCAAAATAGGTCATGCATTGTCTAATGTGGATATTGACCTCCAGTTTTATTTTTGCAATTGACTACTAGCAGCATGTAGGCGATAACCTCCAACTACAACTAGAAAACTCTCAGACTTTTCCAACAGTATATTGTTCTCCGAATGAATAGAGGTGCTAGGGATATCCCTGAAGTTTTCCTTTGGATGAGAGCACTAGATACTTAAGATGTCTTGGAAGGTTTGTTTTGTTTCCAGATATGCCTGCATAACATAGTGGAAGCAAACAAGAACCCCTATAACATAGCAGATACCCAGATATCTTGTACCCCTTCTCCCACTGCACCCTAGAATCCAGCTAACTCTAACTAGAAAATTATAGATCGCTGCTGTTTCTCTCCTAGTTTAAAATATGAGCTGCTTTTTGCTGTATCTTTGTGCCTACTCTAGGGTTCAATCGCTGATGGGTATTTCATTCTTAAAACTCCATTAGATATATTCTGAGCTATCAGGATTTCATTATCGTGCTCTAAGTTCCCAAGCAACCATCTGGCTTTGCAAAAGTGATATGTCAGAACTGCTGAAGAACAATGGCTCCATTCACATCTCAAACAGGCAGCTGAGAAGGAAACCATGCTTAATGAGAAGGTCCCAGAGAATCAGTAGAGGTGCACTCCTCTGTTACTCCTGGCATAGATCATTCAGTAGGAGGACTACTAATTTCTGTCCCAAAGATGGTCAAGAAGCCAAATTTAAATGAACCAAGATGATCAGCACCATCCAAGAATGTCCAGAGCTAAGTCATGCAAAATGTACACTGACCTTTGCTAATTGTCACAAAGTGGGGCAAATCTAATATGAAGGAATTAAAATGGTAGCTCTCTGAAATAATGTGAAACTATCGTGCATCCATAACATTTGTATGGGAATACTGCATATAGAGCAATAATAGTATAATCTAGAAATATTTACACTAGGAAAAATGAAATATCTTAAGTCTTAGAAAATAATTTAAGCCAGGCAACTTTAATTTAGTTTTCTATGGGGCTTTTTTAAAATCAAAAGAAATTTCAGTAGCTGCCATATAATACCATCATTTATTTTCCCACTTCAGTTACGACATGCTTAGTGGTTGAAAGATCTGCAATGGCTATTGCATTAAAATGTTAATTTAATAAAGGTAAATACTTTTGTCGTTAGAAATGTGTACTAAATGACAATGAACCCGTATGCTATCCAGAAGTGAGGGGGTGGGTTCCTGTGGTGATGGGTCCCCAACCCTTCCCTCGAATCAATCAAGAGCTGTCTTCTCCAACCTGCTGCCTTCCAAATATTGGACTACCACTGCCCTAATGAACAAGGGCCAGTAGTTAGGGAGGATGGCAGTGTAGTAGTCCAACAAACATCTGGAGGGCACCAGCTTGGAGAAAGGCGATCTATGAAGGCGACGGTTTCTTTACAGTATTTGCATGCTTGTTACTGGGCTGTGCAGAGCAGAGACCTGAAGAAGGGCTATGAAGGAAGCTCTTAGTTTTGTTTTGCAAACTGCAACGGAAGGTGGGGCCGGCGTGGTAACTCCAGGGCCACGGCCCAGCAGCGCCTTCCCCGGGCTTCCTCTCGCGCTGCCGCGGTGTTTGGTGGGGCCTGCAAAGCAGGGCGGGAATAGCAGGCCGCGCGGTTCCGCCCACCGCGGCGGCTGCGGCCTGGCTCGGCGAAGTGCAGCCGGCCTCCCTGGGGGGGGTTCGCTTTCCACCCCCCCACCCCTCCCCGAGCGGACATGGCCCAGGTGAGGGGCCTGTGGCAGCCGCGGGGGGAGGCTGCCGAGGCGTCCCCGGAGCAGCCCGAGAGCTACCAGCTTCGCCAGGAGAACGAGCTGCAAGTGCTGGAATCTATCTACGGGCGGGACTTCCAGGACTTGCGCCACGGCAAGCCGTGGAAGGTAAAGGGCTGGCCTCTCGCGGGCAGTTTCCTGCATGGTCGGCTTCTCATCTCGGGGCGGGGGGCGAGAGGCAGGGCCTTTGCCTGACCAGCCTCACAGAACTTGCTGCCTTATAGCGTTTCCTAAGGTGGTTTCCTCAGCGTTTCTCGCTCGGCATCCGTTCCGTATTTTAAGAACCGAGGCCCTGCCTTCACTTTTCGATGCCCGGGGAGGCTTAACATCCGCGTTCCGCTGAATGCAAAAGCAACCAGCGCCTGCAGTGTGCTTCGGAAGGCATGCCAAGGGCAGGGCAGAAATTCCCTCTGACTGTGCATCACTCGTTTTATTGGTAACGGGTCATAACAGTTGCGTTGGAGGCGACACGTCCTTACCTTTTAATGATTGCAGGGTAAACACAAAGTGTGCGTCATCATGGAAGGCTTACGGTTAGGAGCAGAGGAAGTTGGCTTATGTCAAGTTAGATCCTTGGTCCCCTCTAGCTCAGTGTCGTCTATGCTGGTTGCCAAAAGCTCTCCATCTTTCCCACCTGGGGATACCTGGGAATTGAACCTGGGACCTCTTGCATGCAAAACATGTGATCTGCCAGCAAGCCACCGCCCTTTCCCAGTTGTTTTCTTGTTTTGTTAGAGGCCTGTTATTCTTTATATTACTTGCACCCGCAAATTTCAGCTGGCTAACAAAAGTCAGTCACAACTTCTGGACCATTAGTGCTATGCCTTAAATCTTAAAAACATTTTAAATAGTTTAGCAAATAATGCGTGTTAATACTGCAAGCCCTGAGTTTATTGTCTCGTCTCGCCTTATCAATGTTCCATAAGATGACAGTTTTTGACTAATTATGCTTTGGAGATCACATCACATAGTGTATCCACACGTTCAGTATTGGAGTTTTTCTCAGAATCTTCACAGAACTCAGATTATCACATAGTTTCACAATTTGTGATTTACCAAATTTAATGTAGTCTCATCGGTGAGTTCTTGTGCATTAGGAGCCATGTCAGTCATCTAGAAAGCATAGTCACTGTCACAGGCAGGCAGCAAAAGCAGGAAATTAATTGAAATCCTGGTTGGCAATCATTCAGGGTTGGTGGGCTGTATCCAGATTTGCATCTCACAAGTTGTGCAGAGAAAAACAGGTTTTGGAACCTGCCTGTTCCTGAAATTCAACCTTGAGTAACTACTCTGGGGCAGGGGGGAACTGCCTTGTGAATGCAGCTGAGGGTTATCATTGTTGGTGTCTCTACACTGATAACGTTAAGCAAACATGTCTAGTGTGCACAGCCTGAGATACCTCAAAATATGGTTATTATTAGCCATCATTTGCTTTCTCCCCAAGTGAGCAGTGATATAATAAGTATCCAAGGGAATTGTCATTTTCTGCTCCTCCCAAGTGCCCCTGTTAAACTGTGAAGCATCTTGTATGTACTAAAGTGAACACTAATAATTTCTCTTGTGTGCTGTTATGTTAGGCATAATTAGAAGGGTTATTATTCATGCTGGTTTCCCCAAAGACTATGTTCCCAACCCCATGACATTTGTGTGTGACACTTGAAACACGTGTTTTTTAACATAATCTGCTCATGCTTTTCCTTGAATGCAAACACCCAAGTTATTAAACTACTATTACATGTGTATGTCAGGAAACCATATTCCATCCCACAAATGGCATAGTTTCCCCCCCGAAGTTCTCCCAAATTGAAGTTAAACTTTGGGAGTCTTGTTTGAAAACAGTGGTTATCTATTTTAAAACATTTTTACAGGGTTTGTTGCAGTTTAATGTATCTAGGAAACAGAATTCAGAGCTTTTCAGATAGGAGCAGAATTAATTCTTGATGACTAGGGATACTGAGGAGAAGGTTTAGCCTGCACCACAGTGTTCTCCTCTTGCTGCTTCTATGCATATCAGTGTTTTTCGTTTTTAAGAGTAAAAATAGAGAGGTGTAATTAGGGGCAATGTTGCAGTGAAGGCACCCTCACCCCCCAACACAGGGTGGCCTGAATCTCTCACTGACTATGGGTTTCTGCAGGGGTGCACTGAGAGAGATGAATTGCTCATTCTTCCTCTGTACGCTTCTATACCCTGCTTGTTATAGTCACAGGCATTTTGCTAGTTAAACATAATTTGCTGCTTTCTTTGGCATTTGACTTTGAGTATATCTGTACCTGTAGTACCTGGCTCAGTCCACAAATCAGTTAAGATACTCAGATTATAGAATTTCCAGAGCGATAGCCGTGTTAATCTCTTGTAGCAGAAACTATCAAAGAGTCTTGTGGCACCTTAAAATTTATTATGGCATAAACATTTGGATTATGAATGTCCCAACCTCTTTTTCTGTTGAAATGACTCTTGTATGAGTACAGGGTGGTTTGTTGGTAAGGAAGCCAGTTGCGCTGTGACTAAAAATATTATATCTGAGCTGATGCAGTAGTGGACAGAGAGAATGCAAGACTGGGGAGCGTCAGCAGTAAACACAATCTTATACAAGTCAATAATAAGGTCAAGGACTCCCTTGCTCTTCTATAATGTGACCACATAATATCGTGAGTACAGTGGTACCTCAGTTTTTGAACGTAACCCGTTCCGGAAGACCATTTGGCTTCCGAAACGTTCGAAAACCGAGGCGCAAAGGGCCGTCTGCAGTTTCCATTGAGAAAATTGAAAAACGCGCATCGGAAGCCGTTCAAAAACAGAGACTCGTTTGAAAATGGACGTGCTCAATTACTTCTGGGTTTCGTACGTATATCTGTGGTTGGCAGCTAATTTTTAACTGGCCATAATTTGCATTGAACAAAGGCTGAAGATCTAACAACACAGGCACTGCTTTCTGACCCATCCATCTTGGATAAAAGAGCTCTTTAACTCCATCCTTTTTGGAGTGGGTGCATTGGCAGAGCCCTTCCTTTGTTACATACTTCTTAAAAGGAGGGCTTTGTCAAATTCTCTATTGTTGTTCACACTGGGGAAGAAGGAGTTAAAGCTCTACCTATGTCTCTGGGTCAAACTACACACGAAGGGCAATTAGATGGACAAATGCTGGTAGGAAAATAGTTGGAACAGCCTGATCCACTGCCTTTTCCTAATTTCAGCCTCCTGTGGTTGGTTTTCAGGCATATCTGTCTGTCATGCACAGTTTATCTCTCTGCTTGTGTTGAAGAAAGCCGTGGAGGTTGCTTAACAAGACAGTATCTCTGCTGGGAGCCAGACACAAAGCCCCTGAAGGCTTCAATGAGCTCCCAGGCTGCCAGCTGCTTTCCTCTAATGTAGTTAATTCTTCTTATATCTTTTAAAATTGTTTCAGGTACAGCAGCCTCCAGAAATCAAACTAGTTTTGCGCCCTCAGGGCTTGACTGGTGACCGTGAAGTCTATGCCAAAGTTGACTTGTGGGTCCAGTGTCCCCAAACTTACCCTGATACGTAAGTAAATAGCAAATCTATTCTATACTTCCCTAAGTAAGAAGAATAATACACCTGCCCAGTTTTTGTCATTTAATCAGGCATACTAAAATAAGATGTCTGTGTGAGTTGCATTTCTGTAAATTTATTCAAAACGTGTTTCTGAGTGTGTGGAATAACTGAAGTAGTGCTTCATACTGCCGACTCCCAAATCAAAGAGACTGATACTGATATTACAACATCAAATGGAATAGTTTCTCTTTTATTAGGATTCACAGTCAATTCCTTCTAAAATCCTATCCTGTGTCCTCTCTGAGTTGTTTCCTGCCATGCTTGCTGCCGTGCATATTTAGAAATTTAGCATGCACAGGTTATAAACATGATGGAATTCATATTAGTTTTCTTAGAAGACGTGTCTTCTGGTCAGTTTTTGTAATTTGACAAGATTTCTTGTGAGCCAGCTGCTTATAAAAACAGGGTGAATAAAAACTATACACTTTTTGAAGTACTGCTTATTTGGATGATGTGCTGTGAATGCTAGCATATAACTGCCCAAGGATCTGCATATCTCAAGTCTTGTCTCTGGTTACTCTTTCCCCTCCTCTAGGGTTCCAGAAATTGAGCTTCAAAATGCAAAGGGGTTGTCAAATGAAAACATTAACTTGTTAAAATCCAGACTAGAGGAATTGGCAAAAGAACGTTGCGGAGAGGTGAGCGTGTTGATTTTGTCCTTGATACTGAGCGACATTGTCACTATAGCAAATTTTGTGTGTGTACCTTTAGTGCTATTATGTTTGGTACTGTGTTCTTCTAACCATTTTGATGGTACCCACCGTATTGCAGGGTTTGTGCCTAGCTAGGTGTAGGGGAGGCCATATCAAGACTTGGCCTAGCACAATAAAGCTCATTTGACAGTGTCATTTCAGATGGTCATGATTAATAGAAAGTGACCCTATTGAAAGTTGACAGAAATGTCTGTTAGAAGCAAAAGTGAATGACGTCATTCCCAGGCACCCCATGAATTGAGTTATTTCAGTTCATAAATCACACAATAGCATATTCATAATAACTGGTTTAGAGTCGGGGGATATATCTGTATTGAATGAGGTTAGGTTAATCCCATGACTTAATTTAAAACAAATCGAACCCATTATGTGGAGTTTGTCTTTAGATGGTTAGCCAAGAACAGTGGAACTTAATCTCAGTGTGAAAGTAGACATGCTTAGTTCTCCACTGTTTGTAAGGTTAAGCTTGAGAAAGTTGAGGGACGTGAAGCAGAGCCTTTTCTGGCCATGACAATAATACTGTTGCACTATCTTCCCAGAGGACCTGTTTGTACTGCTTGGCATTTTAACTTTTATATTGCTCTCAATTGGATGCTTTGTAGGTTGGTGGGGCTTGTTATATTAAAGTATTATTGTATTAAAGGTGTTAATGGAAAAAAAGGATATAAATGTATAGTATAAATTGTTGCAAAATATTAACAGTGTTTGGATATTGTTGCTAGAAGTACTTCATAGCTGTATGAAACATACAAATGATACTAGCTTCCCTCATATCAAGACAGGAGAAGAAAACGTTTTTGGGTTTTTTTGCTACTTCACATAGCATCTCCATCCTACTTTTTTACTACGCAATATAAAAATCAAAGGATTAGCATAAATAGGAACAGATCTGTTTTGCAAGCAACTGCTTTAATATTGCTACAGCTAGCATGTCGGAGGAAGCCTTTCCTGTTAGCAGCCATCTGGATTGTATCTATTTTGATAAATTAGAAAATCCAATTTTATTGCTAGAGGAAATGAGCATTGTACCAGCTGAATGTTACTTTTCAGAACTAAGCAGAAGCCTTGCTAACCGCCCTAGTCCATCCGAATGTTTTCAGCCAGTCAGAACTAGAGTCATATCCATATCATACATTTAAAGCACATGGCTTTCCCCAAAGAATCCTGGGAACTGTAGTTTGTTAAGGAGGCTGGGAATTGTAGTTCTGTGAGAGTGACACTAGAGTTACCATGGTCCTTTGAGTGTGCCTTGAGTGGTGTGGTTGTGACCAAATGCAATTTCCTACAGTTACAAATACAGATTTGGCCTTGAGAAGGATAATGATATTTTAATTGTTACAACAGTTGCAATTTAGAGTATATTATCGTTTACAGAAAAGAATGTTGATAATCACCTGGTACGTGGAAAATCTTGATTATCTATTCAGAATACTTTTAATTCTATACTTAGATGAAGATGAATGCATGTTCAGATCTTATTCATGAGGTAGACTGCATAATTTTAAAGAATTCAATTACTGTGATTGGGAATTAAATTCTTCTCTTCGCTGATATGATTAGTGTTTATAATGTCATCTTTAATTGTCACCATTCTGACAGAATATCATTAATAATGTTCCACATACATTATCTAATGAATGCATTACTAGTTTGGATTTTCAGAACTAAAATACATGCAAAAAAAGATGAGTGGTTGTGCATTGGCTTTTATTTTGCTATGTTTGGCAGAGATTTACTGGCGCTGGCATTGAGCTCCACTGAAGTCACTGGTACTTGCTCACACATAATTGCAAATAGGATTAGAACAGGCTGCGAACAGTTTTCTAAAATCAGATTTTGCATTTGCCTTTCCTCTCCAGGTGATGATATTTGAATTAGCAGATTACGTACAATCATTTCTCAGTGAATACAATAAGCCACCTTTAAAATCTTTCCATGAAGAAATGCTAAAGAATCAGCAAAAAGAACAAGAAAGGCTCGCTCTGGAAGAAGAGCGGCGAATCCAAGACCTTAGGAGGAAAGAAGAGCAGATGGTGAGAGCATGAAATTTAAGATTTCTGTCCTGCCCCACCCATTTCATATGAGCATTCAATCAGCTGGAATCGCCGGTTGTGAACTATTAAAATCGGTTTTGTATCTGAAAACAGTGGGATGAAGATTGCACATCTCGTTTAGTGAGTCCCTTTTTTAAAAAAAATATGCTTTTGTTGTGTTTCCAGAACAGCAACCCCCTTAATTCATGCTGTTTTTGAATCCACCAAGATTTGAAAATGGGAGAGATAGATGGTAGTGGGCCCTGTTTGTTTTCAAAATAAGTCATGGCCTATTGTGCCTGCAGATCAAGCCTATGTGGTCATCCGCATTCCTCTTTGCTGATGTAAGGAAGTTAAACTTTAGGTGACCTTTTGAACTTCATCAAAGATTTTGACCCAGTACTATTATTTGCAGTATATCTGTAGTAGCCTGTCTTTAACACGTAGACTTGAAACTAAGTTTAGTTAAGAAGCTCTGTTTTGGGGACAAGTTTTTCCTTGCATTCTCTCTTGGCAGAGCCATATTTATACTGTTTAAGGGTGTCTGCTTCAGCAGATAAGTTTTCTCAATAAACTCTTACTGAAGCAAGATTACAGAAAATTTCATTGCAGTAATGTTTATTTCAGCAACGTGAAATTCTTGATGAGATTCAGAGAAGGGAAGAAGAAAAGAGAGAAGAAAGAAAAAGGAAAGAAATAGCGAAACAGGTATTTTCAACATTTTCCTTTTGTAATGCCAAGTTACTAGAAGTGGTTGTATCATGCTTTTGTAACTATTGGACAAATTGCTTTGAAACTTCTATGTCTACAATCTCATTTTGGAGCCTGCAAACACAGAAATAAAGATTTCTCCATACCAGAAGCAGGTGGACAGTGAGATTTCAAAGTTATGAAGACATAATTATTCCCTATCCCCATGTGACAGAGGCATAGCGTGTATCAGGGTTGAGGCAGAGAAGCAATACTGTTTGTAGTCCCTATTGGGTTGCCATCTATGGCTTAATATATACTATTTAGTCAAGTAGATTTTGTGCGGTGTGGATTCTGTATCCATCTATCCATTGCTTAAAGTCCCCAAATGCTTCTAGCATGGGTTGCTTTCACCCTTGGATGTTACACAATAGTGTTACTTCTGTTATTCCCTCTGGTGTTGCTGACGTTGTTGTTTATTTATCACCTTCCACGTATGTCCCAAGGCGGTGTACAAAATATATAGGCATCCCCCTTCTTGTGCATTCAAAGAATGCACGACCGTGCATGCGCACATCACTGTGAACCTGGAAGTGCACATTATTGATAATATTGCAGAAGAAACAATACTGAATCTTTAAGGAGATGCTGACCAGAAAACCCAAATTGGAGGATCACAGGGGCTTTGCATGTTTAAGTATTTAAAGGATTGGGGTGCAATCAAGATATCCCCTGTGTTTCTGTGTTTCCAGGAGCGTTTGGAAAGTGCTGCTTTGACAAACCAGGAAATTTCTGTCAGTCGAGATATCACAGGGAACAAAGTAACGTCCAGTTTAAATGGAGGTGTTACAGAACATGGAGGGAACAATAAATACCGTGCAAATTCCACAGGGCGTTCCAAGTATGTATAGCTGTCCTTCTGAATGGAATGGGAGTGTTTCCGTGAAAATGTGTGCACTTGCACCCCATTACACAATGTACAAGCACACACACAAGTTATCAGCCTCTAGTTGTGCAGATTGATTTGTAGGCAGGCATACTGTACTTATGCATAGTACTAACAATCTTACAACTTTACTTGGGTGTGTAAAGTCATTATTTGCTTTACAAATAGAGCAAGTGCATTTGAACTTTTATTGGGTATGTTTCTGTGGAGTACTAGGGGCCATGTCCCTGCTTGCTTTCCACCTTGTCAAACCCTCCCCATTCCCAACTCACTAACCCCATTCCCAATCCACCTCATGCCGCTGCTGCAGCCAAGTGGGATGAATAGTTGGTTTGGCAGGAGGATTAGCATGGGGAAGAGGCCCAGAGAGGTGCCCAGCCTGGAGATCATCTGCTGCTGCCATATCCAGGCTGACTGTTAATTCTAATAGGCAGTGGTGGATTACTAGTCTAGCTGGTTGCCACGACTGGGCACCTTCCTCATTTCTGTGCCATTCCTCCTGCCACTTTTCATGGTACGTTGTGGTGGCCTATCAAACCAGTTGGCCACTGCTTCTGGGCATCTTCCTGCCATGTCTCTCATCACACTGTAGTCCACAGTGTCATCTGTTGACCATGCAAACTGCTGTATGGTGACAGATGAATACAAATGGACACACAGCACATCAAGCACATCAATTACCATGCTGTAATTTTTAAAATAAGGTTTTCCATTTAAGATGGAGATCTTAGGAGTGCAGGTTTATCAAAGAGGTTTGCGGGATTCGTGCCCTGCCTGGCGGAATTTAAATTGGAGTTGCAGTGACTGGCACTCTAACCATAGGCCTTTGCTATGTGTTGCTGTGGCTTTTCTGAACATTTACCGTATTTTTTGCACCATAACACTCACTTTTTTCCTCCTAGAAAGTAAGGGGAAATGTCTGTGCGTGTTATGGAGGGAATGCCCACGGGTGGCGGGAGGGATCTGCTGCAGTCGTGAGCAGAGGATCCATGGTTCCCCTTCCTTCCCTCCTCCGTGGCTCGCTTTGAAACAGCAAAGCGGGAGAAGAGCCGCTGAGTGAGGAGGAGAGAGGGACAGAGAGCCTGCTTCTTTAAAGGAGCAAAGCTCCTTCTTTAAAGGAGTAAGCGGCTCCTGTCCGGTTGGTTCCTTTAAAGCAAGCAGGCTCTCTGTCCCTCTCTCCCCCCCACTCAGCTCGCTACATAGCAGCAAAGTTTTTCAGCTCGCTAAGCCGGGGATGAGCGGGGAGGAGGGAGAAAAGCAGAGCCTGCTTGCTTTAAAGGAGCAAAGTGGGAGAGGAGAGGAGCCTTCTCCCCTTATACCCCTCTTCTTCATTATTAGTAGCATCCTTCTCCACACACCCACGGGTGCTCCTTGTCCCTTGAGTGCTTTTCCTTCCCTCCCCACTTAAAACGTGGTTACAAATTATGGATCCACATGAATCCTCAGGATTTTTGCACTGGGTCACCCCAAATTCACCATCAGATCACATAGCATGTCCATGGCTACATCTTGCACCCCAAAAATCACGCACCCACTGTTGCCTGGGGCCGCAGTGGTGCAAAAACGTGGTTACAAAGCATGGCTCCACATGGATCCTCAGGATTTTTGCATTGGGCTACTCCAAACTCACTGTCAGATCACATGTCTGTGGCCACAGGACGAACCACAAAAATCATACATCCACTGTTTCGTTTAGAATATTTTTTTTTCTTGTTTTCCTCCTCTAAAAACTACGTGCATGTTATGGTCGGGTGCGTGTTATAGAGTGAAAAATACGGTAAATAGCAACAGTTGAAAATGCATGAACTTGCTGTTAAGACTGTTCACTTGTAGTAGTACTTGGGACCGCTGAATTAAATATCTTTTCTTGAGCATATATGAGCACCTCAAAACATAATTGTGTTTGGTTGTTTTGTAGGAGAGAGCGTCAGCATTCGGCATGCAGTAATGAAGAATCTCCGGGAACTCCTGAAATTCTGAATTTCAATGCCAGTAGTATTGGTCTACTCAGGGTACACAAAGGAAAGTGCATAGGTAAATGGAAGAACTGCCATGCATTGAGAACCTTTGGTGCATTTTTTCTATATAGAAATGAGGGAGCAATGAAAGCTGTATTTGGTTCGTTCCCTGGCAGTACGGAGTCAAAGCTGTTCAACTATGTGAAACAGCCTGTTAATATTAGAGTTAAATGGTTTTAGTTGTTTTTTTGAAAAAAACCAGCTAAAACTTTAATTGTGATTTAATTAATAAGGACACACATTTGCTTTACTTTTGAAGTAATTTTGACTCTAGTGAGTTGCTATGATAAGCAATGAAACAAATACAGTCAAACCTTGGTTGTTGAACGTAACCCATTCCAGAAGCCCATTTGGCTTTCGAAATGTTCGGCAACAGAGGCGTGGCTTCTGATTGGTTGCAGGAGCTTCCTGCACTCAAGCAGAAGCCTCTTTGGACGTTCGGCTTCCGAAAAGTGTTTGAAAACTGAAGCATTTACTTCCAGGTTTTCGGTGTTCGGGAGCCTAGGTTTGACTGTACTAAGGTACAATTTAAGAAACTTCCACTTACATTAAAGATCACTTCTCTAGCACACTTGCTCACATGGGGAATAAATGTGCCCAGGATCCAAGGAAAGGAATGAATGTAGGAGCAAGCTATATATGTAGCCAGTGCTTTGCACTTTTTTTTTTTTTTTTGCTTTTCCTTTTCTTTTCTTTTTTCTTTTCTTTTCTCCTTTTTGTAAGGTTTAAAATTAATAAATATTATTTTCAAATTATACCAGTTTGGTAGAATTGTTAAAAGCCATACAAATGTTGAACAAACCTCCTTTTGTGTGGCTTTTAACTGTTTGAAGGAATGTTGAAAGGATGTCTTGGCCAACATAGAGGTTTACAGGAGTAGCTCATTATAATGATCTTTGTTAATCTGTAAGCATCTGCTTCAAAAGCTGAAGCATCCACACACAAGCCTTTCGTATTTCTCTGTGCAGACAAGGATGAGCAGCTTGGTAAATCAGTCTACAATGGTTTGGAGTTGTACACTGGCAACTTCGTCCTGGTCCACGAGTGGGTACTTCAGTGGCAAAAGAAAATGGGGAAATTTCTCACAAGTCAAGAACAGGAAAAGGTTGAAAAATGCAAAAAGCAGGTAATCGCCCATTTTTGTGTGTTGTTCTGCCTTGTGCTCATGTGGGCACTTCTTAAGACTGAAATAGTAGTGGATCATTGAGAAGCTGAAACGACCTCATTGTAAATGATGTTACATTGTTCGGCTTTTTGAGCACTTATGTAGAAGCCTGCATCAATTGTTTTTGGAAAGAATCATAATAAAACATGAGAGGAATGTCTAGGGAGTCAAGAGAGTTTTTTGCTAAGGGCTTTTAAAACCTGGAGGGATGTAGGTGTATATTTTGGCTTTTTGTATTGCAAATCTCCTTCATGATTCAAACTAAAAAGCACACACAAAGACTTTTGGGGACATTTTACTACTACAAGCCAAATTTCAACATATCTCTGGGCAGTAAAATGACCCCCAAACAAATCCATGTGTGTGTGGTGCCTGCAGAAGGGCATGTAAATCTACTTCCTGGGATCAGTTTTTGTTTGTAAAACTCCACAAGGCTGCTGCTGCTGCTGCTTCTTCTTCTTCTTATTATTATTAATCTGAATACTTGCCATTGGGTAGAACAAAAAAGCACCCCAATGGCCAAAATCGATAAACTTCTTTGGATTTATTTTTTGTCCCAGGTTGTGGTTGTGGATTCAGAAAAAAGACCTTTGTATATGGGTACTTAAAACTGCTGCTCTGGGCCAGTTTTTACTGTAAAACTATTTTCCCTAGCCTGCTAAAATGGCTCAGACAAAAATAAAAATACCCCAAATGCAAAATCAGTTGGGATTTTTAACTTTTATTTTTGCCCCATGTGCTTTTTGTGTACAAGCAGAAAACCATAAGTGGTAAGTGGCTGGAATTTGGGGTGTGGCTTATTCCTATGCAGATATCGGTGCCCTAGATGGACTTCACTGTAGACTACTTCTGTGAAAATTCTGCAGTGAAAAGTGCATCTGGGACAGGATTTTGTCCGCCATTGGGCATCAGGGTAAATGAAAGGTGATACCAATGTGAGTCACTGGATTTGTTTCTTTTGAACAGATACAGGGAGCAGAATCGGAGTTCAGTTCTCTGATGAAGTTAAACCACCCCAACATAGTCCGTTACCTATCGATGACCTTTAAAGAGCACAGTGACTCAATCGTGGTGGATATTTTGGTGGAACACATTGGTGGAGCCAGCCTTTCTATGTACTTGGACAAAGAGATCCCCCTTCCTATAGATCAGCTGCGTCATTACACAAACCAAGTTTTGTCTGCTCTTGACTACCTACACAGCAACTCAGTGGTGCACAAGGTTCTGAGCGCGTCCAGCATTCTGGTGGATAGTGAAGGAAATATCAAACTGACAGACTACAGTATTTCCAAACGCTTGGCAGATATCTGCAAGGAGGATGTTTTTGAACAACCCAAAGTTCGGTTTAGTGAGGATGCCTTGCCGAACAAGCCAGGGAAGAAAGGAGATGTTTGGCGGTTAGGGTTGATGCTGCTTTCCCTCAGCCAGGGACAAATTACTACGGAATATCCAGTCACAATTCCAAATGATTTGCCTGCTGACTTTCAAGACTTTCTGAAAAAGTATGCGCCTATCTAATTATTATTTTTTACGCTTTGCCATCAAATAAAAGCATATACAGGAGCAGGGACCGAGCAACGGGAGCTCACCCCGTCACGGGGATTCAAACTGCTGACCTTCTGATCGGCAAGTCCTAAACCACAGAGCCTAGGACTTGCCGATCAGAAGGTCGGCGGTTCGAATCCCTGCGACGGGGTGAGCTCCCGTTGCTCAGTCCCTGCTCCTGCCAACCTAGCAGTTTGAAAGCAGTTTCAAAGTGCAAGTAGATAAATAGGTACCGCTCCGGCGGGAAGGTAAATGGTGTTTCCGTACTAAGTGGCTTAGTCATGCTGGCCACATGACCCCGAAGCTGTACGCCGGCTCCCTCGGCCAACAAAGCGAGATGAGCGCCGCAACCCCAGAGTCAGCCACGACTGGACCTAATGGTCAGGGGTCCCTTTGCCTTTGCCTTTACATTTAACAAGAATGCTTATAATTCAGCATAAATTGGGCTGAGGATTCATGGTACAGTCATGCCTTAGAAGTCAAACAGCTTAGTTCCTGAACGTTTTGGCTCCCGAACGCCACAAACCTGGAAGTGACTGTTCCTGTTTGCGAACTATTTTTGGAAGCTGAACGTCCAACGGGGCTTCCAGGGCTTCCAATTGGCTGCAGGAGCTTCCTGCAGCCAATCAGAAGCCACATTTTGGTTTTGGCAGTCGAATGGACTTCTGGAACGGATTCCATTCGACTTCCAAGGTACTACTGTATTTTAAAGATAGAATCATAGAATTGTGGAGTTGGAAGGACCCCGAATCACAGATGTACTCAAAGATTACAAAGCAAAAGAACGATTTCAGGATCTGGGTTGGCAGTAGGGAACTCTAGTTAGGCCTGCCAGGCCCTCATTTGGCCCATGAAATCATTCTCGCCAAGCCATGCCCACATGCCTTGCACCGGACATTGTTTATGGCATCAGGTGCAGGACCACTAAAGATGCATCTTCAGGGCCATGTGCGCAGCGCTTCTTCAGCACTGGTGGTCAGCTGATTGTTGGCCCTTGCATGCCCAGTGCTCTGCAAAAAAGGGTCACCAATGATCTGACTTGGCATTGAGCAGCTTCCCGTGTTCCTAAAACCATCGTTAAACATACATTATTTTGAATTCTATTCAGGTGTGTTTGTTTGGAAGATAAAGAAAGGTGGAGTCCCCAGCAGCTATTGCAACACAGTTTTATAAACCCACCACAGGTAGTCGTGATGGAAGAAAGCCCAGAAGGTAAATAGTCAATCATATAAGATTTTTATTATTATTATTATTCCTTGATGGCAACTTTAAAATGTTCCCAGAGGCAGAAAGTAAAGCCCTAGAAGTAAATAACTCATTAAACAAAACATATTGCATACATAGATAAGAATAAAAGCAAAATTGTTGAAGTATATCAATCAACCTCCAACTATAACCTGCTGTTCCACATTGGCATCTAAGGAAGGAAGAATCCATGAAAGCTCATGCTATTTCAATGCAGTCATAGACAGCCTTAAACTTAAATAAGACGTTTTCTTTAAAAGACACAATAGGCAAGCATTTGAGCGCTGGAAGTAGCCAAAGTATAACACTGAAACAGATTTCAGTCATTTTATGGAATTTGGCTCCTGACTACATTATTTTCTTGAATGGGTTGTTATCCCACAGGGCCTCCCCATCCATGAGGCAGGCTGAGGCAGCTGCTTCAGACAGTGGAATCGAAGGGGCGCTGCCTCCATGGGTGCCTGCCACCAGAGAACCAAGGAGAAGTGGTGACGGCTTCTGGGTTCTGACAAGATCTTGTGGACCTCTCACAAGATCTTGCCAGAACCCAGAAGCTGCAGGTGCGCAGCTCCACTAAGTGAGGCTTCAGCGGAGCGGATGGCACCTTCCTGTTTTGCCTCAGGTGATGAAACAGAATAGGCTGCTCCTGCTACCACTAGTGCTTTATCTTTTTGCCTGAGGGGATAATTTATTTCTTTCCTTCCTTCTATAATCAGCTTGAAAATATTGCCAGTCCATCGTCTTTCTGGGTAACTAAAGAAGGATACCTTGTTTTGAGCCTTGACTGTGGGAGTGGCTTAGCCAGGTAGTGTTATCTATTGTTGGAGCTTCAACGCTTTTCTGTTAGATCGACAGGTTTAGTAGTGGTGGTTGGCCCCTGTCTGTCAACTGAGTTAAATTTAAACTGTAAACACAGCTGAGATAGCTATAAAATATAAATCTCCACATGGTCCTTAGCATTTCCTTTCATGAATTGGCTTCAACTTGCCTCTTATATTGATTGAAGTGGTTTGAAACATCTGCCAATATGACTTGGCAATGACTGCTGCAGCAAACACAGCACATGGAGAAGAATAGACCTGCATCTCAACAGAGGTTCTTAATGCATCACATTAGGCATCATGCACACTCTTGATTGTCATCATTTAACATGAAATTGCTGATTTGTTCTTTCCTTCTCAGTGACTTTTTTGTGTGTTTTTTTTGTTTCAGATTCAGCAGGAATAGATGATATTGAAACCGTTATCCCCTGCAGTCAGTATGCAAGCGATGTCTTTGTCACAGAAACACAGAAGCAATTTTCTCGTTATTACAATGAGTTTGAAGAGTTACAGTTGCTTGGTAAAGGGGCCTTTGGAGCTGTCATCAAGGTACATACAGTACGCTGCGTCAGACAAATTTTGTTCCATGGAGCGTGCAATTGGCTGATAAGGGGATGAGGAGTTTCCCGGAAGGAGCTTCTTTTATGATTTTGATTGAAACATCTGTCATGTAATTTCCATTGGGCAGGTGCAGAACAAACTGGATGGCTGCTGTTACGCGGTAAAGCGAATTCACATCAATCCCACAAGCAAGCAGTTTCGAAGAATTAAAGGGGAAGTGACCTTGTTATCGCGCCTGAACCATGAGAACATTGTGCGCTATTACAACGCGTGGATAGAGAAGCATGAGAGGCCTTTGCTCAGTACTCTGACATCGGAAACCACGGAAGGGAAGAAAATGGCTGACAAACTGGCTCAGAATGGAAAGAGTGAAGCAGAGTCCATGGATGACATAGAAGCAAACGCCCCTCCTCCTGTTCTGACCAGTTCAGTGGAGTGGAGCACCTCATGTGAGAGATCATCAAGTGCCAGGTTCAGTGGAGGGGATCAGGAATCCAGTGATGATGACGAGGATGAAGATGGAGGTGTATTTGCACAGTCATTCTTGTGAGTAGGGGTGTAGGTTTCTTTTGTTTTTCCTATAAGGCATTTACTGTCGGTAGATTGGGTCCTGAGCTGCCCTGCCAGAGATGGAAGGGCTCCTTCTGTTTTGATTGATTCCATTTCTATGCCGCTTTTTGTTCAAATAAATCCCAAAGTGGCTTACAAACAAAAGATTAAAATAACGTAATGGAACATCACGAATACATCATAAATCGTATAGAATACTTAACAAATCATCAGCAAAACAATCCCAAATAAAACAATTAGCATCTATGTAACACTATTAACAAAACAACTAAAAAATAAGCTAAACATCACAGCTGCACCCAAAATCATATTATAGGATTCACAAAGTACAACAGCATTCCTATCTATAAAACAACATTAGCAATATTAACAAAATAGGGTGAAGGGACAGCAATCCAGTGGAAACTCAGTGGTCCTCCCTCTAGTTAAGGACCAGGGAGACTTTTGCTGATTTCCCCTCAACCCTCTTGAACAGATTTACAGGGGTGTGTAGTGGGAAGAAGGAATCAGTAAAGATTACTTCATGTCTCCATCTCCCACTAGTAGGAGCATCCAGTGAGCAGAGTTCCAGGAACTCACAGGAATGCTAGATCCAAGCTAATGTATCTGACTTCATAGGGTTTGGATACTGACTTGATTTTCTTTCGTTCTATTAGCATATCAGTCTATGAAATGCATTGGAAACCTCCTTAAAGTTAATCTGCACATGCATTTACACATCACAGTACCTAATCGCTCAGTAGCTTATCTCTTAAATGCTGTGCATCGGAATTCTGAACTGCCTCTCTTATAAAAGGTTGTGTTTTGAGGTGATGTGAAAGTCCTGTCTGTAATTTTTAATCTCTCGATGGGTATTTCTGCACATGCAGTTTTTCATTTGAAGACATTTGAATGATGGACATTCCCATGTTAACTGGTTTTGAAGGGGTTGGAATTAAGTGGGATTCCTCTTAATGCTGGAAGGGCACTCTTCCTGTGTCTGCTTGCCAAAGGCTCCCTCAGGATACATTTGATAAACTTCTGAAGAAATTCAGGTATCCATAGAACATTGCTTGAAAAGGACTGCTTTTCAAGGATTTTGATGTTCTCCTTTTTCATCTGTTGATTTAGGCCAGCAGCGGATTCTGAAAGTGATATCATTTTTGATCATGAAGATGACAACAGCAAAAATCCTATGGTGGTAAATACTGTAACTAAAAGTATCTTTCTGTGTCCTCTTACGAACAATTCTGATCTCTAATGTTATTCATCAGTTGCAGCCGTTCTGATACCATGAACTAATACAGCATCCAGTAATTTGATATTTATCACTTTGCATTAAAACCTGCATGCTGTACAAAATAAGCCAGGTTTAAATAGAGGCAGTCGATAAAGCTGTTGGGATTTTGTTAAGTGAATCCCGCCCTTAAAAAACCCAAGATCAATATAACTATCTGCATAACTGACACAGGCGGCACAAAATCAGTCCAACACGGCACTAAAACATCCTAAAAATACTTACCCAAGGACTTAAGATACTGAAACATGATTTTTTAAAAAAACTTTAAATGTTTTCTTATAATGCCCAAAATGCATTAATATACCGTACTTTTCTGTGTATAAGACTAGGGTGTGGTTTTTTTACTAAAAATAATGTTAAAAGGGGGAGGATAGTCTTATACACAGGGGCAATGTCCCCCCATTTTCTAAATTTTGAGTCCTCAAAAATAGGGGGTGTCTTATACACGGGGGTGTCTTATACACGGAAAAATACGGTAGGTTCCAGGCAAGCCTCACTGGGGAGGGCATTCCATAACCAGTGTGTCACCACTAGTCACTCCCTAGTACCACCTATCCACCTTTTTATGTTTGGAAGACCTAAAGAAGGACTTCTGATGAAGATCTTAAAGTCTGAGCCAATATATCCTGGAAGAGGGGATCCTTCAGGCAACCTGGCCCCAAGACTGTTAAGACTTTAAAGTTTATTACTACCTCTTTGAATTGAAATGGACTGGAAGCCCATGCACATGATGAACATTGACATGATATGCTGATATCTACTAGTCACCATTAATAATCTCTCTGCCCGATTTTGGCTGAGCTGAAGTTCCCAGAATTTTAAAAAAAATGTTCTAATAAAGTCAATGCTTTAGGGACAAAAACTGGCCAGCTTTTTGACCAGATTTGACAATTCAAGTTTCACATCCCTAAGTGTTCCTTAGGATACTGCCTATAGAACTGTCTCAAAACACCCTTGCTTTGCATCCCTATGCTGTTGGGGCTCTACACAAGAGCATTACTGACACTACTTCTTCTGGAGCGAAGTCAAATTCTTGTTCTGCTGTGAGAGCAGCAGCTGTGCCTTTGAATTCTGGAATGTAGAGCTTTCCAAAGGGCTGGTATAGAAAACATCTTCCACCTGCCGTAAAAATATTGATTAGAACTCCAGTTAGATTTCTGGCTGTAGAAAGAACAAAGAAAAAAGAATTAAGCATTCTGCCTGGATCCTTGATTGACAGCTCACGTTACTGGCAATGTATCTTGGATAGTCTGGGCAGGTGGACTCAACCTCCTCCCACATTGGCCTGCCAGCAAGTCCAGCCAAATCTATTGTCACTACCTAATATTGAGTCCAGCATTTTTGCACCATAGTTTTTATTGGTGCTTAAACTTAAGGGTGTTTCCTTAGTATTGTGTTTTACATGGCAGCATGCTCCAGTTATGAAGGTAAAACATTTGACAGGCTAATGGTCCAGATCTCAGGATGATAGGTTTGCATGGTTGAGGGTAGATTTGTACATACTGTTAATATTGTGAATCCAGTGCCCCCGCCCCAGTCTTATGTTAAGTGATCCTACAAGCAGGCAAAGGCATACAGGCTCATGCAAGTAAAATGCAGTGATGTGGTGGGGGCTCATGCCAATGCTTGACGTCAAGAAAAATAAAATTCAGTCCAAGTAAAAACGGAAACAGAGCGCAATTTGATTTGGCACATAAAAACCACTGTGGTTTTTAAAAGTACGAGCACTCACCTGGTTTGTGAATATCGCTAGATATATGGAGAATATCTGTTTGCTTGCATTCTACTCTTGTGTTTATCTGACACAGGACGAAGGCTACAAAGGAAAAAATAGTCACAGTGAAGAGGATGAAACGTCAGCGATTCAGACTGTTCACCATCTGTACATTCAGGTTAGAAACTCTTAGACTGTGTTGTAGAAGACTGCATTTTAATTGAGCCTAAGGCAGCATTTGTACATCACAGGTAGATCATAGTTAATGGTTTACTATGAATGTGCAAATGATTCCCATGCCCCACTTCCCCTAGTTATCTTATTTCCGTGGTGAGGAGGAATGAATTCATAGGGGTTGGCTTTCTTTGTTTTTTAATCTCTGTATCCAGCATTTATTTGGTGGTGGTGATTTTTGAATGACTCTGAAAACAAAACTGTTTGGCTTAGATTTCTATTTCACCCTATCACAAAAGCTCATTGCATTTAGGCTTCAAGGACAGTACATATGAAGTGTAGCCAGTTAGTAATGTTTATTAAAATCACACATGTTCATCCAAAGGGTAGGCTACAAACTTGAACAGTAAATGTTTAAATATGTTAATACCATCACAGTGATAAAGTAAGAATTGTGTTCAGTGCTAAGCATAACCATGAAGTGAATGTGGCTTCCCGTTTTTCAACTGTTTCTTCATCTTATATCTGAAGATGGAATACTGTGAAAAGAGCACTTTGCGGGATACCATTGACCAAGGCCTATATGAAGATACCAATCGCCTCTGGAGATTTTTCCGGGAAATTCTGGATGGATTAGCTTATATCCATGAAAAGGTGAGCTACATTCATGCCAAACTCAATCGATTTAAATAATTGGGCTTGTATTTGTTTTGTTTATGCTGTATTATTTCACTGTTGTTAGCTGCTCTGAGCCCGGCTTCGGCTGGGGAGGGTGGGATATAAATAAATTATTATTATTATTATTATTATTATTATTATTAATCCACTTTTACTCTGTCCATGCTCCAAAGTGCTCAGAGCTGCATAGATTATTATCTTCCACAATAAACTGTAGAGATGAGAGAGAGAAGGAATTTCACAACCTTTGCCAACCTGATACCTTCCATATGTTGTTAGACTATAGCTCCCATTATCCCTCACCAGGCTGTCAGGGGCTGCCCGGAGTTGTAGTCCTAGTCTGACTTTCTACCCACTGGTCCACACTGGTTCTTCTACAATACGAACAATATCCTATTTCAGGCATGTCCAACAGGTAGATCGTGATCTACTGGTAGATTGCAGGGTGTTCCTGGTAGATCCTGGCTGATCTCTGGCTGCTCAGTGATCTCCTTACAAAAAAGCAAAAACTACAACCCCAACTTTGGCTTACTAAAAAACAACTGAACAACTTTGGGAAGATCACTGCCAGTCTTTTTACGACAATGAGTAGATCACTGCCAGTTTTTTAATACTGTGAATAGATCACAGTCTGTTGGGAGTTGGACGTCCCTGTCCTATTTGATTTGCACATATTTTTCATTAGTTGCAAGAGACTTGGTTGATTGTTAGGAGTTTTCTAAGTAATGAGTGTTTTAATTAGAGCAAAGGGTATCTTTTCAAAAAGAGATGCTTTCAGCAAGGAAAGCCCCTTGTAAGTATATATGTTTAGCATTGCCTTCTTAGGAGCAATAGCAAATTCTTAGAGAAACTTAAAAAAACCTCCTCCATGAAGTAGGAACGCGTAGAATATTTAAAGATTGGATCTGAATTTAAGTTAGTTGCACTTAGTTCCCCTTGAAATCAGTGGAACCTAAACTTACATTGCAATCCTATACCAGTACAGTGGTACCTTGGTTAAGAACTTAATTTGTTCCTGAAGTCCGTTCTTAAACCAAGTCCGTTCTTAAACCGAGGCACGCTTTCCCTAATGAGACCTCCCACTGCTGGTGCCCTTCCACCGTTTGGCTTCCTTTCGTAGACTGAGGTAAAGTTCGCTAACCAGAACACTACTTCCGGTTTTGCGGAGTTCATAAACTGAATAGTTCGTTAACAGGGCTGTTCGTAAACCGAGGTACCACTGTTCTTGGGAAGTAAATCATGACTAACTTTCCTATTGATTTGAGTTGATGCAGCTAACTTAAGCAATGGTCCTATACACACCTACCTGAAAGTAACCCCCACTGAGCATAGTGGGAGTTATTTCTGAATAAACATGCATAAAATTGCGTCGTTCACTGAGAAGCTCCACTTGGCTTCAGTGGGACATAGCTTTCTCTAATTTCCCAACAAATTGCAATTTCGGCCACTGTTGGGGATACAGAGGGAAGTCCCCTCTGCAAATTTTAATCAGCAGGAAGACGTATATAGAAATATACAGTTTCTTAGGTATCTTGGGCCTATACCATATATATTGATATGTGATCCATATATATTCCAATTCTCTCATATCAAACTCTGTTTTATTTTATTAAAAGGGAATGATTCACCGAGATCTGAAACCTGTCAACATTTTTTTAGATTCCGAAGACCATGTGAAAATTGGTGATTTTGGTTTGGCAACAGATCACCCAGCATATGTAGTAGGTGCTTTTTTAAAAGTTGAACTATAAAAATGTATAATGTAAGCCATCTTGAAAAATAATTATTGCTACATAAAAGAGGTTGCATATTAGTTTTTGTTTGTATGCACAGTGTGGAAGAGCCGCTTTTTGATAGAAGATAATTGTGGTTTTTCACTGCACTGTCTCTTTGTACTTTGTCACTTCAGTAGTATGTATTACATTTTAATCCTACTGTTCTTTTAAGGCACTCAGAGCTCTGTACATTGTACCTTCACATTATCAATTCTTTTGAGTTAGTGCTATCCTGTACATACTGGCCCTGTGAGTTTCATAACTGAGAAGAGATTTGAATCTAGTACTTGTGTCTGTTGCATAGATTTTGGAATATCTACAGTTTTGAGCCCTCCAACAATCTGGGGAGGAATACAATTCAGGTTTTCTGGGGTTTCTTTTTCAGGCAGACACAAGACAAGGAGAAGGAGAGGATGGTTTGGCGAAAAGTGATCCTTCTGGTAAGTACAGTGGTACCTCAGGTTACATACGCTTCAGGTTACAGACTCCGCTAACCCAGAAATAGTACCTCGGGTTAAGAACTTTGCTTCAGGATGAGAACAGAAATCGTGCTCCGGCGGCGCGGCAGCAGCAGGAGGCCCCATTAGCTAAAGTGGTGCTTCAGGTTAAGAACAGTTTCAGATTAAGAACGGACCTCCAGAACGAATTAAGTACTTAACCCGAGGTACCACTGTATAAGCAAATTATTTATACAAAACATTAATTGCTTGTAATCTACTGTAAGAGAGATGGTAATTACAGGATTGCTAAAAAGTTGGACTAATACCACTATTTGGACAAATACTTTAAAACAACAACCAACTTCTCCATTTAAAGGAAATACTATGAAATGCCTAGATTTTCCTTGACTTTGACAGTGTTTCTGCGGCGCAGTTGATAACTAAGTGTTGTCCTTAATAGGTAACTTAACAGGAATGGTTGGCACCGCTCTTTATGTGAGCCCAGAGGTCCAAGGAAATACTAAATCTACTTACAATCAGGTAAAAGTCCCTTTGGAAACTGTGTTAGGTATGAGGGCTTTTTTGATCCCGGTCTCGTGAGTTGAATGTAGAGATCTTTCTGTGCATAGGGTGCCTGTCAGCTGCTAGTTTTCCATGCTGAAATTCCTGTGCTCCCTCCAAAAGCACTGCTGAAGTTCCTTTGCCCATTATGACAAGGGAGCCCAGCAAGGAGAGATAGGATTGGCAACACACACGTGCGTGCGCATGCGCGCGCACACACGCACACACACACACACAGACTGAAATAATTTGTAGATGTGCCTTCCTCTAGCACATGGAGATCTTAAGATTCTGCTCTCCTTATCTAAATCAAATTCAGTTACAAAATGTTGCTTGAATGTTACGTCAGAAAACAGTCTCAGTAAGGTCCCCCAAAAGGAATGGGTCTGCAGTAAGGTAAAGCGAGCAGATTGTGGCTCCGTGCTTAGCCTTATTAGAATGGTTGTAAACTCAGGGGAATGGGTAGCGACGTATTATTTCCCTCTTTGCAACTACACTTACTTATACTTTCAATCTTTTTCTACTAGAAAGTGGACCTCTTCAGTTTGGGCATAATATTCTTTGAGATGTCTTACCATCCGTTGACGACTGCATCGGAAAGGATCTTTGTTCTCAGTCAGCTAAGGCTTGTACGTATGAAAGCTTCATAATAACCTGTCAAACATGACTTGTTGCTTATGTCACGTACAGATTTCTCTCTGGATCCATTGTAAAACTCTAGTTCCAGAACTTAATGCAAATATATTTTTAAAAATAAATATCTAGACCAGAACTTCCTGTTGACCTTTTCCAGAGATTATTAGTTTTTAATCATGTCCCTCCACCCACTAAGCCAATACAAAGTCTCTATAGAGCATAGATTTTATTTTCTGCTGTGTTAAGTAAAATACATTAGACCTGCTGCAAAAATTGTTTGTGATAAGAAAGGGGGCTGCTACCTTCAACGTTGCCTGGGGTGGTAGGAGAACTCTACTGCTCTTACTTTTACTTGTAAAAAGCATGAAGGGAAAGTATTTGCAGTGGTATTGCACATTAATAGACACGTACCTGATGCAATGGGGATGCAGGTGGCGCTGTGGGTTAAACCACAGAGCCTAGGACTTGCCGATCAGAAGGTCGGCGGTTCAAATCCCCGCAACGGGGTGAGCTCCCGTTGCTCAGTCCCTGCTCCTGCCAACCTAGCAGTTCAAAAGCACGTCAAAGTGCAAGTAGATAAATAGGTACCGCTCCGGCAGGAAGGTAAATGGCGTTTCTGGGTGCTGCTCTGGTTCGCCAGAAGCGGCTTAGTCATGCTGACCACATGACCCGGAAGCTGTACGCCGGCTCCCTCGGCCAATAAAGCGAGATGAGCGCCGCAACCCCAGAGTCAGCCACGACTAGACCTAATGGTCAGGGGTCTCCTTTACCTTTACCTTACCTGATGCAATGCATAATGAGCCAATGTCTGCCCTGTGGGATCTATGTTTGCTGTGGGATCTATGTTTACATGTGGGATCTATGTTTGCTGTGCAGTGGTACAAATAAATAGCTGTAGAATCTACACCGCCATCTGGCAGAATTGCTGGTGTGACTGCTTTGCCAACAATGAAAACTCAGTTTTGAGTGACATCCCTCAGCTGTTAAAACCCTGGAAATATCCACTTGGACATTTGACTGAAGTACTTGCAATCTTTAAATTATATTGTTCTGAATGCAAAAAAATTCTGGTTTTGGGGAAGCACATCTTTTGCAACTTTCTTCCTGTTTGATTCTACTCTGCTTTATTTCCCAGCCTTCTATTGAATTTCCAGAAGACTTCGATGAAGTGAAGAATGCAAAACAGGTATTCATAAACCTTTTTCAGTTGCTGTGTTCTGTGTTCTCAAAGTTTAATCATAATTTTACCCTCTTTGTTTCACACCAGTGCACGCCCAAGCAATTACAATATAGCACTAGAGACATAGGAAAATAAATTATAGAAAGGGGAAGTAAACTACTGACACTGAAGTGTTAAGCCTGCAGAGCTCATTAGAATGGCTCCAAAAGATTAATTTACTCTGGAACTTATGCCACTTGTGGAATATTGACATTACAGTTATTTACGTTAAGTGTGGTGTTGGGAAGATGCGACTAAAAAGAGCAATATTTTTAAAACAAAACAAAACAGGACTATATATTTTTGCTTCTTTTTTTTTAGAAATTGGTTATTGCTTGGCTGTTGAACCATGATCCTTCCAAAAGACCAACTGCTATGGAGCTGTTAAAGAGTGAACACCTTCCTCCACCTCAGATGGAGGAGTCTGAACTTCACGAAGTGCTTCATCATACTTTAGCAAATGTGGATGGGAAAGCTTACCGGACAATGATGGGTCAGATATTTTCACAGCGCATCTCTCCTGCAATTGATTACACCTATGACAGTGACATTCTCAAGGTTTGCTTTAAATTTAATGACTAGCACCCTGCAGGAATAATAAAATAAATAAATAAATAACCCACAGCTGCTGTTGAAATCTGAGGTCTTACAATTTACTCCTTTGTTAGGCTAGGGCCAGGCGATGCTGCAGTCCAGTTTATATGAATGTCTTCAGGTGTCACACTCATCCAGAACTGAATACTTTTGCTTGATATCTTACATAAGGTTATCCATGTTCACCTGTGCAGATATTAGATGATAATATGGGCGAATAAATGCCCTACTCCTGATTGTGCCCCCAAATGCCTCACACCAGTGATGCTTGCACATAGATGTACATTTCCAATGAGCAGATCAACTTATCTGCATAGCAGGTAACAGAGAATTGCTTGGAACTTAAGATCTGAGACTTTCCCAACTTTTCCTTCCCACGACAGCCTCCTATAAAGATGTTTCTGAAGGTTTAGGAGGGTACCTATGGAACAATAGCAGCTCGGGCAAATTGGTATATACCTTGCGAGAGCAGAACTGCTTTCTACTTTTGCTAGGAACGAAGCTTATGGAAATTAAGCATTTTCAACACTTGACAATGTGCCATATAAAACTAAGTTGCAGAAGTAGTGCTTCCAACATTGGCATTAAAGATGTCAATATCTATGTCCCCTTCTTATGCTTGAAAGCACAGAACATGCAGTTATAACTACATGTTATTTTCCTTTTACCAGGCTACATGGAGGAGGCACAAAACGTTTGCAAAAGCTTTTTGTTCCCTGTCTCCAATGCCGCTCTTATTTTTATTTATAGATGTAAAATGCTGTTAAGGCATGAGGGCATAAAGACTCCTGCTCCCAATTTAATACCTTTCTACATGACTAGAAATGTGAAAAACAGGTGTTGCAGGGGAGACATTATTTTTAGCAGCGTTTTTAGCAAATGGTACTGTTCTGACACCTCTGTTGCATTTTCCCTTTATGTCCTAGGGCCTGTTTTTGTTTTTAAACCATGTGGATTCTCTCCTTTTTAATCCTCACATAGGACAGAAATTCTGAGCCTAACCATCATATTTCCAGGAATACTGTAATGTTTAATCTTTAAATTATTAGTATAAAAAACACCCAACAGAGTGCAAAGGGGCCAACATTCAATGAAATGATCTGCTAGTAAAAACTAATGTTAGACTCTTTGCTGAGTATAACATCCATATTGCTTTCTCATGGTGTGACAGGATGGCTGTTCTGATTTGAGGTGGCTTGTACTTTGGATGTTTCCAGTGTTCAGAATTCCTTATGCATCATTATCATTTTGATTCCAGGGCAGTTTTTCAGTGCAGTCAATCAAGATTCAGCAACATGTATGTGAGACAGTCAGCCGAATCTTTAAAAGACATGGTATGTATGTTTACACTATTGGTTCTTGAATTTTTTTATATGTAAATTGGGGTAGGGAACTATTTTCTCTCTCAAAAAAAAAGTGGGGCCGGTGGATTACAGAGAGATTGATCAGCTTAAAGATTTTGCCTTTTTAGTTTTTCTTCTATCTTTAAAAATTGTTTGAGTAATTTAATAAACTGAAGGCGAATAATTGAACATCAAACTGTTCACCTTTCCAGAGCCAGTCCAAAAACACTTGTCTGTTGTGGGTCGCTGTGGTGATTTTAATTCCCCTACAACAGAGCACGATTTAGCAGTCTTATTCTTCCAAATAAGATTCGGCACATATTCTAAATTTTCTTATGTCAGGTAGCATTCATAGGCACTATTTTCCAGGATGATGTCTATTGAAATTAATGGACTCTGCCCAGGAACCCATAATGCTCCAGTTTATTCCAGTAAGGTTTTCACAAGAAAAAGTACGTGTGAATTCTATGCAAAGAGAATTTAAGTGAGCACCAAAACTACAGCGGCAATTCAGTCTTTTAGCAATGAGAGAGTCCTCTTTCTTCTCTGCACCTATTACAGGGGTAGGCCCAATATCTCTTACAGAGTCTTGACCAGCCAATCATGAACATACAGCTTTCCTATTAAGAAAAAAAGGAATGTTACATAGAGTGCATTGGCTTTCTAAAATTGTCTGTTAGTTCCCTGTTTGTGGTGCAGAAATTAGACTCTTTCAACCATTTTTGAACAGGAGCTATCAAGCTGCACACCCCCTTGCTTATGCCTAGGAACAGAAAACTGTACGAACACAATGAAGCTTCATATTTGATGGATCACAGTGGAATGCTGGTGATGCTTCCTTATGATCTCAGGGTGAGTACTAGTGTGGAGTTAAGTGATCTTAGAGTTTCTGCCCAGCCTCTTTACCAACTTCCCTTTGTTGACGATGAGGGCTGATTCAGACACTGATGTTGGCATTGTAGGGTGGTCTTCCATTCCTATAAGACCTTACTACTTTGCAACCACTCTCCCTTCCCTCTTAAAATATTCTCTCATGCAGAAACCTGACGCATTAAGGAAAAAGTTTCTAGCGTTTATAAAAGGCAGATTAACTCAGAATTGGCTTCAAGTAGTCAACAACACATTCCCAACGTGACAAATTAGCTTCGTTAAGTATTTTTGTCACTACAAAATAGTATATAATAATAATAATAGCAAATGATCGTGCAGTCTGATTGGAGGAAGTGTTTTAAAGAATTTTATTAGCTGCAATCGAAAAGGTGCTCTGACTTGCCTGTTCCTTTTTACCTCCTTATTTATTCATGTCATAGTTCCGACCAATTCTGCTAAAAATAAAAAGCTCATTTACAGGCAACAATTTCAAAGGGTTATTCTGTTCATTTAGCTATAAAATATTGATTACTGGAAGAATTTTACAAAATCTGAAACCACATAAATTAGAATGATTGGCTACGTAGACGAACCTACTGGAAATTTTGGTGGGAAACTTTCACTAGCATTGCCTATTTGGAATTAACATGAACTTTTGACAATTAATGGAAATCATTTCTGAAGTCCTATAATGATAGGAAGCCTAATTTTCTCTATTTCATTAAGTACCATGTTCACTGCAAAATCATTTCAGCTACTTTTGTTTGATATGATTTTTTTTTATTGACAATCTGCATTTTACATTTCCCCCTCCAGATTCCTTTTGCAAGATACGTAGCTAGAAATAACATAACAAATTTGAAAAGGTAAGGGCATGGCCCAGGAATTATTTCATTCTTTCTTCAAATGTAGTACCTGCCTGTCTAATTGTTGTCCCTTTAAAAATAAATCTAACCTATATAGGAGAGGCCATAGCTCACACTTTGCATCTTGTACCATTCCCTGGCATCTCCATTTACAAATGAATCTTGAGTAGCAGCACTGGAGAAGTCTCAAGTCACAGCCAATTGTTGCAAGCAGATTGGGGGTAGATGAGTCAATAATGTTTAGCACTGTAAAAGGCAGCTTCATATCTATTTCCCCAGACCTTTGGGAATGTCCAGTAATTGTTGATCTCTGCACATGATTTTATTGGCTGTGTTAATTGTTTGCTGTTGATATATTGTACGTTGCCATTTTTGTGTGTTGTAATTGTCCCTGGAACCTAGAGTTGCTGTATTTCAAAAAGTAAAATTCCTGACACCCGCAAAGTTGTTGAGCTTTTTCCCTCCCCCCCCCAAAAAATAGCAATAAATATGTCAAATAACTAAAAGTAAATAAAAAATGCTTTCAAATGTAAAATATTCACATTTTCCTCCCACCCTCCCAGATACTGTATTGAGCGGGTTTTCAGGCCTCGGAAATTAGACCGCTGTCATCCAAGAGAGCTCTTAGAATGTGCTTTGGATATAATCACTCCTGCTGGCAACAGTTTTCTACCTATTGCAGAAGCAATCTACACAATTTCTGAAATAATCCAAGAGTTTCCTGTGTTGCAGGCAAGTGTTCCTCTGTTTTCTTTTTCCCCAAAACATACAGTGTTTTAGTTTTTCTTTAGTTTAAAAGAAGGAGTCTCTTTCTCCTCCTGCACTTATCCCTTTAATGTTAGGGCAGAGTAGGAATGAATTTGGTCCATTTTATAGCTTGCCTTACAGAAGTCTTTCAAAATTTTATGCAGTTTAGTTTTTCTTGCCTCTCTACCCAACTGTAACATATCTTTGCCAGACTTCTCATCAATGAGTGTGTGTGTTTAGTATCTGTAAGCAAGACATTAAGGAGGAAATGTTAGATTTTTCCAAAGATTTTGACATACTTTCATTTGAAAAATCTCAAAACATTTTAAGAAAAAAATTTGTGAAGGAGAAGCAGATGTTATGAAACTGCAGGGAACTTGTACCAGCCAAGATTACTGGAAAATCACGCCGAGAACACAGCCACAATCCAGCATGGCATAAACGTAGCCTTCATTCTTATATGTTAATGATTCTACAAATATTTATAAATTAAATACCAAATTTGAATAACTGGTTAGGATGCCAAGAACTGCTTAGATTTATGCAGTGAAGTTGCATTAGCTGAACAGAGTTTTTGATGTTTTCTGACACACACTCTTCACACCACAATACTATATTCCAAGTTGTTTTCCAAACTACTCCATTTCAAAACCACTTTTTGCAATGCCAGGGTAGAGCGAGAAGGCTTCTGTCGCAGATGAATGAATCTAAGCCTGCTTAGACTCAGAGAACAAGTTTCATGGTTCATTGGATCCTGACCACTGTTTCCAAGTTGTACACAGCTAACACGGCTTAAGTGCAGTTTCAAACGAGTTCCTCCAAGTTTGAAGTACAGTTCTGTTCTGATGTGCAAGACACAATGCTATATACAGTGGTACCTCGGGTTAAGTACTTAATTCGTTCTGGAGGTCCGTTCTTAACCTGAAACTGTTCTTAACCTGAAGCACCACTTTAGCTAATGGGGCCTCCTGCTGCTGCCGCGCCGCCGGAGCATGATTTCTGTTCTCATCCTGAAGCAAAGTTCTTAACCCGAGGTACTATTTCTGGGTTAGCGGAGTCTGTAACCTGAAGCGTATGTAACCTGAAGCGTATGTAACCTGAGGTACCACTGTATTCGGAGATTGAATGATTAGTGAACTTTTTTTTGCTGACTCAAATTTGGCTATCATTAAAAAAGTAATGGGCATTAACACCAAACTTTGCTCTTTCTTAGGAAAGAAACTATAGCATCTTCTTGAATCACACTGCCTTACTGAAAGCTATCCTCCTGCATTGCGGGATACCTGAAGACAAACTCAATCAAGTTTACATCATTCTCTATGATGCTGTGGTAAGTCATTTCATAGAATCATAGAATCATAGAGTTGGAAGAGACCACAAGGGCCATCGAGTCCAACCCCCTGCCAAGCAGGAAACACCATCAGAGCACTCCTGACATATGGTTGTCAAGCCTCTGCTTAAAGACCTCCAAAGAAGGAGACTCCACCACACTCCTTGGCAGCAAATTCCACTGTCGAACAGCTCTTACTGTCAGGAAGTTCTTCCTAATGTTTAGGTGGAATCTTCTTTCTTGTAGTTTGGATCCATTGCTCCGTGTCCACTTCTCTGGAGCAGCAGAAAACAACCTTTCTCCCTCCTCTATGTGACATCCTTTTATATATTTGAACATGGCTATCATATCACCCCTTAACCTCCTCTTCTCCAGGCTAAACATGCCCAGCTCCCATAGCCGTTCCTCATAAGGCATCGTTTCCAGACCTTTGACCATTTTGGTTGCCCTCCTCTGGACACGTTCCAGTTTGTCAGTGTCCTTCTTGAATTGTGGTGCCCAGAACTGGACACAGTACTCCAGGTGAGGTCTGACCAGAGCAGAATACAGTGGCACTATTACTTCCCTTGATCTAGATGCTATACTCCTATGGATGCAGCCCAGAATTGCATTGGCTTTTTTAGCTGCCGCGTCACACTGTTGGCTCATGTCAAGTTTGTGGTCAACCAAGACTCCTAGATCCTTTTCACATGTACTGCTCTCAAGCCAGGTGTCACCCATCTTGTATTTGTGCCTCTCATTTTTTTGGAGAGGGTTTATGTGTTCAGTAACCACAAGACTTCTTTATTGGTTGCAGACAAGCTGCATAAATCATTGAAGTAGGTTTTGAAGGAGTGGCCAGCGGGAAAAGGAAGAGTAGGCGTTCATTAGGATCACAGAGAGGAGGAAAAGGCGATGGGTTCAAGTAGCAGGAAAGTAACGTTAAGGTGAACATTGGATCAGATGTCCCCAACTGCCTTTAGGCTGTGATGCACCAGCTCTGCTTGCCGTGATTCAGCAAAGGAGATTTGTACACACATCGTGCTGGTTCAGGAACCCTGGAGATAGTGGTGTGGATGCTTATTCTTCATACAGCATTGGTTTTCCTGTGGGCAGCATTTGTCCACAGCCACATTCTGGCACATGTTGCATGTAAAGCTTTTTTTACATAGGAAGCTGCCTTGTGCCTGTCCATCTAGTTATCGGGCTTCAGGGACTTGGCTGCCTCCCCTCTTTGGCAGTAGATAAGCAGAACAAAGCAAAAGGAGTCTCTTGCCAGTTAGAAATTTTAACGCTCATAGCGTTATCCATTTCTAGGGATGAAGGTGCTCCCAATTAAGGGTTCCACCCAATTCCCCTCTTGTCATCCACGTCACTTCCGCACCTTTCAACCTGATCTCACAACCACTTTGCTTTCTGTGCTGCCACCTTATCTACACTCCTTGACCTTGGGCTGAGCAGATGGATGCTTTCCAGCGAAAGAGAGTCTGTTAACTCTCTCTCTCTCTCCCCCACTTCTCCTCCTCCTAGCTGTTCACCACCCAGTTCTTCCCAACTTTTGTCTTCTGAACTATGTCCGTCTGCAAACCACCGTTCCAAATCTGTACTGTCCCATTGCTCCAGGGAAGATTCAGGATCCTGGTCAGGAGCAGCAGGAGGGGAAGACTCCCACCAATTCCTCCTCAGTGCAGCCTCCGCAGCACGGTCCCTGACACTAGCTCAGTATTGTCCACACAGACTGGCAGTGGCTTCCCGGGTTTCAACCCTGATATTTCCAACCCTACCTGGAGATGCTGAGGCTTGAACCCTGGGGCCACCTGAATGCAAAGCAAATACTTCACCACTGAGATGCAATCCTTCACCCAAAGCATAACCAGAGCAGGACTTAAGATCAGTTCAGGTGCAACACCAAATTCCAGGATTTGCATTCAGAGCTTCCTCCGAGGGCAGAGACAGAACTGTTGGGTTTCAGAGGGCAAGAAATGTTTAGTTGTGGTGTACCATTGGTGTAGTGGTAATACTTGCCTGTGTGCTTGCCTCAAACCTGCTCGGAGACTTTTTTTAACGCACCCAAGCATTTGATTGTTGATGTATGTCTCTCACTCAGTGGATTATTTTTAACTGTTTCTTTCTTGTATTTTTTTATTTGCAAATACAACAAAATGTTCTGTCACAGTGATCATTTGTGGGAAATATGTACTTGGGGGATGTTTAGTGTGATCACTTTTAGTTATAATTGGTGTATGGTTTTTAATATTTCTTCATTTTCTATGTAAGTTTCCTTGCGACCTTCCAAGGAGACACGTAGATAAAGTTTAGTAATAATCTGCATATAAATGTTGAACATTTTACGGGTGACAGCACAGAAATTTAAATGTCACATTTTTATTTTATTTTATAAAATTTAAGCACTGCTTGTTTTTTTAAAAACACAAATTCTCTTTTAAGTCCCCCCCCCCCAACCTAGAAATAAGAAAATATCAAACAGCTTGCATGTTGATCATTTATTTTGCTGCAGACTGAAAAATTAACTAAAAGAGAAGTGGAAGCCAAGTTCTGCAACATTTCGCTATCATCAAACAGTGTAAGTAATATGAAAATGCCTTGGTTGTGTTTGTGTGTGTTATTTTTGATGTATAGATACATTTATACCCCACTCGAGCCCTGCGAGATTCTCAGAGTGGTTAAAAATTAAAAGCAACATGTTCAGTTTTCTTTCATAGTACTATGGAGGTTCAAGAGAGTGTGCAAACACTTCCATGAGCATTTTACTTAACCTTTCTTTTTATATTCTCCTTCCCATTTATAACAGGCAGGACATAGCTACTCCCTCCCAGTCTTTTACATTGTTTGGCTTTGACCTGCATGCATTTTATATTTAACTTAGCTGAGATTTCTCTATTGGAAACAGACAGTATTTAAACATACTGAAACCACTGGGAACTGTTGCCAATATGCAGATCACACCCATTTTTCTATCTGAATTAGGAAAGGGCACTAAGGTGCAAGATCAGTGCTTGGAGGCAGCAGTGAGCTGGAAGCAGGCCAGTAAATTGGAAGCTGAATCATGAAAAGCAGATATGCTCCAGAATGGTCACTGGAAGCTCAGGAGTGCCTGTTTCCAGCTCAAGCTGATTCACCAGCTTTGGCTACTTCGGGGTGGAGATGACTTGTCCATTGTACTCCATGCTCTGCTAACTTCCAGAATAGGTTGTTGCAACACACTCTCGATGGCGCTGCCTTTGAAGATGATGCAGAAACTTCAACTGGTACAAAATGTTGGTCCAGAATACTGGCTGCGGCTCCATTTAGAACTCACATAGTCCCATTTTAAAACAGCTGCTTTGTTTGCCAGTTTGTTTTGCTGATAGGGCTTTCTGCTCTTGTGCCTTTAGTTCCAACCAGCACGTAGCAATTCCTACATATGTGCTTTATTTATACCCATCTCTTGCCTTTCAGCTTGCTCAACTGTACAAATTCATTGAACAGAAAGGGGAGTTGCAAGATCTGATGCCATTGTTAAACACGATATTGAAGCAAAAGACGGGGGCCACCTCGCTGGTGAAACTTGGCATGAAAGAGCTGGAGGAAACAGTGGGTCTGCTAAAGAAACTTGGCATAAAAATTCAGGTTTGTAAGAGTTTTTAAAAAGTCAAAATAAATGGGTTAGAACCGTACAGTGGTACCTCAGGTTACATACGCTTCAGGTTACAGACTCCGCTAACCCAGAAATAGTACCTTGGGTTAAGAACTTTGCTTCAGGATGAGAACAGGAATTGTGCTCCGGCGGTACGGCAGCAGCAGGAGGCCCCATTAGCTAAAGTAGTGCTTCAGGTTAAGTACGGACCTCTGGAACGAATTAAGTACTTAACCCGAGGTACCACTGTATTTCTTATGTGTCATAATCATGATTAATCATAACAGATCTTCTGGATTTAATTGCCATAAAGAAAGCACCTACTGAAGCTAGTCACCTTAAGTGCGCAACATGCAAAAAATTTACAATATGTAGTAATGGGGGGCTTTTACTTTAAAGGGGGTTGGATATCTGATCAGAAAATGACCAGTTGGACACCAATGCAGAGGATAAGCTTGAGACAGATGAATAACAATAGCTCTTGCACACCCCACCCTGTGAAAAGCCAGGCAGGAGGGGACAGATGCTGTTTAGGATCACTGCTGCCTTCCTTAGGGAATTTCAATTCTCATTTTAGTACCTGAAATAACTTTACATGCTTGTTAATTTGAACATTTGTACCATTTCTGCTTACTGCAGTTGCCTTAAGTCTAAGATGACAACATAAACTCAGCATTTTATCTTGCAGGTATCCATAAATTTGGGGCTGGTTTATAAAATACAGCAACACAATGGAATTATTTTTCAGTTTATTGCATATATTAAACGCAGACACAGGATAGTTACTGACATTCTCGCTGCTGGGGGAAGATATGATCATTTGGTGAGTGCTTATAAATTTGTGCTTATAAATTTAAGCTGTGATTGATACTTTTCTAGTATACCTCTTCTTTTTGTCTTCTCAGATTCCACAGTTCAGAGGCCCACAAGCAGTTGGTCCAGTTCCTTCAGCAGTTGGAGTCAGCATAGCTATAGACAGAATAAGCTCAGCAGTTTTGAGTATGGAAGAGCCGGTACGTTTGCATTCCTCTGCATTACATTTTTAAAATCATTTAAATGTAAACTCAGCAAAGAGTAACAAAGCTGCAGAAGTGTTAATCTCTTTCAAACATTATCAATGACATGAAAATATAGCAAATAGTCTTAAGACTGGTAATGCTTGTTTCACTTAAGTTTTTCATTACTGTAATTGGGGTCATGCAAATGGTGAAGGTGGAACTAATACCTGGATGCTTCCAACTGTGTAACATAGAAATGCATGTAAACTTTTTTTTGGGAGGAAAAAACAGTTCTTCGTTTCCAAAAAGTCTCTGTCGGCTTCTCCAAATTGTTGTTTGCCCCCAGCCTGTGCACCTTCCAAGATGTCCAAATAATTATGATTATTAACCAAGAATATGACCATTATTTAGTAGCTAGGACTGCTTTATCTCTATCAAAAGCAAAGTTCACTGCCATTCTGACTTGTTTCAAAACCAGTGGTGGGGCAGTTCCTCAAGGATTCTAACCATTTGGTCCTCCCCCCTTCCTTTTCTTCCAGATTACAGTGAGCTCTTGCGACCTGTTAGTCGTTAGTGTTGGCCAAACGTCAATGGCAAGAGCTCTCAATATTGTTCAGAAGCTCTGGGCTGCTGGAATTGCTGCTGAAATCATGTACGACTGGTCCCAGGTAAATCGCCTAATATATTCATCATAGCACTCAATAACTTCCAGCTGCACAGCAGGACTCTCCCCGCCCCCCATACCCTTGATTTGTTCTGTCCCCCTGGAACATATTTGGGGATGATTGACGGAGCGACTCCTGTTGTGTAGCTTGTTCCACCCATACAACAGTGGTACCTCAGGTTACATACGCTTCAGGTTACAGACTCCGCTAACCCAGAAATATTACCTCGGGTTAAGAACTTTGCTTCAGGATGAGAACAGAAATCGTGCTCCGGTGGCGCGGCGGCAGCAGGAGGCCCCATTATCTAAAGTGGTGCTTCAGGTTAAGAACAGTTTCAGGTTAAAGACAGACCTCCAGAACGAATTAAGTACTGAACCTGAGGTACCACTGTAGTTGAATCCCACCCCTTGGGTCTCACTTTTAAAATTGTTGAAACCTTATAAAGCTCAACAACATATCTTGTATGAGCACTCCTCAAGTTTGCCCAAGCCGAGAAAACTTGATACTTTTGTCTGGTTTGGATTATATTTATTACATTTTAAAAAATATTTCCATTCTTCCCTGAGAACTTAGAGGGGTGCAAAATTATCCCTCCTCCCCTCCCCGCCCTTATCCCCACTGCAACTCTGTGAAGTAGATCAAGCTGAATGACAGTGACTGGCCCAAGCAAGCTTGGTGGGAAGGGAGGGATTTGAACCCGGCTCTCCTCAGTTCAAGTGCATCATTCTCAGCCACACTGTCTTTCTGTGTGTCTATCTAGAAAACATTCAGTGCTGTGAAATCTAGTCTTTATTTTTTGTGTAATTTGTGGTCGTTTCAGTCCCAGGAGGAACTGCAGGAATATTGCAGGTGTTCTGGGATCACCTATGTGGCCCTCGTCTCTGATAAAGAAGGAAATCATGTAAAGGTAAAAAAGTGCCTGGGTTGCATCTTTCCCCTTCTGCTTTTCTTCGCCTGTTGTTTCTGCCCTGTTTGCTCACACTCCCAAATGTTGGGCGCTCTTTTGCACAGCGTTGTCTGAGGACACATAATGCAGCCACCTCGCTGATGATGCTTAAAGGAGGTCTAAGTCTGGTCAGTGTCTGGATGGGAGCAATTCAAAGGGGAATCAAACACCTGTTTTGCATTTTTGTAGGTGAAATCGTTTGAGAAGGAAAGGCAGACAGAGAAAAGGATTTTGGAATCTGATCTAGTAGATCATCTGGCTCAGAAACTGAGGACCAAATTCTGTGACGAAAGAAGCAACAGGTAGCTATAATGCGTAGTAACTTGGGGAAATAAGACACTAATTGCAGTAGGAGTAAAATTTGTATGCCACTTTTCCATATAAATGTGTTCCAAGGTGGCTCACAACAGAACAAAAACGCAAATCAGTACGCAGTTACAATAACAATCAAATGCAAAATCATTTCACAACACAAGGCCACAAATACCACATTTTGATTATATGTGTTTGTGTGAGTTTTAGACAGTCACAAGCATAATCCTTCCAGCAGTGTTGTTAGGCTCTGGTGCAGCTTACTGAACAGCAGTCTTCCTGGTTGATTTTGCAAACAGCTCAGGATAAATAAGTGCATATTGTTTGGAGTAAAATACAGAAGTTGTCATGCGTTGAACAACATAACAATTTATCACATCACCTTTTGATTTAGTACCTAAATTGGCGATCATGTGGAAGGGGCATCTGAACTGCCACTTGCAGAGCCATTCTGGCTCACATTGGCCAGGGCCATACTTTGGTCCCCCTCCAGTTCCCTAGTTTTTCAACCCTGCACCATTGTTTCCTCCCTCTATCCCAGGTGTTGCAAAGCTAGGCAGTCATCAGACATCTCTCATGAATCTAGAGATCCAGTGGATCAAAGTCTGTCTGTCACCCCCTTGAATGAGCTCGCAGGGCAGCAGTTGAAGAAGGAGCAAAAAGGGCTTTCTTGTGTGTGTGTTTCTTTGTGGCTGATTAGCTGCTCTCCCTGTGCAAAGGTCAGAGGGGGCAGGGTTTCTGTTGAGGCAGGTGATTAGCTGTGGGAGGAGCTTATCAGAGCTTGCAGGGCAGCGGCGCGCGGCGCTAGACGCGCGCAGTTTGATCCATCTTTTAGATTTAGGGGAGCTAGTCTCAAACGTTCGTTGGGGGAGACCTAGGTTTTTTTGAGGGGGAGTTATTTGTCCTGTCTTCACTCTTTTTATGATGGAGGACCGCTGTAGCCACCCCCAACGACACGTTCGCAAGACGGAGGGGGAGGGAACAGCTGCAGTCGCCTGCGGTTCCTGCGCAATGTTTGCCATCTTGCCAAAGGTTGCAGGCAGCTTTACCTGCAGCAATTGCATGTTGATTGCCCTCTTAGAAGACAAAGTCCAGCAACTGGAGGAACGTGTAGCTACGCTCCAAAGAATTAGAGAGCTGGAGCTCTTCTTGGAAGCAACAGAGCACACTGTCTCCACCAAGGAGGAGACGGGACTCCCCTGAGAAGGAGGCTAGTTCACCAACACAGGAGCCAGATATATGGAGAAACGTGACTCAAAGAAGTAGGAGGCCCAGGGTTCGCTCTGATTGTTTAGAAATACACAATCGCTTTGAGGTCCTCTCCCCTAGCATGGAAGACGAAGAGCAGACTCCATTTGAGGATCTCTCCCTCATTACAGTCGATCAGGTATATGAAGACGAGCAGCAAAGTCAGTCCTCACGGAATGTGCAGGCGACCTTGGAACGGACAGCTCACGGAAGAACCCCGACCAAACCTAAGAGGCGGCGTGTAGTGGTGATAGGGGATTCCCTACTGAGGGAACAGAAGCAGTGATCTGTGGGCCTGACAAGATGTCTCGGGAAGTGTGCTGTCTCCCAGGGCTAAGATCCAAGATGTAACTGAACGACTGCAAGGAATCATAAAACCCACTGACAAATACCCCCTCCTCTTGGTTCATGTGGGAACCAATGACACTGCAAGCAATAGCCTCCAGAAGATCAAAAGAGACTATGAGGCTCTGGGCAGGAAATTGAAGCAATAAAATGCACAAATTGTCATCTCATCTGTCCTCCCAGTTGAACGACGTGGCCCAGGGAGAGAGGGGAAAATAGTGGGAGTGAACAGCTGGCTTCACAAATGGTGTAAACAGGAACGGTTTGGATTCTTAGATCATGGACTGCAGTTTCTTGAAGATGGACTTCTGGCAAGCGATGGGCTGCACCTCACAACGGTTGGGAGGAATGTTTTTGCCAAAAATCTCAGAAACCTCATCAGGAGGGCTTTAAACTGACTAATGTGGGGAGGAGACAGTGCTCCTGAAGGTAGGAGTCTATCAATTGATGAAGATGATCATCCAAATGTCATAGACCAAATGGAGCAAACAGCACGCAGACCTAGTGGTGGGAGGAAAAAATCCTTAAATAAGAGACACAGGGGAATGAATAATGGACTTCAGTGTCTGTACACTAATGTGCAAAGCATGGGAAATAAACAAGATGAGCTTGAGCTCTTGGTACAGCAAACTAAATATGACATAATAGGCATCACTGAAACCTGGTGGGATAAGTCCCACGATTGGAATGTAATAATGGAGGGATACAATCTATTTCAGAGAAACAGACCAGACAAGAAAGGAGGAGGCGTTATATGTCAGGGATGTGTATACCTGTGAAGAGATCCAAGATTTAGAACCTCAAAGCCAAAGTGAGAGCATTTGGATCAAAATTAAGGGAGAGAAGAATAACAGTGACCTCATTGTGGGAGTTTACTATAGATCCCCAAGCCAAACGGAGGACATAGATGATGCCTTCCTGGAACAGATGGCCAAGCATGCAAAAGGAAGGGAGATAGTAGTAATGGGGGACTTCAATTATCCGGATATTTGTTGGATGTCAAACTCAGCCAAGAGCATAAGGTCAAACAGATTCCTCACTGGCCTTGCAGACAACTTCATTGTCCAGAAAGTGGGAGAAGCAACAAGAGGAACAGCCATTTTAGATCTGGTCCTAACCAATGTTGATGACCTGGTTAGTGGGATAGAAGTGGAAGGATCATTAGGCGCGAGTGATCATGCTCTTCTGAAGTTTACTATACAGCGGAAAGGAGCAGCCAAGCATACTAGGACTCAATTTCTTGACTTTAAGAAAGCCGACTTCATAAAACTTAGGGAAGTGCTGGGTGAGATCCCATGGACAGTAATACTAAAAGGAAAGGGAGTTCATGATGGCTGGGAGTTTGTTAAGAGGGAGATAGTAAAAGCACAACTTCAGGCAATACCAATGAGACGGAAACATGGAAGGTGCCTAAAGAAGCCAGGGTGGCTATCTAAAGAACTTTTAACTGAGTTAAGATTAAGAAAGGATGTGTACAAAAAATGGAAAAGGGGGGAAACCACCAAAGAGGAATTCAAACAAATAGCCAGCACGTGTAGACACAAAGTCAGAAAAGCTAAAGCACAGAATGAACTCAGGCTTGCTAGAGAGGTTAAAAGCAACAAAAAGGCTTTTATGGGTATGTTCGTAGCAAAAGGAAGAACAAAGAAACAGTGGGGTCACTCAGAGGAGAAGATGGTGAAATGCAAACAGGGGACACAGAAAGGGCTGAACTCCTCAATGCCTTCTTTGCCTCAGTCTTCTCCGATAAAGAAAACAATGCCCGACCTGAAGAATTTGGAGCAAATGATTCAGCAGAGGAAACACAGCCCAGAATAACTAAGGAGATAGTACAAGAATACTTGGCTAGTTTAGATGTATTCAAGTCTCCAGGGCCAGATGAACTGCATCCAAGAGTATTAAAAGAACTGGCAGATGTGATCTCAGAACCACTGGCAGTCATCTTTGAGAATTCCTGGAGAACAGGCGAAGTCCCGGCAGACTGGAGGAGGGCAAATGTTGTCCCTATTTTCAAAAAGGGGAAAGAGAGGACCCAAATAATTACCGCCCAGTCAGTCTGACATCAATACCAGGGAAGATTCTGGAGCAGATCATTAAGCAAACAGTCTGTGAGCACCTAGAAAGGAATGCTGTGATCACCAATAGTCAGCATGGATTTCTGAAAAATAAGTCATGTCAGACTAACCTGATCTCGTTTTTGACAGAATTACAAGCCTGGTAGATGAAGGGAACGCAGTAGATGTAGCCTACCTTGATTTCAGCAAGGCATTTGACAAGGTGCCCCATGATATTCTTGTAAAGAAGCTGGTAAAATGCGGTCTTGACTATGCTACCACTCAGTGGATTTGTAACTGGCTGACTGACCGAACCCAAAGGGTGCTCATCAATGGTTCCTCTTCATCCTGGAGAAGAGTGACTAGTGGGGTGCCACAGGGTTCTGTCTTGGGCCCGGTCTTATTCAACATCTTTATCAACGACTTGGATGATGGACTCAAGGGCATCCTGATCAAATTTGCAGATGACACCAAACTGGGAGGGGTGGCTAACACCCCAGAGGACAGGATCACACTTCAAAACGACCTTGACAGATTAGAGAACTGGGCCAAAACAAACAAGATGAATTTTAACAGGGAGAAATGTAAAGTATTGCACTTGGGCAAGAAAAATGAGAGGCACAAATACAAGATGGGTGACACCTGGCTTGAGAGCAGTACATGTGAAAAGGATCTAGGAGTCTTGGTTGACCACAAACTTGACATGAGCCAACAGTGTGACACGGCAGCTAAAAAGCCAATGCAATTCTGGGCTGCATCAATAGGAGTATAGCATCTAGATCAAGGGAAGTAATAGTGCCACTGTATTCTGCTCTGGTCAGACCTCACCTGGAGTACTGTGTCCAGTTCTGGGCACCACAGTTCAAGAAGGACACTGACAAACTGGAACGTGTCCACAGGAGGGCAACCAAAATGGTCAAAGGCCTGGAAACGATGCCTTATGAGGAACGGCTTAGGCAGCTGGGCATGTTTAGCCTGGAGAAGAGGAGGTTAAGGGGTGATATGATAGCCATGTTCAAATATATAAAAGGATGTCACATAGAGGAGGGAGAAAGGTTGTTTTCTGCTGCTCCAGAGAAGCGGACACGGAGCAATGGATCCTAACTACAAGAAAGAAGATTCCACCTAAACATTAGGAAGAACTTCCTGACAGTAAGAGCTGTTTGACAGTGGAATTTGCTGCCAAGGAGTGTGGTGGAGTCTCCTTCTTTGGAGGTCTTTAAGCAGAGGCTTGACAACCATATGTCAGGAGTGCTCTGATGGTGTTTCCTGCTTGGCAGGGGGTTGGACTCGATGGCCCTTGTGGTCTCTTCCAACTCTATGATTCTATGATTCTATGAATGCCCCATTTGGGGCCTTACCACCACCAAAAGAACTTCCAGTAGCAGATCTTCGCCTGCAGACCTATTCAGAGGTGTAGTAGGAGACACCCCCCTCCACCAGTGAAGCTAGTTGCTCCTAATCCTTCCCAGTCAGCAAATCTGAGGAAGGATTGTTCCATTGTTCAAAATGTCTTACTTTTATGTAATATTGAAGAAAGCAGTTCATAATAGCAAATGTTTTGAGCAACCTTTTTGCTCTGTTTTTGTTTTAGGGAAATTTCTGATAATCTGCCAGCACCAAATCTAAAAGGATCATTTTCTAATACTTCAGGTATGTACTTTATACATAGGTATATACTAACGGTTAGACTATATATTAATTTAGTAGTGTTCATTGCACAGATCATGTACATTACAGCAGATGCTGCACATTAATTGTATATTGAACATAACTAATTTTATATTTTAGCAAGTTCTTTCATGGAAAATGCAGTTCTTTGGCACCTAAATTATATATATTTCGGGACCTACCCTGCTCTTTCAACTGCAAATTTTTTTCACTGATTTTAATATTGTATATATAAATTGTTGTAACCACCCTGGGACCTCTCGCTGAAGGGCAGATACGAAGTCTCATCTAATAGTGAAACCGAGTTGTTTGTGTGTATTCAGCTTTGCAAGAAACTACAATAGTTCAGTGCAGGCTAACATTAAAAATGCTTTCAAGGACATAGTACATGAAGACTTGTTATATAGCTTTTTGTCTCTTTTGAGTGTGCATGTGTAAGAGAGGCATTTCTAACTAAATATTTGAATCATCTTAGGTTTGTCTGAGCCACATGGAACTGTAGTGGTACCAAATGTCTGCATTGTACCATCAGAGAAGTTGTCTGCAAGTGCCAGGCGGCGCTATGAAGTTCAGGTATCATGAATGAAGCTCTCCTTTTAGTAGCTACATCGCAATGTTTCCGTAGCAGTGAGGTCTCACCACAAATGGTGTATGTGTCAGGGACACAGAAAAGAAGATAGGAAGCTGACTTGCACCAAATCAGACCTTCACAAGTCAGTCAGGCTCAGTACTGCTTACACCAGGATATGACTTCCAAAAGCTGATGAGACTCCAGTTCCCATAATTCTTGACAATCAACCATGCTCTGTGGGGCTGACAGGAGCTGGAGTACAGCAGCATCCCCATCTCTCCTCTACATTTACTAGCAGCAATTCTCCAGTTTCAGACATCAACATTTCCCAGCCTTGCCTGGAGATGCCAGGGGTTAAACCCAAGACCATCTGCATGGAATGCAAATGCACATGGCTGAAACTTGCCACATGAAACCTTGCCTGCCAGGCTGCTAGTTGTCTTAAAATGCCTAGCTTCAAACTAATACATAGCCCTTAAGCTTCATCATTTCAGCCGGCTTCAGCATACTGAACTCCATCTTGGATTGTGGTTTCTGTTCAGGGTTATTCTTTTGCAAAATAGGTTGCCCTCAAGGTGCTTCACATTATTTCCCAACTTGCGAATGTGATCAAGAAGCAATACTGACAACTTAAGTCCGTTGAATCTTCTTTGCTTTTATATTGTTTGAAGAATACATATAGAGTCATGTGTGCATCAAAATATCCATGATTGTGAGAGGCATGCAATTCACATTGCCGCTCACCATCCTAGTGAATGGAGTTGTTTGGAAGGCTTTTTCAGGACCGAGTCAATAATATTTGCACACTAGGGGGAGCTGTTTTTATTTTAAGGATTTATACCCTGCTCTTTGAACACTTTAAACAATCTAATTTGTAGAATGCATTGTGTGGGTGGACGTGCAAGTGGATATGCAGTTAAACCCCCTGCACACCTGGCTGTTGGTTGGATATTTGATATACATGGGGATTTTCATTTTGATGCTTCTGTGAAAACGCTGTAACATGTAGCACAGTTCAGTGAGAGAGACTTGGCTTGAGAGTAAAGCAGACCCTCCAGATACAAACTTAATTCATTCCTGGGGTCTGTTCGCACCCCAAAAATTACGTAAATATAGGCGTGCTTCTGCACACACACATGGCGCATTTGAGCGCTTCTGCGCATGCGCACGGTGAAACCAGGAAGTATACAATTCCGGGTTTGCCATGGCTGTAACCCAAAGATTCTGTATCCAGAGGGATACGTAAGTAGAGGTACGACTGTATACAGTTCAACAGGATTGCTTGTTTTTGTTTTGATATGAAAAGGAATCATCAGCTTTGTCTGTATGTGCATCTTTAAAACCAAATGTAATTTCCAGGTACAAACCAAACTCCAGACCTGCATTGCTACTCTGCAACAGAAAAGTGAAGTTGAAATTTTAGCAGTAAGTATCTTTGTTGTGGAAATTAAATGTATGCCACCTTGAGCTCCTTGGGAGAAAAAGATGAGATATAAATGCAATAAATAAATATAGGGGAAAACAGAGGAACAAAGTGTTCAAGTTATTATTCCCATTTCCCCTTTCCAATTTAATTTTATTTCCAAGGCCATGCAGTCTTTAGAATTTAAAATTTAGATGAAAGATTTGAAAAGTTTAAAGTGGATTAACTCAAATGCAACTTGCATTTCATATATATTCCAAACTTACATTGATTTAATTTTTGTTTTTCCTGCAGGTGGATCTGCCGAAGGAATCTATAATGCACTTTTTATCATTAGAGGTAAAAAAAACTATGACTGTCTAGTTCTTAATGAAAGCCCATGCTAACTTAAATAGGCTTGAAATTCCCACTTGTCAGGTACAGCAAGGAAAGCAATATTTCCCTCTGTAGAATTTATGCCCACTTAGAGCCAAACATCTACAGAAAGGTTATGTATAACTGTCCCCCCAACCCAACCTCCCCCTTTCCAAGTTTCCTGCTGTCAAAACAGACCTGGACTTTTATATACACTACACTTCGGGAAGAGCTAATATCAACAATCAAGCTGACATTCTCAACACAGTGCACACTATCATATCATATCATACCAACATATTATGCGCTCAGCGTATTACACACCATTCCTACTCCACAATAAAATATTTGCCAGTTAATTACTATTTCCTCTTCTCAGTGTGATGCAGATGAACAAACCTTCTATTCAACTGTCAAACAGCTGATGTCACGATTGCCGAAACAAAGATACATTGAACTAATCTGCGATGAAATCCACAATATTAAAATGAAAAAAAGGTAAGCATCCTTGTAAGCATGATTAGATGGTGTGGAATTCTCATAGAAACCAACAAGTCATTTGCAAATTTCATTAAGGCTCAGGCAATATTCCACACCGATAGGGATAGTCAGATAAAGGCTCATTCAGTTCACAGGGTCCTCTCCTATTCCTCCCTGCCACATGACCAGAAAGAGGACTTCTGCAGTTTACTTGTGACTTCAAAAAATCTCAGCTTACTGTTTTGTGCAAACCAGGAATCCTGGTTTACAACAAGCAACAGTCGCTTGGCTTGTTAAACCATTGGGCTGTATCCCAACAAAGTCATCACATTAGCATCAGGACTTCCTCTTCCCTTATACCCAACGCCAGTATGATGATTTGACAGGAAGGAAATAAAAGTGCAGCATAGAACCTTCATCCATAGGAGTGGCTGCTGTATGTGAACATAATTCATTCAATACCCTGTGGTCAGTATTTGAAGGAAAAGAGTGTTTGTCAGCCAGTGAAATTAAGGTGTCTACTTTCTCTTGTAAGAGCGGATTATCCAAGCTATGGAATATTCTAAATGACTGGGAGTAATGCTTTAAATGTTCTGTCTTTTTCTTTCTTGCAGAGTGCCTGTGCTTATCCTCTACACCTACAGAGATGACTATTACAAAATTATATTTTAGTACTGAATGTTCAAAGAGAATGAACTGGAATACTACTTGGAACCAATACATGCTTCCAATCACGCTAATGTGAAGAAATGTTTTGCGCACACTTGTTACAGGGACTATGTTGGGACAACTTTTGAAGTATTAAGGATTTAGCTCCTGTGCCATACTTCCTTTACCTCCTTTAAAGCTGTAAATCTTTCCAGAATGTATTGTACAGTAGCCTTTTTTTATAAAGTCCTGTTTGATTATCTTGCTGTATTGCTGTCATTGTTTCAAGCAAAGCAGTGGGTGGAAGATTCAACTAGTGACTTAAACAAGAGTTTTAGTATCCATAGCACCAAGCCCTAGAATATGAACAACCCCCTCCTTGTCTGAAGGAGTCTTCTCATTCATCACGAGGACACAGCTGCAATCTATAGTGGCAGAAACCCCTCCCCCTTATTAGGGATCTAAATTGTTTTCTACTTGCCACTACTGCTGGCCCTGAAGTTGAAGGGTGAAGAGAGTGGCCCTCAATTACTGCAGAGAGCAAGCAGCAGAGACCACAAATTTCCTATACAGCCCAGTAAGGAACCTGCCCTCGAAGCACTGTCTGTCTCATTCTGTTGGCAGAAATCGGCTACTGTAAATGGGAGTATTCACTGGGATCAGGGCTGACAAGGTAACATTTAGAGTATCCCTATGAGGTTTACCATGAGTTTTGGAATCCAACATCTGGAGGACTGCAGGTTAGCTGCCCAATTGACACCATAAGGACTGTTAAGCAATCTAGTTCTAGCTTGCTGAGAGAGAAGAGTCATACTAACAACCGTGAGCCAAGTTCATCCATTTTAAATCCAGCAGTCTCAAATACAATGTAGGTTTCCTATTGTGTTTCCTCTACCTACCAACCTATGTGTAAGCACAATTAGAAACCCGTAATACTGACTGTAATGAAATGTACTTTATACAAGAATTCAGAATCAGGATAGTTCAGTACAGCCTCTCTTGCAATATGTACATGTTCTTAAGAATGACTCCTGCTAATAGTTTTATCTAGTTGAAGGAAGAAAGTTTTAGTATTCCTTAAGTCATTGATGCATCTTAAATTTGGATTCATTGTTCCTCTTAAGAAGCTAGCAGCACTGGCTAGAGTTGATATTCTACTGTTACTACCTGAAGATCATTCCAGCAATGCACAATCTAAATCTTACTTGCCACACCACAATTAAGCAGCAAAATAAATTTGACTGACATAACACTTGCCTTGCACCATGCTGCACAGGAGTATCTGTCAATGCAAAGGTATCTGTCATTGCAGCACAAATACTGAAAAATGATGTTAAACACAAGCATACTAAAAGTGATTTAGAACATGAGTCATAAACTATTTAAAGATAAGTTTTCAGCGCAGATAGCAGCATAATTCCTTGTCAAATTCTTGTGGCTCACAAAGGTATTGACCTCCAACTTAACTCCAATCATAAAAAACCTTGAAGCTGTTAATGAGAGAAACACCAAAGCAAATTTTTATCTAGTTTCATTTCTATTGCAACTTTTGCTGTACACTAGGCCTCATTTGATCAGTATTAAAGGCAGACAGAAAGTTTCAGTGTAAGATGATTTCAAATATTAATCCTTTATTTTTGTAATATTTCACCCAAAAGATGGGTTCTCCCCAACAACCAACCACTCAGCCCAACAACAACTCACAGCAAATAAAAAATCCAACAGCATCCACAATATATGTATTGTGGTTCTATCCCACATATCACAATCCAAAGAGTGTTTTCAATTTAAGATGTCTAGATTCTGGCTATCCACCAGAAGTAAGGTCAAAAGTAACATGAAGAAAAAACTGTTTACATGCTAGAATTCAGATCCACTGTAGGGGTAGAAACATTCTGTATTGTCACTGTGTTGCTTTGCTTTTCTTATTTTTGCTTTTCTTGTCTTTTTTCTTTAAACCGTCCATGTTAGCTCTAAGCAAATTTGAATAAGCCTGCAACCAAAACAATCAAAACATTTCAGAGAATGCATTCAAATTCCATAGAAGGATTACAAACAGTAGCAGTTCATTTGCAGAATTAAAATATTGTAGTTACAAGTGCCCATCTTTCTCAGAGTGCCGCACTTCATTTATTGATTTTGTAATTTGAAGTTAATCCATAAAATGTTCTGAAATGGAAGTGAATCCGGTATACACTTACCATCTGGAATTTGTTGACTTCCTTTGAACTCACCTATAAAAAAATTAGTCATATGTTATTTTAAAAATTACAAGATAAAATGTCAACAACCTCTTCAAGAATTAGTCCCAGTGACCACCGCTTTCAGCTGAATAAATCAAATTATAGTCTAATAAGGGTTACAGCATCTTTATGGTTTAATGCCATGAATTGAGCTCTGGGGAAACGGGGACAATTGCTTCTCAAAGAACTTCAGGTAGCAACTTGAAAGGTTATGGAACTGAAAAAAGACTTCCCAAATGAATTTTTAAAGCAAGTCTCAAATTTTAAACTGCCATTGGCTAAATTCTCTCTCTTTTGCTTATGTATGCAGTGCCTTGGAAAGAATTGCACTAATCAATGTTGCAAGCAAATGGCATTCCTATTTATTGTGTTTTGCTGCTGTTCTTTTGTTTCCAGGTAACCTAGCAACAGAGGACTCTACCAATTGCTAGTTTTGTGACTCTCCTTGCCAATGGAATTAAGATCTTTAGAAATTGCACTTTAATCCTTATGACAGTGGAACCATATAGTCTCTAGGATGAACATACTGAATCTACATGTAAGCACTTAAAATAAGATTGATTAAACAAAATCTAATTTGAGACAATTAGCAAGTAATTTCTTGCCCACACTAAAAAGAAATTTCCATTTATCTTCAGTCATGTTAGGACCCAACTGAGTGAAGCCTACCTAGTACCTACCACTGTGCTTATCTTTTTCTTCCCATCTGTTGCTCTAAGAAGACATTTGTTGTCTACAGGTTCAAAGCCCTCAATATGGCCCTTTCGTGGAATGGGTCTTGTCCGACCATCATCTATATTAAACAGAAGCATTAAACATATATACTTATACAACATCCAATGGTGGCGAAAGAACGCTGAAATGCAGGTTTGTACTTTTACAGCTTTGAAGTTTGTGTCGAAGTTTAGGAGAATTCTGAATGTGGAAGCTGAGAAACAACAGCATTGCTATGTTTAAATTGGACACAAATGTGCATGTGGTTTTTTAAAGTGTATGATGGCTAGATGCAAATAGTCATCTCATCCCCCAATCCCACTAAAAGTCCCTCAAATATCTGGCTTCAAAGCAAACACTGGGGAATAAGGGAAGGTATGGCCAACCTACCTAGTTTTTATAGATTCAGGCATGGAGTGGAGGATAGGAATCAGCTCACAAGTGGCAACAACAGACTGCTCAAAAAGATCGCTAGTGCCACATTAATTCTTCCAACGACTCCACAGCAACCCCTTAGTTCTTTCTTGGGTACCCCCCCCCCCCCCCCATTAAGGTTGCTCAGACCAGAATAGTTCCCCCCCCAAAAGTCTTTAAAGATTTTATTTGGCTTTGCTTTGGGGCTCCAATGTGCAAACAGCTGCGAGTTGAGGTTTTGTATTTACAGTGGTATCTTGGGTTACATATGCTTCAGGTTACAGACGCTTCAGGTTACAGACTCCACTAACCCAGAAATAGTACCTCGGGTTACGAACTTTACTTCAGGATGAGAACAGAAATCATGCTCCGGCGGCGTGGCAGCAGCGGGAGGCCCCATTAGCTAAAGTGGTGCTTCAGGTGAAGAACTGTTTCAGGTTAAGAACTGACCTCCAGAATGAATTAAGTTCTTAACCCGAGGTACCACTGTACTGTGCTAAAAAAGGATCTCATCAATTTTATACCCCCATCTACTGTTCTCTGCTCCTAACTCTGGGATGCAGCAGGCTATAGAGTAAAAGTGTGGTTGCTTCTTTCTAGCCTTGGCTGGCAGAGACCAGCGCTTCGGGTGGGAGCTCTACTGTAGTGGATGCCCAAACTACAGGGCACTTCTGTAGGCAGTTTTCCTGCTGAGGGCATCTACAAACACTCAGAACAGGTTGTTCTGGTTAGCGCACTGGAGACTTTGAATCTACATTAGGGACCTGATCAGCTGTGCCATCTGCTCTCTTCTTTCTTGGTTAACAGGAGTTGGTAGGACCTAGGATGTGACAGTGTACTCATTGCTCTGCACTTCCCAGTCCCTCATTTAGAATTTCCTCAATCTAGCAAAAATAAAGCATGTATTAAGGAAGCTGAGAGCTACAAATACAGATTTTCTTTGATTAATCACACATTTTTCAGTTCTCATGCATGCCCATTTCAATGTTACTTCATTTATGTTAACAAATGCAGTACAAACTGGCTCACGACACTTGGTTGTTTTTTTTAAGGGGTGATATTCAAAAGCAAAGTACTGGGCAAATATACAGGCATATCCACCATTCACAACTGCTAAAATAGTTAACATAATACTTACATTTCTTTAGCGTTATATAGACGCTGCCTGTGCTCCTACATTTTTGAAACAATCTTGTAAGCTCCGTCAGAAACTGCAAACGAGAAACCCATTTTCGATTAAGAACAATCGCGAATGAATGACGTTTATGGAATTCTTAACACAATCAAGAGCTGGGAAACAACCCTTGTTTTATTTCATTTTTTCCTTATTGCAGGTTCCAGTGACGCCATCCGATTGCAATGCCTGCATTTTCGGGTCTCTATCCCCACCTACACAAAGCAGCAATTTATCAGGGCTGATAAATCCCTCCCCCCCCCAAAAAAAACCCCAGCCCCCAAAACGTGGGAATCCTGGCTGGTCTTCGTTTAAGAAACCAGGGGCGATACGCCTGAAAAAATGAATGGATCTTGGTTTAACTATGCGAGGGTAACGCAACTCGGGGGTTCATTAAAGCGAGCCAGGATCTCCGCACCGGAATCCTCACGGGAGGCACCGCCACGTTCAGGAACTGCCACGCCGCCCCCCGTCCCCCCTGAGGCGGCCAAGCACAGAAAGCGGGTGGGTGGACCGCCCCGGCTCTGCCTACCCGGCCCGGGGCCCCCAACTCAAGGGACCCAGGGCCAAGGGACCCAGGAAAACGCGAGGCCGCGGCACCTGCTCGCTCTCCAGCAGCACCATAGCCGGCTCCTTTGCTCGCTCGCTCGGCGCCTGCAAGAGCCCCGTCACAATTCCGCGGAGCGAAGGAGCGGCCCGGAAGCGGAAGTGCTTCTCGTCGCCACGGAGGACGCCGCGCTCGGTGCGGCTAGAGGGGAAACCCCGCCCCCATATGGTGCGCTGCTGCCCCCGCTCGGCTGCAGGTGGTACTGCTCCGCCGTCCCCTGGATTTCGCTCGGGAGGAGCAAGCAGGGGTTTCAAACCCGCGAACCTGTCATTTATAGGCTCGTTAAGGGAGGGTGAGGGACGGATTTAGGTTTGATGAGGCCCTAAGCTACTGAAGGTAATGGGGCCCTTTATATGTCCAGCTGTCCTTTGTCAACAACAAATTGTCGCTGTGTTTTGTGTTGAATATATGCTATATGGTAATTTATGAACCTAATAGGTATCTAAAGCCATTTGCCACTGTTGCTGTATGTAGGTTTTATTTTATTTGTTTTTTATCTTATGTTTTGGGAATGTACATCCACTTTTTTCCCCTTTAAATTTTTTGGGGGCCCCCAAGAGAGTGGGGCCCTTAGCTATAGCTTGTTTAGCTTATACATAAATCCAGCACTGAGAAAGTGCAGCATCTTCTCCAAAGGCATCTCTGGATATGAGACTGACGTTCAAGCGCATTCCTTTGGTTTCAAAAAACTCAGTATGAGAAGCATAATGTCTGTCCTTCGAAATGCCGGACTTCCTTGGAAGGTTTTCCAGCCATTCCCTCCCCTTGTCAAAGGAAATGGACGGAGACGGGGGGGGGGGTGGAACTACACCTGATGGCTGCACATTCGGCGGAATGCCTTATTTAATTTATTGTTTTTATTTATGTGTTTTTTTCTATTTTAATGTTATGTTGTGAACCATGGGTATAGGGCGGTATACGAACAAAATAAATACTGCATATCTTAGAATTGCCTAAGATTTCAAAAAGTGAAAACCCGGACACAAAAGTTGTTGAATGGCAAAGTTCAAAAAAATTAATAATGGACATTTCAGCAATTTTTGTCCGGACACTGTCGTATTCCGGCTGTGTCCGGGAAATTTCAGCTACGGGCTTGGCTTGCAAAAGCTGTTTTAATTTTTCTAAAACACCATGAGAACTCCATCAACTCCTTTCTGACTGACCCTTGTATCAAAATCTGCTCACATTTTGCTGTCAAAAGCAGCAGGAGGCACTGTGACTGCATAAAATAACTAAAGTTAATCCTCTCTGTCCTGATGTGTAAGAGCATTTATATCTGGTCTTTAACTTATGTTAAAATACTTAATACAACACTACCCAGGAGGCAAAATGACAAGCATCCATCATTTTTGAGCATTCAAAGATGTTTTTATCTGAGATCACGTTTTATGGAATGTCTTTTCCAATGACACACAATGTGTCACAAATCCTTCTGGAATTGCAATATAATATTACCTACAGCCATTCTGACAATGTTATGTTAACTTAACGATGCTGTTGGTTTGTGAGCTACCTAAAGACCTCATCCACATTGTGCTAATTATTACCATCACTTCATTGTCCATTTTCTTTCCATGGTGAGTGTGAAGTTGGGCAAAGAGCTGTTGTACATTATGGTTTCCAAGTGGGGTCTGGGACCCATTCTCCTCCTGGTCTTAAATGAGGAATGCCAACTCTTTTTCTGGGCAGAGCTCTTGTGCCTTTAACAGCAGGGAGAGTCTGTGAAGTTGACTGCAGCAACAAAGCAATTAATTAATGGCTTGTAAGTATGAAGGGAGCAAGGGAAATAACAGAGTTTTAGTAGTGAGTGGAAAGATATTGTCTGGATGCCAGGTCTACCAGAGGATGAACATCAGGTCCACACCCTTCTTCTTTGGTGATCAATCATAGCTGAGTAAGCTCATGTCTTCCATGAGCACAGTCTTAATGATGTGTCCGTAGGTGACTGTGGAAGCCAATTCTGGATCCACAATGAGGATATATGTTTCTGGGTGGGAGTTGATCACGGTGAGGGTTTGCCAAACTTGCCTTCCTCTTAGCTCGTTTCTCCCTTTCGTCCTGAGTTTGAGTGTCTTCAAAGCCCATGTCTCCTTTGGTAAAGGCTGTTCTCCGTTGAAGCACTCGCAGGAAGATGATTTTGTATTTTTCATTACAGTGGTGCCCCGCAAGACGAATGCCTCGCAAGACGAAAAACTCGCTAGACAAAAGAGTTTTCCGTTTTTTGAGTCATTCCGCAAGACGAATTTCCCTATGGGCTTGCTTCGCAAGATGAAACGTCTTGCGATTTCTTGCGAGTTTGTTTCCTTTTTCTTAAAGCCGCTAAGCCGTTAATAGCCGCTAAGCCGCTAATAGCTGCTAAGCCGCTAAACCGCTAATAGCCGTGCTTCGCAAGACGAAAAAACCGCAAGACGAAGAGACTCGCGGAACGGATTAATTTTGTCTTGCGAGGCACCACTGTATCTGGAAACGTAGAGTAGACCCATTCAATCGGAGACATATCAATAGACTGCTATTACAACAGGAAGCCCGGTACATCCATTTACTTAAGACCATGACCCCTATGGGTCTGAATAGCTATCAGGATTATACATCATTTCTTTAAGACCTCAAATTAAACTGCAGCTGTCCTTCTGAACTTTAGAACTCTATGCCTGTAAGAAGATCTAGGGGATCTCATCTACCCCTTTAAGTGCATATAAAAGGTGATAGGCTCACTTCCAAATTGAAAATGCACAGAAAAGCTCAAGATACACGTTGATCTACCCACACGTAGGTGAGGAATCATATGATTATTTGCTGCCTTAGAGTTTTTAATTTAATTCAACACATGTAATTATTATTAATATTGATTATTTTCAGTTGTTATCCCTGAGAAACGTAGAAAATAACAGGATATCCGAAAGTCTTTAAACTTACACGACCCTTTAAAAATTAGGTAAGGAACCAAATGTTATATAATACTGTTTTATAATTTATGACTGTTTTATAATTTATGATAATTTAGAATTTAAATGTATTTTCATGTAATATTTGATACTTCCAGCTGTTGAAGGTGAATACATGGAAACAGGGCCCTGTCCTGGTTTCTAATCCATAATTGACTTCTGACTTCTGCTTTATGATTGAAACTAAGACCTTCACAAGACCTCCACGTCGAATCTGACTATGGACTAACATAAACTTCTCTACTCATAAACTCTTATCTCTAATTCTGTAACGAATTATTGTGTTATACATATCTTTATGTGTTTGAATTTGTTATCTCTATTTGAATTTGTAATCCTTGTCAGAATACATACTGTTGAATGGATTAGTTTTTGTTACTATTGACTATTGATATGCGAGTAGGGACCACTCCCACTGTTGAAACACACATTGGCCTGAGTTCTTGGTGTGCTTTTTTCTTGGTACAATCAACGGAACCGGCCATGGGCCATATCCGGTCTATGGGCCTTAGGTTGCCAACCTCTGTGTAAGACCATTGGAAAACATATATTTCCGATGGTCTTAGGAACTGAGACACCGCTCCTATATCAGTCTCCAGGTGGGTCCGCCCACATGCAGATACGCCCACATACGAGTACCCGGCGTAATGACATCATTGTGCCATCCCCATCACATACACCCCTTACAAATACAGGTGTCTGTGACAGGGTTGGCGCCATAATGTACTTATCCGGACCAGTCACACATGTGTAGAAAGCAGCTGCTGTGTTGAAAGCAGCTTTCAGTGTGCTTTTCAAGTTGCACTGGCTCCCGGTGGAGTACAGGGTCAGATTTAAGGTGCTGCTTTTGACCTTTAAAGCCCTTCACGGCCTAGGACCCTCGTACCTACGGGACCGCCTCTCCTGGTATGCTCCACGGAGAGCCTCAAGGTCCATAAATAACAACACCCTAGTGGTCCCAGGCCCTAAGGAAGTTAGACTGGCTTCAACCAGAGTCAGGGACTTTTCAACTCTGGCTCCGGCCTGGTGGAACGCTCTGCCTCATGAGACCAGGGCCCTGCAGGATCTGATTTCTTTCCGCAGGGCCTGTAAGACAGAGTTGTTCCGCCTGGCCTTTGGCTTGGAGCCAGTTTGATTCCCTCCCTCCCTCTCTTTTTTCTTTTCCTTCTCCTCCTGCAATGAGGCTACATTTTAATATTTTAATGTTCCATTATTTTAATGTTGTACTTTATTTTTGTTTTTAAGTTGTAATCATTCATCTTGTTTTTATTATTGCTTGTAAGCCGCTGTGAGCCCGGCCATGGCTGGGGAGGGTGGGGTATAAATAAAAATTATTATTATTATTATTATTATTGGTAAAATGACACTTCATGAATTATAATTACTGGGTAAATGTAAAATCATTATGCATACTGTCGCAAAATGTAGCAATGTAGTTTACTGTTGTTATATTAAGACTATTACCCATGCTACACCATGCTTCAAGACAAAATTTCATTTATTTGTAATTAGAAATAAATATTTCACAATATATAATTACATATTTTGTGATTAATCACTATGCTTTAATTATGTTCAATTTGTAACAATGAAAATACATCCTGCATATCAGATATTTACATTGCGATTCATAACAGTAGCAAAATTACAGTTATGAAGTAGCAACGAAAATAATTTTATGGTTGGGGGTCACCAGAACATGAGGAACTGTATTAAAGGGTCGCGGCATTTGGAAGGTTGAGAACCACTGCCTTACCAGCTACTGCTGAGCATATATCTTCAAATATTTACAAAACAGGCACCCAAAAATGTCCGCAGGCTCTTCTTCATCACCTGACCCACAGAGAGAGTGAATCACTTCTACTTAACAGAATTAGGTAACCTACAATTAAGTCATTGGAATCTAAAGAAGTGGAACAAAAGGCTGTAAATGTCATTTCATTTTTTTAAAAAGAAGAAGCAACTTAAAGAACCCCAACATCATCACAAACAGTCCTTGGCTCCCTTTCAGAAAGCATTATTGTGTTTTATGGAACACCCATCAAACTGAGACGGTGTTGCATCATTATGGAATGAGAACATTCAGCTGGGAGGGTGCAGAGAAAATCAAATGTTCCTGGTGCTCTCCGAACTGATTAGGGATCAGGTTAAAGTGACATGAGAAGGGAAGAAAAAGGCCAGGCAGAGGGCAGCGTGACTCACATGCAAGGTTGCTGGCTTTAACTCCATGGCCTTGCCCAGGAATGCCCAAGAACGCTTTTAAGCTCTGTAAACATGAATACGTTTATGTAAACATGAACATTGCAACCTGCTCACTTCCCTTTGCTTACTTTAACTTCCTGTGCAATGACAGGTGCCTGCATATTGTTTTGATTGGGCCCTGTCCTGAACCAGAGTTCCATCTTGAATTTCCATGCCTGCCTACCACAGAATCGTCTGCGGACCCCCTGATTGGTTGCTGTCTGCAGGCATTTTAGGCTTGAGCCCAACAGGAGGCGCCATCAATTATCCCTATTTGCCCTGTTCATCATGGCTCCCTGTGATCCAGATCTCCAGATGGTGCCTCCTTGATATCGTACCTACATTTCAAAAACAATGAAAGCGTCCTGTAGCACTTTAAAAGGCTTGCAAATTCAGTATGCCACAGACCTGTCGTCTACAGGCCACTTCATCCAATGCATCTGGCTCAGTCTTCTCAAAAACATTTGTTCTTTTCGTTCTTGATTACAGTTGCCTCTGAATGGCCGCTGTTCTGTGGAAGGGATTTAAGCCAGGCCAGAACTTTAGATTTGCACAAGTAAAGTGGATTTGTGCAGTCTGTTGCCCTAGTTGCTATTAATTCTATTAATTTACCCACCCTAGAAATCAAGGTTTGGTGGTTTGCAATTTCTTGGATCCTCCTGACATTTTTTTCCCCTTAATGTTACTAACCTCTTCACTCTTCTCCAGCTCTTGTGGACTTCACCTGTGTTGCCTGAGGTCTCAAAGGTGCCTCTTAAATTATCTCCGTTCACCATTCCGCCACAAATTGAATCATAGATATTGTTTCCCTGTATATTTGATGGGTACTTCCCCTGTTGGAAATGCCTTACTGTTTTGTTATTAGTGTCAAATGTACGGAACAGCTGGTTGTAATTTTGAAACGATCTGGAGGAAAGAAGGCGCTGAACACTTTCATGCTCTTCCCTCCCCTCTCCATCAGTTATTAACCTGCTTTTCATGTTGCCTAATGGGCCTGCACATTCCTTTAACTTCTTGTTGCTCGCAGCATATTTATAGGAGAATACAAAGTCTGGCCGGAAGAGCCGTTGTGGCTGAGGCAGTCAAGGAACCTGCCCTAAGGCAGGACATCACTGCTCCCTCCCAACAGCTCCTTGCACACAAGGGAGGATCTGACTCACTCGCACAGCAAAAACTTCCACATTCACTTCAGTGAGATCACATGCAAATCCTCACTGGACACATGGCGCATACCCTCAGACATTTCTCCCATGAAAATAGGGACATTTCTCATTTCCTGCCAGACTGGTCCTCCTCAACCCCCCATCTGCCCCTTGCAAAGCAGTTCCCAGCAGAAGAAGGGCGAGTGCCAGCACAACTACACCAATGGGACACAGCACACACTCTCTCCAGTGCCCTGAGAAAACCCCTTAATCCGGATTGGATTGGATTGTACAGTCGTACCTTGGTTGCCAAATGCCTTGCGATTTGAACGTTTCGGCTCCTGAACGCCGCAAACCCAGAAGTGCGAATGGTTTCTTTGGAACCCGAACATCCGACGCAGCTTCCAACTGAGTGCAGGAAGCTCCTGCAGCCAATCAGAAGCCACGCCTTGGTTTTCAAATGTTTTTGGAAGTCGAACAGACTTCCGGAACAGATTCCGTTCGAGAACCAAGGTACAGCAGTATTGTGTTCTTTGGTATATTTACAAAAAGAAAAGCACACACTGATAAATAAATTTTAGAAAAAGGCAAAATTAGACATGGACGCACAAAGCATTTTTAAAAGAAAAAAATCAAGACTCTTGTACTCTGCTCCCCCTTTCTTCCCAGCCAGGGCAGCCCTGCTCAATGCCTGCCCCTCAGAGCCAGTGTGTCACATGGGGCAGGGACTCAGTGGCAGTAACTTCTCCTTCTTGTCTGCTCTCCTGCAGCCGCTATGAGCTGCCCAAGGGAGGAGGCTGGCAGCAGCGGCCATGGAGAGGCAACGGGATGCTCCCTCACTCAGAACAAGTGCCGGCTCATCCTCCTCCCTGAGCTCGGCGGCAGCAGCACTGGTGAGGAAAATAGGGAGATTCTGGGATCAAATCAGAAGCCAGGGGGCTTTCATAATTCTGGGGCTATCCGTGGAAAATCAGGACATTTGGAGGGTCCTCCTCCTCCTCCTCCTCCTCCTCCTCCTCCTCCTCCTCCTCCTCCTCTTCTTCCCCTTCTTCTTCTTCTTCTTCTTCTTCTTCTTCTTCGATCACTCGTAGCCGAGTAAGATTGTCTTCCAGAAGCACAGTTTTAACAATGAGTCCATAAGTGACTGTGGAGGCCAATTCTGGATCCACACATCCTTCCACAGTGGGGGCATTGGTTTCTGGGCGGGAGTTGATCATGGTGTGGGTTTGCCAAGCGTGCCTTCCTCCTAGCAAGTTTCTCCCTTGCGTCCTGAGTTCGAGTGTATTCAAAGCCTTTGGTAAAGGCTGTTCTCCAGTTGGAGCGCTCGCAGGCCAGTGTTGTCCAATTGTTGGTGTTTATACTACATTATTTTAGATTTGCCTTGTGACAGTCTTTAAACCTCTTTTGTTGACCTTTCCATTTTTAAGTTCGGAGTAGAGGAGTTGCTTTGGAAGACAATAATCAGGCATCTGCACAACATGACCAGTCCAACGAAGTTGATGTTGAAGAATCATTGCTTCAACACTGGTGATCTTTGCTTCTTCCGGTACACTGGTATTAGTTCACCTGTCTTCCCAAGTGATGTGTAAAATTTGGAGGGTATGCTGGTGCTGCCCCCACAGTGGAGTAAATAGGAAGCCCTGGCTTGCCTGAAAGCTCCAGATGTCAGCAAGGCAATCTCACAGAGATCCATCATTTTGGAACACTTGACTTCTTGAACAGGCTATATGATGCATGGGAGGAAAGCTATAGCTCAGCGGTAGAACAACTGCTTTGCATGCAGAAGGTGCCAGCAGTCAATCCCTGGCAACTCCAGACAGGTTTAGAAAAGACTCCTGCCTAAAGCTCTGGAGAAGAGCTGCCTGTCAGTGTAGACAGTACTGAGCTAGATGGACCAATGGTTTTTGACTCAGTTTAAGAAAGCTTCCTATGTCCCTACTTGAAATTAGCTTTTTAAAAAAGAAAACTTTGCTGTGCAATGCCAGAACTGGAGCATTTGTCCAGGCCCCTACCTTTGAGTATCGTAAATGAGTCAAGTATATATTTAATGTTTATTTTACAATGCAGCTGCTTATTACTGCAGGGGGGTGGGGACCATGATCCTTTGGGAGATCTCTTTGGTCTCTTTCCCGCTGCTTCTCTTGTCATATTGGCAGTAGCACCCAGGCACCTTTGGGTAAAAGTATTTGGCCTCTGTTTTTCTCTATCTGAAAGGACAGCAAAAACGGCTTCCATTATTATTATTATTATTATTATTATTATTATTATTATTATTAGCTTTTCAGAATAGAGATTTTCATGCAAACTCAGGCAGCCAACATTTAAGTATAGCTGAGTGCCTTATTATCAGGATTGTAAAGTTATCTTTTTGGCAGAGAAGTCCTGGCAGCGCAGAGCCTCTTAAATCTGAAGGAGATTAGCAGATCTAATGCCTGGCCTCTGCCTAAGTGACAAATGAGTCCTGCAGCACAGTCTGTGGCTGGAAGCTGCCTGGGACAAGACCCCAACCCCTTACAAAGGTCAAGTGGTTTTCCATTTACAGTGCACAATTTCATGCTTTCCAAATATTGGCCAGCTGAAGGGACGGGATATTTAGCAGAAATTTAAATCAACTCGCTGTGATGAAAGATGTCAGGACTGACCTTGGCCTGTGAAGCAGACAGATTTGGAAACACTGTGGATAAAGTTTCTGCTTCCTGGAAGGTGGGAAGCTTATGGAACCCCACGAGGGAAAACCTGTTGCTTGTGGGATTGTGTCTGTGGAATCGCATTTGTGGTAGAAAGGACAGCGAAAGCGAACCTTCCCCAAATTCCTCCTGCTTTTGCTGCTGCTGTGGGAATGTGACCCAGGAACATCATCTATGAACATTTCCCCCTGCTAGACTATAATCTATTCCTGGCTCCTAAATCTCTCCACCTCTTATGGTGCAAATTTTGTATTGAATTTGCCAGAGCTCACCATCGCCATCTAGTGTCACATTTGCATAATGCACTTTACAGCACA